GTGTACAAATTGGTTAGAGGTTCAATAACAATTGGCATTATCGTAAACACGAATTGTATTGAATCGAGACCTATTCGCTTTTAGAGTCTCAACTCAATTTTTTGTATTCGATTCGAGTTGTTGTTAGGTATTTATTCGATTATCGATCGCACTATTTACTCAGGTGGACTTTGTATAATAACTAATTTTTTCACCCTTTAAAAGATTGTTACGAGATTGCGGTGTTCGCTCCGTTTTTGATGGTATGCTGCCACAAAAAATCAAGTTACCTACTGGTTTTTTCTTATAATTACATACTCATTATCCGTCTAGCACATAACTCCACTTCACCATTTAAATTCGTTTGCAAGAACCTACTGTGGAATTTATAAAAGATCCGATTGTTACTTGACTCCACAATGATTATTGTAAAAAGTATCATTATGTCTTGTTCGCAATTTGTCGGCGAGCGGAGTCACTATTATATTGCACCGTGTGATTATTTCTTTGTAGTTCTTCTTATGCCGGTAATAGATATATTTTACTGTCATTCGCTTATTCACAATTTTGTATTATCTATATATAAGAGGCGCTATCCTCTCATTTCAACTTTGGGCATTCGGAAATTTGAATTTTAAATAATTTAATTGATAGGGAAATCTAGGTTTTTCTTTTCTTCCTTACCTATTACAATTTCACACCTTTGAAAGTAAAAAGCATGCTGATAGTTCGTGTGGGTAGGGAATGTTAATTTCTGAAGTTCATTTTCACTTTCATATGCATATAAATATGAAAGATAAAGTGTTAAACCGTTAAAGTGTTTTATATAAATGTGTACTACTCGCGTAAACTACATTCAGTATTTTAAAAGTATTCCATTAATTTTTCTGTATATACTAAGTCTTTGCAAGCAGTTTTATCGTCTGCCTCAAAGGAATTGAGAAAGACGTGCCTAGTGGCGCAATGAGCTTGCAAATGCCTCAGGGAGATGTGTCCTCGTAAATGAACTGTTTGCTCAGTTGAAACGTATTCAGTTCGATTTAATATATATTACTTGTCTCTCTAACATTTAACAGTAGTTATTATGTGGTATTTTATTAGCGGTAGTATTATTTAAGAACAAGAACCCCCTACAGTATTAAAAAAGGCAAGTAATAGTAGTAAATATAATCTATCATTAAACCGAATATGATGATATGTGTGTGTGCTTGTACCCCTTGCCCCAAAATTTCACACTTTGCTAATTGGTAGCCCGGCAATTGCTTGTTCCGGTATTTAAGATCGAACGTAGAAATAGACTGCATAGAATACAGATTACACAAAATAAACCACGCTTGTTTGAACATAGTCTATTTTAGTTTAATTAAGCCGGAGTCTTCAGTGATCGATTAAAAACGTTTAAAGAACGGTAAAGGAGTACACTCGACGTCCCATAAATGTGATAAAAGCTCTTCGTCCATTAGTCGTGCTGTTAAGGTGAGCGTTAAGCGATTCTAAGTCTCGTCTAAATATACCGAGTGGTCTGGCACCGTGCCAGTAGACTGGAGACGCATTCCGATTGACCATAACCGTGCTTCATTCCGTTTTTAACCGATATTTGAAAATGTGGAGATTTATTCCACCAGTAACTTTTTATCAGGCAACTATACAGGTGTCGTCTTCGAATTCAATTAGTTTAATATATCGCGTTTTAAACCGTGTTTTATGTAAATGTGTACTACTCGCGTAAATAAGACAGTGTTTTCTAACACATTCGTAAACAACAGAACAATACTTTTCACAGAAAGGTCTTTTTGAGCAGCATCCAAAAAAGAATTCCTAAAATTATGTTTTTAAACGATTGAGATTCTGAACATATTGGTACACAAGGAATTATACAGCCGTAGACAATATCTTTTTTAAACTACAGTTCCATAATGCAAATGAATACAAAGTACCATAGATTCCAGGTCTACGAGTACTTCCAATTATTATTTGTAACGAGATATAATTTATAAGCGAGATGATGATCGAAATCATATCGATATATCGCCAATTAAGCAACAATGGATAGTGGAAATTGAATCAGAAAAAATTTACACCATAACAACCGGTACGGTACGTAGCCGTAGACTAGTTCAACGTGACTCATGAACGGTGCTGATGAGAAAAACCAAAGCGTAAATCGGCTTATTCTATGTGGGTTCTGTACACCTGTATTTATATTATAGAAGGACAAAGTGAAAAGTGAAAATCTTAAAAGGTTTAAATAAATGTATAATTCGATTTTCATCAAATGTTATGCGCCTTGAAATGGAAGGTGTCCCTAATGCAAAAGTCCAATCTGGTACCTACGCCAGTGTCATCTGTTTCCTAGTAGTTAATTTGAAGAAACTATCTGGGTCCTTACAGAACTGACTCAGTAAGTCAGTTACTAATATATTTCGCATTTTAAACCATTATTGTTATTTTATTGAAATGTTAACTACTGGCGTAAACTATAGACAATATTTTCGATTACTTGTTCGCGTAGGGAACCCTATAAATCATCTGGCGAGACGTTTTAGACAGGTGAGATGGGCACCGTATCATTAAAGAAACCAGTTCGGAGATATGATACAAAAAGCGCTACCACCGTTTTTGGTTAAACGCTTTTTATCGCCTATTATTATATTGCTCAATTACATATATGGCGAAGTGGCTTTTTAATGTGCGATCTCCTGCCTACCAATAATTTATTATCTGTATGTGTTGTAACTATGATTTATTGAATGTGTATGATGTTGTGTTGTCCGTTTTCCAATGACGCCGTAATCTTATATATAAAATATATCGCGTGTTTCGAGGATTTAACAAACAAACAAACAAAAAATACTTACTTAGATTTAGTTTTTTAATAATAAATAAGAATTTACGATCAACGTAGGGCCATTGCTCTATCACAGGAGCTACTGTGTTACATCTATTTACGGAATTTGTAATTTGATGATATCAACTCCCATGTTCATTCAAATACAAAAATGTAAACTTCAAAATAATCAATCTTCTTTAAGCACCCTTAGTAAAAAATCTTTTGTAAGTAAAAAAGTCATCCATCAATCAACAATTTTTTATGAAATTCACGGAAGATCGCACAGCTGAGCACGTGCGAAGGTTATAGCGCGGTTTACGTGTCTGATCGAATTAATACAAACCAAGTGTTTTGTACCCCTGCGTGCGCGGGCGCATGTCGTCCGCGTTGCATTTGATTACGTCCTAATCGAATTAACCGCATTCGGTCTTACGCCACGCATTATCGTTTGCATTCTTTTTAGATTTCATCATCTTAGGAAATAGTATTTTAGATTGAGGTTGTCTATCAAAGTACAATTGGATGATTTACTCATGGATAAATTTTCATTACAATTGCATGTAACTATATTATAATTTGCAGCGCCATTACAACAGAAGTTATCACAAACCTATGGTAAATCATGTCCTTAACAAAATTCGATAGTCATTTACTTCAATATTTATTTTTACTAAGATTATTTGTCACATATATGACTTTAGATTTATACAATACTAGTTCTTACCTACGACGACGTCCCGTCGTTATTGCAAGTTCATCTTTAATGTTAGACACACTATAGTAGTTCCTGAGATAAACGCGTTCAACAAACAAACTAACTAGTTTTATATATTTATAATATTACTCTATATAATATACTAATTATATTTATATATTATTTAATCAATAGACTATAATAGTTTATTCCTGACGAAATCACGAGCAATTCACTGTATAATAAGATTACCACATCTGAAATGCGGGCGTGATAAAGGTCAATTAATCTTATTGGAAACGTCACTTTCTACATTTTGTCAATTGTAGTTAAGAAGCTTTAAGCTTCTACATCAGATTCGACATCGGACTACATTTTTATAAGTATGATTATTGGAATCTACTTGTACTAATTATAGGAAAAGAAAACATTTATTAGTAGTCTCCTATCGCATAATATAGGGAATTTTAAAATCTTAGACCCATCACGGACAACTCCGGACTGGTACTAGAAAGTTCTAAAAAATTACAAATATTTTGAAACTTTAATATATTTTACATGTTGTTGCACATGATGGCACTATATAAATTAAAAATCTTTTATAAATTCAAAAATTACACCACAATAGAACTTACATAACGCTGTAGATGTCGATTCAAGTCCTGCCTGAGCCGTATTTTTTTTCAGTTTATAATCGATTTTTAATTGAAATTACAAATACCCAAGTAATTTTTAGCCCGACCCAGTTTTCAACTCGGAACCTAGTGATCTGCATTACCTACTAGGGTAATAAGAATGAAGTAAGAACTAAAATTGTTTATTGCGATATACACATAGTAAACTAAGCAACTTGTTATTAATGATACATTCGAACGGTAATATCGAATCATAAACTAGAAGTGTACGTGATTTCAAGTTCATCGTAATTTCGTGAGGTTCAGATGAGATGTTATTTACGAGAAATGCAAAAAGCAAGGTCAATCTTGGGCAGTCACGAGTCACGACCCTCTCCTTTATCGTTTACAATTACCGTGATTTGAGACGGCTATTTGCAAATCTTTTAAGTAGGAAAAGAAGGTAATAAAAACAACACTGAATATAATACAAAGAACACGCGTTGTGGATTTTGTTAATTTTACTAATACGAAGTTTGTGCTTGAATAATCTAGATTAGGGATGCGCAGACTTAGGGCTTAGGGGCCACTCGGGCAAATCGTGAACAGATGGCGGGCCGCCATAAGTATATGTTATTAGAGACAAGAATTTATTAATTCAAGTATTATTTTTGCTGTTGGTCACCAGTATTCGACCGGCTGGCCGCGGTCTGTGCATCACCGATCTAGATCATCAAAAATAAATAAAACTTTATTTGTCTACTATTAAACCTCTGATAATATTGCTGCATTTATTAACTTTAATAATTTCTCGTTAGTTTGATAAACATTTTTGTCTCCATGGAACCTATTCACGAGTTCTAACAGGCAAAATCATTTACAGGGAAGGTGGCGTGCGGCGCTTGCGGCGGCAAATGCAGCGGCGAAGTGCTGCGCGTCTCCGACAAGTATTTCCACATGGCCTGCTTCACGTGCCGAACCTGTTCAGCATCGCTAGCTCGCGGGGGTTTCTTCTGCAAGGATGGATATTATTACTGCCCACAGGTACATTTCATAATTATCATGAACCTTTAAAATCTATCCTAGCCTATATGGATCCCAAATTTTATATTTTGTATGGCATCGCTGCGCAGGAGTTGATAGTAGTTATTTTTAGATTACGCAATGTATATGCACTCTGTTTTGTTCTAGTTTGTCCCGTATTCTTATATTATTTTTTCTTCCTCATTTTTATACTGTGCCAGTCTTGTGTAATGAATCGTTTGAGTTTATTTAGAAATAAATCTGTTTACCTTGCTACATGTGAAATTTTGATAATAACACCAAGGTTATCTTATTGCAGGATTACCAGCGCGCGTTCGGCACACGCTGTGCGGCCTGCAATCAGTATGTGGAGGGTGAGGTTGTATCAGCTCTCGGGAATACCTATCATCAGAAGTGTTTTACATGTGCGAGATGCAAGTGAGTATTGGAAATTGACGGCGACCAAGTCCAAGAAAACTTGACGCATTGAAATTATATTGTATACCTCGAACTCGGACATCGGACTGTCTATTTTTTATGCTATAGGAGAATATGTATGGGGTTCATATAACATCTAAAAAAGATGCGCTATCGCCCTATTCCTGCTTTGGATATTTAAAAATCGAAATGAAACCGAAACGCGACCAGTTTCCACGGCTATTTCATTCGTGACCTAGGCGGAATTTCAATATTCCTGACACACATTTAGTATCCAGATCAGAAACGAAGTCCAGCATGTTCCAGATAATTCACTAAAACATGTTGGACCCGAGGTGGTCGAATCTAGGACCCGTTGATTATTAGCCGTACATTGCTAAACACAAGAAATTTGAAAACTTTTTGCCTCGTAATTTGTTCATGTACTAAATGGAGAGCGTTAAAAACACCTACACTTTGTAATATTAAGGGCCACCTGGTGATCTACTATTTACTCACCTTTCCAGACGCGCGTTCCCATCTGGCGAAAAAGTGACGTATACCGGCACAGAAGTGATATGCGCGTCATGTACAGCGGCGCCGCAGAAGCACACAGCTCGGGCCGCGCGGTCACCCACAACGACTGCCTCGCCCGTGCAGACTCCAGCTTCGCCGGTTTCACCCACCTCTCCCACTACGCCCAGAGATCACGACCAGGTCGACCAAAGACAGCCAGATCCCAACGGTTAGTGGATATCTTAAATTCTAGGCGTGGGCTGGTAACATATTTAAAGTTACAAGTTTTAATCTTTGGTGCTGGTAGAAGTGAAAACTTTTTTACTAACTTATGATGGTCAGGTAATAATTTTGAACAAATTGCTCTAATTATCAGTGTAAACAGACTATTTATATGGTCCAATATAATATTAATTTTCACGGGACAATTATTTTATTGCCTACTTTCCCCACGTCTTACAATTTTTGATCAGGTGTCCTTATTCAACTACAAAAAGTGCACAACTAGTTACTACTAAATACTGTCTATAGTTTACGCGAGTAGTACACATTTAAATAAAACACTTTACCACGGCTCTGAAAACGCGATAATTAATATATCATCGGCCCGACGTTTCGGATGCATTGCCGCAACCGTGGTCACGGGCCGAAGTTAAAAATCAGTTTCAAATGAGTTTAACTAATATATCGCGTTTTAAACCGTTAAAGTGTTTTATTTAAAAAGTTACGACTAGTTGTGCACTTTTTGTAGTAGATACTACTGTATCAAATAATGTCCTACTAAATAAATATGAAGGAAAATGCTCCAGAAACAGATGCAACCAGAAAACTTTGGTCTTAATATTATATTTTAAAGCTATACATAATATGACATTTTACTTAATTATTAAGTTTTGTACTTTTGTGCTACTCGGTTTAATTACTATGGGTCTTATATTACATAACTTTGTACGATATGTGCTTAAGTTTATATATGCATTTGATACCAAACTTGATTATTTCATACACAACATACATTGGCGTGTCTTTATATGAATAAGTAAATAATACAAAATTATTCATTCTCAAGTCCCATTGACGAGCATATTTTTTGCTTTACGAATGTTGGTACAAATGTCGGTTTCCGTAGAACAAATACTGAACTCAAACGTGCTATTATGCTAATTCCACTAATCACGCCATCTACTCACTGATTTTGAGACCTTGGTGTTTTTGCACTTTTGTCCTCCATTAATTGGTCATTTAATATTAGAAAAATTTTAAGACTTGATTTTTCTTATGTCCGGCATCAAAGTGACCTTTGCATAAATTATAATAAATGCACATATTATAACTATTAAGTAAGAACCCCTGAAACTGATCTAAGTGCCTATTTCTACCCTGTTAAATAGCTAGTTATGATATATATTATGTCCTGTATGATAGTTGTAGTGAGTCTTCATCTTCACTTGAACCCAAGTGAGGGTTGAAGTCTTTTGAAATTCGACAAATTATTTGCCCTGAACAAAATGAATGAAAATTTTTATCCTTAGGTAAATTAAAGTTATACGACGCGAGACTATATAATTCCAGACAAAATTTTCTTGCATCAAAGATTACATTGTTAAAGATCTGTCTACATTTCCTATAATTTAAAAATCGAAAATTTCGACTCGGGCAACACTTGAACCGGAAACCGGAATTGAGCTACCGAGTCCTACACCTCATCGTCGAATTATTTCAACTTATTGATACATGCAACTCTCGCGCAATGTAATTTCAACCTTAGCACTCGCGTATTAATTTCCCAATATCAATAAATATAACGTATTTCAGAATGCGCCGGCTGTGGTCAAGAGTTGTCCGAAGGGCAGGCCCTGGTGGCATTAGACAGACAATGGCATACGTGGTGTTTCGCATGCGGAGAGTGCGGCACAGTGCTGCAAGGGGAGTACATGGGACGGAATGGGGTGCCCTATTGCGAGAGGGACTACCAGAGGCTCTACGGCGTTCGGTGCGCTTACTGCCAGAGGTTTATATCCGGGAAAGTGTTACAGGTACAAAATTTCGCTCTTGGTTATTCTATTTGTATATACATATTTTATTTCCAATCAGGCAACAGTAATTGTTATTTGAAAAATGTTTTCAAATATTCAAAACAGACGGAACCCACGACGTCTCACTGTCGATACCAAAAGCTCCCTTTAGCAATTGTCATATTTTTTTTAAGTAGCTTTATAGCAAGGACTAATCTTATATAATTATTCTTCAGAGGTTGGTAGTATGAAGAACTATTCATAGTAACATACCCTACCTCTGACATAGGTAGATAAAGCAAATTTTTATATTAAGCAATTTAACTGTACGCATTTAAAGTAGCTGTTTAATTATCCCACTAGTTGAAGCGTGTCTGTGACCTCGGCGATACAAAACTGGCCATTCATTCCGACGCAACTTTTTGTGTCAACGGTGCTATCCCAAAACAATAGCCCCGTACAGGGATTGTCAAACGAATCCATTAGTGAACCGAATGATTCATTTAACGAGCGTGTTTCGACAACAATAACGAACAACTGTATTAACTCGAGATGTGTCAACAATGCCCTTATATCGTCATTCTAATTTGATCACTATCAGCCTTAAAATAGATGATAAAATCCGTTATTTAGAGTTTGAAGGAATTCGTTTCGATCCAATGCACGCGCTTCATTGTGTACGCTTTGATTGAATTAGCATACTTGATTTGAGTACTAATATTATCCAGAGAAACAATGGCTATGTTTCTTCGAAGAAGATTAGTTAAGGATATTTGTATTGTATAATGTGATTCGAGGTTCAAATTTCAGTCACAAATCTTCAACTATGACTTTTATAACTGTTTTTATTTTCGTATTTGTGAATTTGACTTATTATTTTATTTGTTTTAGATGACTAGATGTCAACTAACAAGTAGCACTCAAAATATTAGATTTTGACATCTTTTAAATTAAAGAGGTATCTGTCTAAGTGATTACTTTGTGGCAGTGATATTTGATCAAACTGTTAATTTTACTGATTGATCACGATTGCTTCTTGTCAAAGTTGATATTTTGCGAGGCGATGAGACAAAAATTCTCCTTTCCTCTCACAAAGAGATTAAGCTTCTATCGAGATCTAAAATTGTTACGGATAGGTAAGATCTAGTTCGCTATAATGGACTTGACGTTTGACAAACTTTTCCAACTATTAAGTATGTTTGACCGAGGGTAATGACAACTTGTGTATTTTTAAATTAATGTCGGGGTAGGAATTTCTGGTTATGAAGAAACATTTAGTGTTGTTTAAGTAGTCTTTTGTCCGTATAAGAAACTACACGGCAAAACTGTACGTAAATACAATAAGAAGTTACAAATATTTTCAGGCTGGCGAGAACCACCATTTCCATCCAACATGCGCGCGTTGCAGCAAATGCGGTGATCCTTTCGGTGATGGTGAAGAGATGTTCCTGCAGGGCGCAGCTATATGGCACCCACGGTGTGGACCGGCTCCGCATGCGCCCCTGACTCCTTTAGATCCACTCGCCCTCGATCGAGCATCCTCTGAATTACAGGTACACATTCACACCCATGATATTTACACTCTCTCACATTATGAACACCACAAATTTATACATCTCGCATTTTAAAACCGTTAAGTGTTTCATTTAAATTTTGTGGTGCATATCTTTGAATGTATTTTTTTTTAAGTTTTTTTTAATACTCCTAATACTTCGATTTAGATCACATATTTTGTAAATAGTGTGCTCAAATTATTATTGACATAAGCTACTTAAGTTTTCGAGCTGTTCCTATCTTAATTGAAAAATAGTTTTTGTTTCGACTTTTAGCCTTCTTTGTCTTAGTTGACCGTATTACGGGCTTAGTGTCGACCGAATGGCTCGAAAACCTTATCTTTCCAAATTCATGTTATTGATGTACTTTATGGTGTTTTATTACCGTTTTTGTTTATCAACAATATTACGAAACAAGTTTACAATCATCGTATTTATTCAGTTGAATCATATCCAACCATACCCTGTTTAAAAAGTTTTTTTTAGATATTTTAAAGAAAAAGCAAAATTAGCGATTCTTTTGTTTTCGTAGCGCTAGTTGAGTATGTTATTTTAATGATTATTTTTGTTTTTAGCTTATTTTGCTTTTGGTATTCAATCGAAATAGCAGACAAGTCAAGTATTTAATAGTTGACGTAATATAAAATGTCTGCTAATTCGATTCAGTTGAAGGCATGCTGACGTCTCGTATGTATATACTGTGTTAACGAGACGACAGTATGCGTTCGACGTCAGAGCGAGAGAGACCACAAACGTCTGTCGTGTTCAGTTCTCGATGCGGTCGCGCACGCCCAGCGTCAACGGATCATACTGCAGCCCCTACAGTAGTCTCAATAGGAAGGTCCGTTTTTATTTTTTTGTTTTCAAGCCTTTTAACATATAATATCTTTTTATTCCCTCTGTCTCAGTTTTAATACAACAAGAAAATTTCTAGAATCTTAGATCTAATATTTTGTCTATATGATCTGTCACAATCTGTTTGTATTATGAATTTTCAATTTTTAATGTTAAAAGGCTTATTATTATTTTATTTTATAATCATTTAGTTTCATACGTTTATTGCTTTTAAAATCTACAATGTATGTAGCATGTTTTTTTATTTTCCTATAAAATTAAATTTACTTTCTTATAATATCCGAACTACTCCTTAATAAAAAGTAGTAGTTTACCTTTATCTTACATTTATTATTACACAGTACGGCAGCGGCTACCGCGCTGTCTCGCCAGGGCTGGCACTGCGCGAGTACCGCTCGTGTAGGTGTTCCTCAGAAACCTCGCCACACCGCATCACAGCGTTTTCGTATTTGACGGGAGAACCAGCAAGACTTCGACGACCAGTGACTGTCGCGGATAGACCACCTGCTTCACCTCACTTCCATAGACCGCCATGTATGTGAAACTATTAATACTCTAGGGAATTTGAATATTTCTAACTTCAACATAGTTAAGAGAATTTAAAAAATATTAGTTACCTATTACAAGCACCGAATAATACAAATATAGTTTTTTTTAAAAGGATTAAATATAGATTTAAAATCAAAATAAATTAAAATAAAAATGTTGACTCGGGCAGGACTTGAGCCGGCATCGTCGGCATCGTAATGAGCCGTGTCAAGATGTGGGATTCGGTAGCTCAATCTGAGTCGAAAATTTGTTTAATTTATTTTCAATTTTTAATCTATATAGTGCCATCATGTGCAATAAATAAAAAATATGAAGTATTTTCAAGTAATAAATATATTATTTTAGTATCGTAGCTGCTATTTACTGTACTATTACTACACTTGTCTGTCTTCCTCTATCATAAAAATAATATAATTGCGTAAATGATATTGCAGCTAGCGCCAGTACTCGTACCAGTTCCCGTCCGGGCAGCAAGGCCTCGTCCCGACCGGGCATGCGAGTGCTCGTTGACTCGATGCGCGCTGAAACACCTAGACCCAAATCGCCGCATATGAACAATGAGGTGACAACTATATTTAGTATTAGACGTTTCTTAAATATAGTACAACTTATCCATGTTTTGTCTTTTTCATTTTGACTTTGCGTGACAGAAATAAAACGTGGATTTTACTACATTCTATAATAACATTTGACGTCATAACTATCAATATTTAAAAGACTGTTTATTGTGAAACATATTTTTAAAAAAGTAATTTTTTTAAACGCTATTCAATTGTTTCGATTTCAGGAACCAATAGAACTATCGCATTATCCATCGGCGTACAAACCTCCGCCGGGAACCAAACCTAAAATAGAAAGAGATGATTTCCCTGCGCCGCCTTATCCCTACACAGACCCTGGTATTATTTTTTTTATATTCATATTAACAATTCAGAAGAAAACGCTTTGATTACAAAAAAAAAATAATAAAATTTCTATAAAGTATAATTCTTAAAAGTGAAATACACATTAAACATTAGTCATTAAATACTGTCTATAGTTTACGCGAGTAGTACACATTTAAATAAAACACTTTAGCGGTTTAAAACGCGATATATTAGTTAAACTTATTTTAAAACGATAACACTGAGAAGGACCACAGCTGCTTAAAACTATACTATACTATACAATTATATCAGAAGGGTATCTAACGAGTATTCATTTCTCTCTTATGACATGACAGAACGTCGTCGCCGCTGGTCGGACACGTATAAGGGAGTGCCGGAGAGTGACGACGAGGCGGACGCGGGCAAAATGAACGGAAACGGGGACGTGCACGAACACAAACTGCGTAAAGAAGAACAGGAACTGTCCAAGATTGACTCAGGAATCGCCCAGGTACGCGGGGAAGATTTTTTTATGGAAATATCTCAGCTATATATAACATCCAAACAAGAGACCTGTTTTGGCTTTCAATATTTGTAAATCCACAGACTGAAATCGAAACGCGAATAAACTTGATGGCCTTCGTATCTGTGGACGTGGGTTCGTGACCCGGGCGGAATATCAACCCTCATTTCCAAACGAAGTCCAACATGTTTAAAAAAAGAAAAATATAAATTTATCGTTAATCGTAATTTACGTTATCATGGTGAATAGTGAAATTTCGTTTTCCCATCTGACATACATGCATATGTGTCTTCCCATAAATATCAATGTTTTCACGGGATTCGAACCCAAAATATGCCGAGCTGAACGCTATTCGACATATAATAAATCATCTTACGCCAATTTGATTTGTGTTTCACTTTGCGACATGTTATATCTTAATATACATAAAACAAAATATATTATACAGGTATTCCTAAAAGAAGTGAAGGAGCGTGAGAAACTACAGCAATGGAAAAAGCAAAACTTAGACCCTAGGAATGCTAGCAGGTTAGTGCCAATGTTTAAATTAAAAAGGAGAAAGTAGTTTGCCGAACGCCATCGTAAATATTTTCTGTCGGTCAGGGCACAAAATAATGATTACTTAAAAATCGCCTAGAATACTAAGTCCGGACATAGAAAAGTGTCTGATAATGAGACAGGGACTTTTCAACTGTCAAAATATCATATAGGTATTTTGATAGTTGTATGATTATTTTTTTTAGGTGGTAATGGGAGGAAGCTGGATATAGATAGATAGATAGATAAGAATGAAGATAGATAATAATTCTGTTTTTTTTTTACTTATTAGGACGCCGTCAGCGGCTCGCGAAGCAATGTCCCGTCTACGCTACTCTTCCCCGGTGGGTGCTTCGCCCTCGCGCACACTCGACCGACCTAAGCACCACGACTGTGAATTAGACCACCATCACGTACCGTCATATAATGGTATGTACACCACACTGTTTCAAGTAATAGGTTACTTACCAACATAATATTATGTACACTACATTCATACACTAGTCATACACGATCAAAAATTCTCCAATCTTAAAATAATTAAATAACATATTTGAACTATTTGAAACGTGAAATATATTCTTAAATTTAATTTTTCTTTAGTCTTTCGTGTTCACGCCTACAAAAAATCATACAAAACGTAGAATTATAGTTTATAGTAATTTATGTAACATATTTCACGTTTCAAGTTGTTAAAATGAATTATTTAAGCATCACTCGCGTAAGCTACACACAATAAATTTTGATTTTTGATTAATATGATTGTTCATTAAATTCCTTTTTGAGATGCCATATCGTACAATCAGTTTCAACACATTTTTGCGATCGTAGTCCGATGAGCAGTGGTTTCTAGCCAGTGACTGAAAACTTTGCAAACTGTTTTCCAGTAGAAGCTTTCAGTCGATATTAATAATACGTCACCTGTCACGTAACCTTTATATTAAAATCATTTTCTACCCACTAATAACAAAACTATCATATGACACAGAGTACGCTACGTATAACTAACTCATTATATACCATTGACTTTTTATATTAACTGCCAATATGCTATAATACTCTTCTACTTAGAGAATTGAGTTCAAAAATTCCTTTATTGTATTAATAATATAATTTTAATTAATGGTAATATTGTATAATAGACAGATCATAGGAAATTTCTGAGTACATAATATGTGTTATGTGTGTGTGTGAAATCCCCTTCCCCCCCACCATGCAGCGAACACGTTTCTGTGTCCGTTTCACTGATCCGTTCTTTTAACGGGCAGACTTGCCCTACCAGACCGGAACAATTGTTTTTGTTCCCCTGGGATTCGAACTCAGGACGTCCCGCGCATAACGCAATGCAAGGCAATAGGTCTACAGAGGGAAGAGTACATAATGAAAATATAAATTCGACCATCGAGCTAAATAAATCTCCAATCTTTAAATCATCTATGATTTGTCTTAATTTTCATTGTACATCCTACTAACATTATTGTATTATTTACGTACAGAAAGCAGATCAAACCTACTCTATCTATTTCTTGAGTGATACAATTTTTGTTGATGACGTCACGACCTTTTAAAACTAAACTACGTAGTAATGATTACGATTTTAAAAAAAATTACAGATTTTTTCTCAACAATTAGACTAACATGTGCTCGGCAATGGCATTGTTGCAGTATACCTTGTGCCTTATTAATGCTATCTTTGTAAGGTTTATACCTGGTGATTTTAAACTAGATAGAGTAGTTTTTTTCGTCAATGCGGCAACCGGCGGGCGCGTGCAAGTCGACATGGGGGCATATGTAGTGTCGCTTCAAAGCTTAATTGGCAGAATATCTAAAGGCCGTTTTCAATATTTCTACTTGTCATAAACATATTGTTGATCTGAAAAAATTTCAAGTGAGATAGAGAAATAGGCCTTTAGTGCATTTTATTAAAATTGCTTTGCCGCGCTATTGTTGAAAGTATTCGTTTTATTGCGCATGCGCTTATTTAAAAAACTCCAGGCTGTGTTCAGCTTAATTTTATTTGAGATGAAACCTATATATTGACCTAATACAAACATTTTACGTTATATACATATCTTAAATACATATTAAAGAGTACACAATCAACGGATCGTGGGTTCGATTCCCACCGAGTCCATACATACTACATACATATTTTTAATAAACTATCGTTTTTTGAAACATATCGAGATTTGTCTGGAATCTAAAGCTAAAATAGATCAGCAGGGCTTGTTATTGAGATGTTATATAGAAGGGGTATTTCCACCCTCCATTAAATTGAACCTTCTGCCTGTTTCTCCTCTTTTATAAAAACTTTTTATCTCCCAAAAATATAACTACTATATACAATATATTTTATTTTTGGATTTGCGCTGGCTTATTTTTATTCATTCATATTTTGGTGAGGAGTAGGTATGTTATTTCAAAATAATTCCAACGTAATCACACAGAAGTCATAATAATTACTTATTGCTTATTAGAAATATGTTGGAGATTTATGAAACTGTACTTCTATGTGTTTATTTGATTAGATTATTTCGTAAATACTTTTGGACTCTGTTTTGTCTATATCGTATTAAGGAACTCAATTTAAAAGATAAAACAGTATTCAATAGTTTCCCAATAAGAAATAAAGTCGAAGATGACTTAATAAAGGAGTTTTTTTAGGAATCAAACCTCCTTATGGAATGTCGTATTACTATTGGCGCTATTTAAAAAAAACACAAAGAAAAGCATGTACAACACAACATGATTGCTTTCTATTGCGATTTGTAATAATCTATATAGGAATTAAAACATATATTTTATATAATCATTTTTGGGGGGAAATTACTAGATAATTTTACTGATACTATAAAGTGTAAATTCTTATTGTTTCTACCACAAGGAGGTTTAACCCGAGCAACCGACTTATCTGTATATCATACACATATATCGGTGGCTCTGTAGGTGTGTGAGTAAATCGTGTCGGTACATTATGTGCATGTGTGTGTTGTGTAGTAGTGTTCGGGCGTGCTGGGACGGGGACAAGATCGAGCACGCTGCCCGCCGGGATGTCGCCCTGCAATGTGAGTACAGACTGGCTTAAATGAGCTAACAAACACTCCAACGTGACGTGACGAATTCTTTTGACAGTGCCCCATCTGTGAGTTTTATGCTAACGAAAAACGTTTAAGTAGTCTTGTGTTCTAAAGTCGATGTTTAATGTTTATAATGCCATAATGTGTAAAAACTAGTAAAATCCGTAATTCCATCTTGTCATTTAAAAAAAAAAAAAAAAAAAAAAAAAAAAAACCAACACCAAAAAAAAAAAAAAAAAAAAAAAAAACAAAAAAAAAAAAAAAAAAAAAAAAAAAAAAAAAAAGGGGGGAACCCGGGCCCCCAAAAAAAAAAAACCCCCCCCCAAAACCCGGGGGGGGCCGGTTAAAACCCCCCCGGGGGCGAAAGATTGTTTAAACTTTAAATATATAAATTGTCCGATTTTCGTTTATGAAACTCATATCAAGACAAAATTAAGTTACTACTGACTGACTTCTTTCAAGACGCCAAAGGCTCGAAACGAACTTGACTGAATAACTTAACAAGGTATAGTGAGTAAGTATGAGTACAGTGGAGAGTGTTGCAGTGGTCTCGTCTCTGCGAACCGCGCCGCGGCCCGGGTACGGTCTCTCCGCCAGGTCACACACCTTCTCTTCCAGCACCGCTGTAAGTATTGCGTATACTGCGTTGATCGTTGTACAATTTGTGCTGCTTTATCGACGTGTTGGAATGTCTAAGACAGATTAGTTTTAGTTAACGAAATAAAAAATCTAATTGATACTTTATATAGAAGCGCCGTGATCTGTAATAATTTTTTTTTGCTTATTATTGTGTCAAAAGTTTTCGTTAACTATTACTTTTAAGTCAAAAACAGACCAAATTCAAGATGACGACTCCAAGATAATTAAGGTAAAGGTATAATAAGACTTCAACTGACGGAGAAGGTCTCCGAGTCATTGGTACGTACTCGTCTTATTTATTTAATAAAACAATTTCTCACAATATACTTTAAAGTTTTCGAATTTTTTATGTAAATTTAATAACGAAAGTTTCTAGTTCGAATTAATTTTTATGTCTTACTTGTGATTGATATATATATATATGTAGCATATAAAAAAAGGTAATATTATATTTTATATATAAAATTTCAGGGTGACTTCACATTCAGTGGTTTAGGCGACAAGACACACAGCACTGATTTCAGCAGCGGCAAGTCAGATAGTACGTACGATTTTCCTACTTATAAAATATATCTCATTTAATTCTTATGCTCTATCAATCTGTCTTTTATATATCAAAATGGCGGAGATAGTCAAGTTTAAAATACAGTAGGGTACCGCAATATCTATACAATAAATCATAATATAATTAAGTTACATCCGTAATACTATGTTATTCAAATTTAAACTTGGAACTGAGAAAATCTTATAAAAAATTAGGACGTCTCTATTCATCTACCCTCCCAAAGACACGAAAAACTTGCTTATTGATATTATAGTGATACTGGTTGTTCCACGCACAGTGAGGACGGACCTCTGCAGTAAGTAACGCGTGCGCCTCGCTTTAACTCATTCAACCCTTTCGTAATTACCACAACTCCGTCCATTCGCTTTGAAGCACAGCTTTTCAGCGTCTCTTCATGCTTACTTTTAACTTTCATATATTTTACAATCTTCCAAGCACAGCATTGCGACGGATAAACGTTTAGAGGAATGAGCGCTATCCATTATTGCTGTTGCTTCTGTAGGTATTTTGCTCGAAACCCATTTTTATCATATAGAAGTGCGGCGCAGGCTTACTGAATCCAGCCATTATTTTAAGGGTATCACCCCATATGTAATGATAATTGCACAATCTGGAATATGCCTGGTATTCTGTATATGTTTAGATTATTTCAGTATTTAAATATAAACTTGCCGTATTTTTTTTAAATCTAAGCTTTAAATAAAATAGTTATAGTACTGTAGTTCTGCAATAACTAATATTGTTCACTTATATTTCAGTTTCTGCCGGCTCCATTACAGATGTGGATAGAAGTGCTGTGGTAAGTACTTCCGTTTTTTTTTAACAATATGAATATAGGAGTTTTGGTAATGGAATGGATTTCATGAATGGATGGATCTTATGTCTTCTTGGGACACCTTGTTTTTTTTTCATAGACATTTAGGTACTTTATTTTTGTCATATTAAACTGTTCATTTTTTACATTAAAGGTGTAAAAAATATTAAAATATATATATATATATAACTCTAGACAACCGAAGGCGGCGTACTAGTCCGTGGTGTGACAGGAGCAGGAAGCGTTGTGGGTGCGGCTGGTGTAAGAGGTGGGTCCGTCCGTCGGTCTCTTCCCAACATGGCGACTTCGCATCTAGTTCACGAACCAGCCAAGCTCTACCCGTACCATCTGCTGCTCATCACTAACTACCGTTTGCCGCCCGATGTTGACAGACTGAATTTAGAGGTATAACTCTGGTTCCAAAACAAAAGGAAAATTTCTTATTTCATCACCCTAACCGACAAGGTAAAATTTCGCCTCCCCCGTGGGGCATGGGGCGAATACATTTGTGTGTCCGTTTCACTGAACTGGTTGAGGCAAGTAGTTAATCAGACGGTGCCCCGCCCGACCGAAACAGTGATATTGTTTTCCTGGGATTCGAACCGGGAACATCTGGAATTTAACGCAATGTTAAGCATCACGTTTAACCATTTGGCTCCGTAGTCTTGACCGACATATTAACCTTTTAATAATGCCGGAAATGTTGTTACATACACAAGTGTTAGATTATTCGCATAACCAATGTGTACCATTACTATTATGAATAAGACAATTTCGTTGGTCCTTGGTTTAAACGGTTAAAGTATACCAAATTACCTAGTTAAACTTTCTTTCAGCGCCATCTATCGGACGCGGAATTCGAAGCGATATTACAGTTCTCTCGTGCAGAGTTCTACCGTCTACCGCAGTGGCGTCGAAACGAACTCAAGCGACGTGCACGTCTCTTCTAAGTAAATCCTTTAAAGCAGTGACACATTATAAGTGACGCGTCGCTAATATCAGTCAAAAGGTCATTCAATTTGCCAGCGTAAAAGCCTCCGAAAGGGAGTCACAACATAATCGCAGACTGTTCAATTTCAATATCCTCTTTCCATTCGTTTGAACTTATTTATATATGTATTCAGAAATAATTAAATTCTAATGTAGCGTTATGCTATGTGACTGTCAAGGGGCAATATGGTAAATTTCATATCAAGTACTGCCCTTACCGGGGTCACATCGATCCAAGTACGAATTGAAATTTATTTATTAATGTTGATATTTTTTTACATTTTCCACTTCGTCACAACCGAGTGATGATCATTTTACGTTTGCATAATTTTAACGATAGCTGACGTAGCGAGGTTCTATCTAATTTATGATAGTTTTAACTATAGTAATATAATTGATATTTTAATAAAATTCACATAATAATGCGTGAGTGATGTATATGTACCGAGTTCATGGAACTAAAACATCGACGGCCTTGCACTTGCTACGGCGGCATTTGAATTGTTTGATTACAATACTGATGTGGAGGCAGCGTTTTTTATGTTGGCAGAAATAATATTGAAACACCTGTATGACGCAGTGGCAAGTAAAGTAAGTCGACATCTGGTTACGTAGTAACATATTATAATATATGTACATCGATGCCTTGTATGAATGTATAGATAAGTATACAGTGCGAGCGTACACGTTTACTTTAGTGAGAACCAAATATATAGATAATATATTATATATGTAAGAGAAATCATATTTTATGTTAAGATGGTTCTAGGTTTCATTTCGAATGTCATTTTGCGAGGAGTATTTATTATTATTTTATCACTAGATCCATTCTAAAAAACTAAGATTATGGGGGCAATTCTTAATGAAGGTTTACCTTTTTTTTGATAAATTTGGCGCAAATTTTATACCACACTATGAGAATTTTACTTGAGACACACGATTTTCACAGTATGAATGTGAACTTAAGGAGTTGCTTCTGTCACGGAAGAGAGAAACTCTTATGAGTGACATCAGTTTCGAGCCTTGTTGATATCTTTTTTACTTACTACGCGAATGTCAAAAACCTTATATCAGTCTCTTGAGAATTACCCCCAGGTCTGCAGCTATTTAATTTTAACTTTTAAACGCCATTGAGTGAGCGGCGGCCCTTAACGCACACTAAAGCATATTTAAATAGTAAGGTAATCGCTGTCGGTGCCAAATACAGCGCACGTAAGTCCGTCAGATACTACGAGTGTGTGCGTCGAGGGCAACGTATATTTGTTCCTATGCTATTTCGCGTGTGTGTTTGTGTGCGTGAGTCCTTGTTCAGCATATTTCGTTGTTTTTAATTTTATTCTAGCCAGATATATCACTTTGGTTGCAATATAAATGTGTGTTAAGTAAATATTAGTATTTTTCATACGGCTTGTGCGTTATATTCTATAGTTAAGTGATATTATATAGGTATAGATAGATTACATTCAAATTGAAATGCCTAATTTGTTACCATTTTCACGACTTACACTATCGTCACACGGGTTCGGTTCTGGAATTCAATGTTTCTTGTGAACATAGGGAAATACTATATTCACACTATTGAAGTTAGCTGCATATATGAAAGTATATTCGGAATTGTTTAAACGCTTGAATAATGGTAGATATTGTAACGTAATTATTATGTAACTTTTTCTAAATTAATACTTAAAGCTTATGTCTACATTTAAATAAAATAGCGAGCTTTCTATGTGAAAACAGATTAGTGAAAGGGAACATTGAGCACACCATCTGTGTCTATTCAGTGCAAATGAATAAGTATCAGTGACTTTTATGTAAAGACTATGCTTTTAAAGTAATAAAATTGCATTTCCAGGCGTATTTTATTGTTTTACTCGAAACCTTTTTCATGAAAATTATGTACAAGTAATTTTCCAAAATCTACTTGATAATTAAAAAAATGTCTTCATGCTTCGGAAAGAAAATGCCACGTCCTAAAATTAACAAAATGCTGAATAATTATACACAAAGATATAAACAAAACAATATTTCACATATTGTTTAGCACCGGTGCGATAATAAAAAAGAAGCAGTACTATTGTCCAACTGTTTATTTTAATTCTCATTTCTCAGAACATGACATAGTGGCCCGTTCTGACCTCTACCGCTAACAATTTGACTCCGACAAATAAATTAACACAAACAATTCTCGCCTCACGAAGAAAAAGCGGCTCGCGCTAACACGAAGCGGATGAAAGCGTCACTGTTAAATTCTGCCAAAAATTATTACAATTCATAGTTAGCGCGAACCGCTCGCCAAACATAGCACCTCATAGTTTTCCATCCCGAAGGATCACTAACATTAACAGATGTAAGACCAATCCACGTGACCCAAAGCGAAAGATTACAAAGATCTCTGGTCAACACAATGGCTTCGCCACATCACTCCCCCCCAAAACCGACCACTCTTATCATATCTGGTGTACGGAGTCCTCAATACATTATTCGTAATTTATCGCACCCTGTTTAAAGTAAAACTCAAATTTGTACGACTGATTATGTGAGGAAACAATATTTATCATGATAGGTTTAGTTACGCAACACTTATGTACAAGTTAGGGGCTAACGTTTTCCAAACTTCCCAAATTGTATAATTACAATGTTATAAAGGTCTGTTGAATTATCCATACAATCCAAACATATGGCTTGTCTGTTGATTTGTGCACAACATTTTACTCTTAAAAGGTCTTATCACCAGTAACAGTATTTTAATTTATTAACTCATCAATCAAAAATTTCTTTATATTTGATCAAGATGTATTTAAGAAAATGTTGTGCTTCTCAATAGACCAGCAGAGGGCGCTGTGCGCATCGTCTTAATCGTCGTAATTCGATTCACCGTCTTATCTATATTATACAAATGTCTTGAAAGGACACACCAAGGATTACATTGGAAATCACAGCCTAACTATAATGCAAGATAGCTGAGAGACGAAGGAAAATTAGGGAGTTTCCGATTAATCCACGATAATCACAATTTACATTCTGTTCAAATATATTTTTACATTCGGTTTTCCGAGACGACGATATAATTCTAGCAAGTACATTTTTTACAGGCTAGAGCGAGATAGCCATATTGAAAACAAAATTACTTGTTCCACCACATTTCTACAAACAGTTAAAGAACTGTGCATTGAAAAATTTTAACTACCTTCTAAAACAATGTGTTTTTGAAATAGATTGTTTACGATTACAATTATTATTAATATCATTATTATATCTTTAAAATATATCTAGGAGCTTTCGTGATAAATTTTTTAATAATCTAATAGGCCAGTACAAGCCACCCACCGCAGTTTTTGAATTGAGATTCCGCGTCTGGATTTCAAAACGGAAAATGATTTTGATAAACAATACAACAACCGTTTAAGAAAGACAAAATTCTTTAAAAGCTGACTTAATTTGACTCACACTAGTGACGAAAATAACAATAGAAGCAATTCGATTTAGAATATAATTTGTTTTTATGCACATTTTGCTTAAGATCAGTAAAACTTAAGAGGGCTGCCTATTTTGCATGCAATTTAATTCCGTTATCACCATTGCACGTAACTCACACAGTCGCATTATTAAAGTCAAACAATAAATCAATATACGCATCTGTAAAATATAAAACAGTAACAGAAATTTATTAAAAAAAAAAACTCATACGAGATTAAAAACCAAACAGCGTCACCGAACACAAGTTAAAATATCGACGTTCACAGGGAAGCAATACCGCGTGTCCGGCGACCGCACATAAGTAAATAGTAATACTTAATATCAAAACTATCTATAATGACTTACAATTAATTTATTCGTAACATCACAGCTATATTCTAACGCATTCACACAATCACACACACTCGCCGCGATTTTGGAAATGATGACGATTGTTTAAAACTTAATCAACTGATTAAATTCGACAACTGATTTTCATAGATATTTGAATTCAAATTGCTGCTTACTCTGTGCTAGAATAAATAATCATTAAATCTTAGATCAATATTTAATAATGTCTTGTTTTAGTATTACGAAAATATTATTCGATATGAGGAATTACTAATTTATACAACGCAATGTATGTATGTATACGTACATGCTTTCTGTGCCTTAATATTAGACCTAGTTACTGTCTGTAGTTTATGCTAGTACTACACATTTAAATAAAATACTTAAACTGTTTAAACGCAAATTCTATTAGTGTAACTGTAACTGTTATGTAAGGACCCAGTTAGTTTCACCAAATACAAACTACAAGGCAACAGATGGCGCTAGCCGATTATATTTTGACATTAGAACCACCCTGCATCTCAGTCACGGCGGGACTCAAGAAGTGAGTGGGGAGTCATGGAGGTGAAACATGAGGCAATGGTTAAAATAAATAATACATTTCGCGTTTAAACAGTTAAAAGTGTTTTATTTAACAATATTAGATCTATTAAAGCATAATATTACGCAGTTCTTACACAAATCTTTTTTGTACTCTGACTTGCATTTTTAATTATGAATGAAACTATAGTCTATTCACTGTAATGAATTAATGTTCAAAGAAGACACCTTCGGATAATTATTTTTTGTGTCTCTCTTACTCATATGCAGTTGTAGAAAAGAGATAACGGTGAAAAGTGCTAATGGAATCGGTTTGAGAATTAAAAGCAAAAGATTTGTCAGCGACAAGTCAAGCACAGAGTTTCAAACAAACGCGAGCCAGTCTATGTACAATTTGGTCTCTTGAAATCACAGAGACGACATAAGGCCCGCTCCACACACACACAAAAAACATACGTAACGCAAAAATATTTTTCCATGTTAATATATACTCTGTTTAATCAACAACAAAACGCGTAACAACAACAACAGGGTTCTCCTCGTCCCGAACCGAACCGTCGGAGTTCGAAATTCAAATTCACTGGGATATTCGAATGATCGTTTCGATCGATAGGGACAAAAATTGTTAGTGTTTTTTTTTCTATTTGTCCCTGTTCAAAACGGCGCTGATAGTCAAAAATTTTGTCCCACTGTCCACTTGTGGCCTGAAATGTGCATTTTTTTGTACTTCAGTTTATATATATATCGAAGTGTCTAGACTACTATAAATAAGGAATTGTTGGTCAAATGAAGAATTGATAGACGAAATGGTTTTGTTCAGAGACCGGCGTGGTCTCGTTGGAGACGAGGGTGTGTACGGGGTTATGTGCGCGTCAGGGTCGTGGCCGGCACCTCCGCGGCGGCGAGACGCAGCGTGGCACAGGCGAGACTCGAACCCGCTGTACTCGTCTCGCTCGACTCCTCGGACAACTCCACCTGTGTCATACATTCACTGTTGGAATAAATTGAGCGTGTTATATGTAACTAATGGTTAGTTATTTTAGTGCTATTGTAAAGAAGCTTAAAATGAAATTAAATACGCGTACAGTGTTAAGCGCGTGTTTGAGCGTTTCGTAGGTGAGCCAACAAATCGCCGCCGCAGGCATCTGGTAGAGGATGCGCGCGGCCACTCCCTTGAAGAAGCCGCGAGGCCCGGACGTCCGCAGCACGAGACCAGCCGCGCCCACCAGACCTTCCGCGCCTCGCTCCTGCAAAAGATAATTAAGAAGACCTGAAAAGTTGTCGAAGTCAGATTTACAGGTGACGGGCTCGTTGGTGTAATGGTAGCAGGTATGGATTAGATCCCCATCGGGTCCAACATTTTTTGACTTCGTCTCGAAATTTGGATATTAAATGGGTGGTAGGAATATCGAGTCTGTCCAGATCAGCCACCGGCCACAGATTAAAAAGCCGTCAAGTTTAATCAGGTTTCAATCTGTGGATTTTCGAATATCCAAAGCAAAAATCGACAGCGCATGTTGTTTAGATGCTTATAGGCCGCCATCAAGGGAACCCCATGTTTGTAGTACACACAACACAGTATGAAAATCCAACATCAAGTAATATAAAGATGAAGAATTATTTTGTATGATTCAATGCAAATATAAAATAATCGATTAAGTGTGGAGAATGAATCATACTAAAAATAGGTACTGGCAGCAATTTAATATCAGACTTAAATTTTTAACATTTATTCAAATCAAATAGTTTAATACAGTGAGTACAAACAGGTATTCTTTTCATTAGGTAGGACAAAGTAATTAGTTTTTATGAACATAAACACTAAAACCTAAGACTTTGTGAATTTTATATACCTAATTCCTACAGCATTTGACTATCGTAAAACTGGATTTTTATCTCAATTTGCAATTTAAATGGCGAGAAGCTTTTAGTCTATCTATCCTAGCGAGACGGGTTTAACGACTTTTTTGGCGACAGATTCTCAAAAGTCTATATAAAATAAACTTGAATGATAAATTAAATCTAGATTTTTATATTGAGATTCGTCACTATACAATGAATTAATTTGCTATGAGGCTTTTTTTAGACTATTACAACGACTTGACAGGATATAAAATGCCGATAAACAATTCAATTTGATTGCACAAGATAGCTTTCATAAATTAGAAATCTAATAATATTGGAAAAATTCCATGACGCGGGTGGGACTTGAACCACAATCAACAGCGATGTTTGCTGTTGCCAATCAGGCAGACGTCGTAAACGAATTTCATTAAAGTTTTCATACATCGCGTAAAACGTTTGTTTCGTGTCATCATTTTTTTTTAATGTAAGGTAGATTTTTAATCAGATGCATACCTGTGTATTGAGCAGCGTCTTGCAAACGTCAAGGGGGGTGGTAGCAGCCGCGGCTAGCGCTCCCGCGAAAGCTCCTGACGTGAGATGCGCCCGCGGCTCGTAGCCCCGCGTGGGGTTCAACCGGGACTGACACCACTCATACGTCACAAAGTGTACCGCCTGAAAATACATTCAGGGCAAACATAAAAAGGGTTTTATTGGGCTTTCGTTGGTCTAATGCTAAAAATATATGACTAATAATTAGTAAGGGGTTGCGATTTTCATCCCCACTGAGTCCACAATGTTTCTAATCAATTAACGTTGAACTTGGTTTGAAAATCTGAATATGAATGCCCACAGATGACGGCGCATTATTATATGGCTAGGGAGTTAACCTTCCATCAACTGAACCGCACGTTAGTGTGTCCTACATCATAAAAAATTACATAATAGATTGAGGACTCGTTCGTTAATTATGTTAGACGCTGATAATATGTTATAGACAATAGTTTCAGCTAGGAATAAAGTCTATCCTAGCATTTACAAATTTATAATCTTATATTTAGTATATTATGCTGTTACCTGGAAGGGCACGTTCATGGTGACTTGCGTCCCGTATGAGCGATAGAACGCCCTCAAACCTTCCGCTCGGTACACGTGCCTCGCGCACTCCCAGACGCCTCTGTACGGAGAATTTAGCATCTGCAACCGCTGCTTCACAACTGAAACCGAGAGAGAGGCCAGCAGTCAATAAGACGCGTGAAGCGCTTACCTCTAGTTTTATCTAAACTCTAAGCAAGAAGCCAATTCGTCGACCGCCTCGAGAGAGGTCTTAGGAGAGGTTCGAATCCCGGGAAAACAATAGATAGTTTTTGTCGGGCAGAGCATAGTCTGATTAACTATTTGCCGTAAATAAACCCGATCAGTAAAATGGACACAGAAATGTATTCGTCCCATGCCTCACAAACCAAATACAATTTCAAAAGCCAACTCGCGTCGGACCTATGAATACAAAAGAGTGAAATTGCACCAAAGTGCAACACCATAACTTCATGGAATAAACATGCTGGTTGACTTTAATTACAGCAGTCAATTATAAACTACAGTCACAATTATGATTTAATAACGAATTTTAAATATTAAAATAAAATACTTCACATTTCTCCATCGCATGGACTAGACGTGATATCATTTGTTTGGGTTTGCCAACATAGGGAAGTGCCCTAATATTGATAAGTGTTGCCATAACAAACGACACGAGTGAACGTACTTCGATTATCAAGTTTATTCTATGCTTATCTTGGTTCAAGGGTTATAATACATTGTCAAGGTTAAAGTTACATCCTTATATCAAAACGTGGGCTACAAAACAGCATTTTCTTAGCTTTTGTTTTCATTCTAACTTATTTATTGCACAATGTTGTTATTTATTGTACAAATTGTATATGCTAGAATGAAGTGAAATGGGCGCCCTTATCGCTAACAAGCGATCTCTTCCAGGCCTACCAGACAACCTAAAATTAGGGAAAAAATATAGGGAAAACGAGAGAGATGAATAATAAAAAAATTCAAAATTCAAAAATAACAATCTACAGATTTAGAAACGTGTAAGGGACTAATTCAAATCAAATAAATAGATAGCGACTTTACTCAGATGATAGACAGGAAATGTTTATAAAGGAGCATTATAAAAGATGGGAGGGATGCGGCCATGCGTATGGAAAATGTCTCATTGTTGGGCACAACTCTCCTCGATAAACGTTTTGCACAGGAATGAGATAACACGAAAAATAACCAATTTATACACAGTATTATTATAAAAACCTTAAAAAGACACGGACAAAAGTGTGTAAAATTTGTTTTTTAATAATAATAACTCAACTGAATAATAGTGACTCTTTTTTATCACTCTCACATAGAAATTACCACGCAATTTATGCATGGATATTGAAAAAGATAGTGTCATACAATAACATTGTGATACGAAGCACTTAATTACATTCTAAAACTTAGTGCCAACATGATAGCCTGAGGTCGTAGCTAAGAAGTGTGATAAAACATTTACGATAAATCAAATACGTGCAATACGGTACGCACTGATAGTGAAGGTATTTTTATAATTATAATTAGACTAGCTTATTTTGGGCATCATAATATAATGTATGTTTGCAAACGGCTTGGCTTTTTAAATTTTTACCGATGTCGTCTGTCCCGTCGCTCTTGCGAATAAATCTTAAAAAAGTATCGAAAGCCCTCAAAGATGAATAATTTTCCCTTTTTTCCACATTTGTTTCTTCACAATGTATGGCTAATAATCAACGGGCCGTGGGTTCGATTCTCACGGGGTCCACAATGTTTCATCGATTATAATCAATTCATATCTTTTCTGAAACAAAATGGTAAAAACATTTGGCCTGGAAATCTGTATATTAAACAGGTGGTAGGAATATCATAATTCCATCCGGGTCCATCACCACCGCCCGCAGATAAGAATCCGTGAAATTTAATCGCGCTTCAGTGGATATCCGAATATCCAAAGTCAAAATAGGTTAACAGCGCATAATGTTACGGCGTTATATGGTTGTGGTATTACACCTTCCATTAAGCAAACTTCATGTTTCCGTGCTCAATCATAAAAAACACTGAAGTTACACAAACTATATCGAAAGTAAGCATTCATACAGACATCCTAGGAGCACAACATACATGTACATACACCAGTTTTTTAAATAACTATGTTCAAACCAAACGCACTGTAACAAATCGATAGTGCAGATGAGATACGCCATCCCTCTTCGTCCTTTGACAAGTGAAAGTGACAAAAGGTTATCTCTCAAAGTCAACACATGCACAATGTTCCATTATGGGTTGCTTTTCCTTATTTGCTGAACAAGTTAATTTGGAAAAAAAGTAGTAAAAATTAGTTCGGTCTCACTATGTAAATTTAACATTTTTATTGTGACAACGGGTCAGTAATTATATTACCTTTCTATACATATTTGGTTTTTAGTACGGTATAAATCGTTTTCGTTAACGAATGAAGCCTGCCCTTGCTTTTCAAAAAGTGAAAAATAAGGGTAATCACCGTGACATTATACAGTACTTACGATCGTTATATAAATAACCAACTTCAATTTCAATCGAAATTAAATTTGATATAATTGTAATTTTAGAAATAATATGATTCCGAAAAGGATCGTCACTAACCACTAATTATTCTTTAGAATAGCAAGAAGCGTTGCAGTTAATTTACTTCAAATAGTCGTTTCCGTTAAAAGTGAAACTCAATAAAAATTTTCATTACAAAGATAAGTTCAATGAAATAATTTCCAAACACAGTTAAATGTGTTAGTGCCCAATAGCGTGCTTTAACATTATCGAATAGTCACGATACTAAAATTAACTAGTACTGTCTGTAGTTTAGTTAATTTGAGTCAAACACTTTGTACGATAAAAAAAAGAAAATCAAGAATATATTATATGTAATATATGCGCAGCATTTGAAATTATAAGAAACACGGAAATTTTAATACGCCCAGGATGAAATTTTCGTGTTTCAGAGGTCAAACACCTGGTACTCTAGATCCCAAAAAAGAGCATACCAGTAAAAGAGAAGATACTATGAGCCAGTTCTGCAAGGACCTAGCCAGTTTCGCCAAATACCAACACGACGACGGTACCATGACGGAACAGACAGCGTAGCAGTTTTTACTTTAGACTTTAAGGAAACCCTCGATTTTGAGCCTCCTGCGACTACGGCTGTTTCATCCGTCTCGCCGTGGGTAAAATGAATTGTAAATAAGTTAACTGATACATTCCGCATTTTGAACCGTTAAAACGGTTTTATTTAAATATAAAACTTTTAGTGACCATAAAATGAGACTTATTTACCACTGCTAATATTAATTTTTTCTGGTCTTAGATTTTAAATAAATTCATATAATTTATAGAAATAACATTTCGATATTTTTCATCTTATCCGTTGTAACTTTGAGCTGAAAATTAACATAACCCAAACAATAAACGATCTAGAACAAATAGAAACACTTCATAATATTATAATTTCCAAAGTGTTTAATTAAATTACAATAAACACATTTAGATTGCGTCGATAGTATACAAGTGTCCAATTAACTCATATGATTCAAATAGTAGGTAAATAATACGTATGTGCCGCTATCATGGAATTGCAGGAAATTAGATACAATAAGTATCATTGTATTAGCATGTTAACAGATAACATTGCAATGAAGAGCACGCATTGGGGGGAATACCTAGAATTGAAGACTTGTTTGCTTCATTTCTTTTAATATATTTGAATATAACACGTAATGTATAACAATAATTTGTAGTCTTGGTGGTGGCCTTAGCCTAGTATTGCGTTGAGAGCGAGAATTCCGAGATTCACATCTTGTGGAAATGTCGGACAGGCATAGAAGACTAAACTAAGCAATCGCTCAAATAAATTTTAATTCCTGTACGATTCGTGGTTCACCTAATGTCCTATGACCTAATGTGGACAAAATATGTATGTAGGTAGATAGTATTTTTTTCTGTAATTTTTACATTCACTACGCTTACCTTAACTTTTATACTTAGCAAAAAGTTATATATGTTTTTTTCTTTACTTTCTAATAGGTATTTGCAAAACCGAGATCCGTGTTTGGCGAGTACTTGACCCGACGCTCAAACGAAACTTATCACGAGCTAAGGTGGACGTTATCGGCGCGCCACCGGCCTTCAACTATCGCCCCATATCTTTTTGTGGTTCAATGACTTGATCATCCGCCTTGGCGTGACCCATTTAGGGTCACTGTGCGAATTTGATACGTGGTATTGGTGGGAAGATTGAGCTATTGTTACTCAATAGAACGACGAGAGGAAAACTCAATACAAATAACAAAATGAATTGAGATTTTTTGATTTTAGTGCCTTTATGCTACCAACGGTTATTTCCAAGGAGTATACTTTTTTTAAGTACATATGAAAACTTTGATTTTTTTCAAAAATTAGAAATTTATTTAGATTAAAAAAATATATAATACGAGCGGACCATGAACCGGCATACACAGCTTTCCGTGCTGTTTTGTCAAATCAATTTAACTACCGTATGCACCCAGTTATAAAGAAATATTATTTTAATTTATACCTTAACGAACTACGCATAACATGTGAGCCAGCTGTGATAGAAAACTTATAAATTATGCGCGTACGATTGTATTTAAATGTCAAATGAAAAATGTATGCATCGGAAATCGCTAATATCAAGGCCGTCGGCAATTTATATATTTAAATTATAAGTCTACTGTTTTATACCTATAATAGAACTTATTCCAGTAGTGTAGAGATTTTTGTAATAACAAACACTAGAGCCGGCAGCGCTCAATACCACAGCGATATTTACCATCTACAAGCAGTTAACAACGATAAAGTTAAATACTGTCTATAGTTTACGCGAGTAGTACACATTTAAATAAAACACTTTAACGGTTTAAAACGCGATATATTAGTTAAACTTATTTGAAAAATGATTTTTAACTTTGGCCCGATAAACGATAAAGTTAATACCTACGTACCTATCTTGGGATTGTGAAACACTCAATTGGTTAGAGCAGCATTAAACACTGTGGACGCCGGTTCAGGACCCGCCCGTGTTAAATGTAGATAGATTTTTAATTTGTATGAAACCTTATTGAATCTTCATATCGATATCGAACAATATTTTCGTCATATTTGGCTGGGCAGTAAATTATGATATTATTTTATAATAAGAATGATGATTTTAAAAAACATAAGTGGACCAAAGAATTAATACCCATGATCCTATTAAGGCTTTGCCTTAATGGTGGTTATGGTGTCTAACTCCCTAAATACTGCTACGCTAGCGCCATCTGTTTCGCCGTAGTTGGAATTTGGCTCAACGGTCAGCCCGTGCTTTGAACTCGGTACGAAATTCTAATTCATAATTTTAATAACAATATACAATTTTCAGTTTTAGACCGAGGCACTATGGATTGTAAATTCTATTTAGAATGATATCAAATAGCAGAAACTTTTGCAATATTAGGCGTGTATAGTACATTATTAGAGAGTGCCGTATCCGCGTAATCATCATAACAAGTTTACAATTGCGAGCGGAACTCGTTTCAACCACCAATTGACGTCCTCGCAACTCGCGCTGAAGAAGCGTGATATACCTCTTCGATATTGATGATAATCACTTGACAGACGGTAAAACACCCTAGCCATACAACATAGATGTTCTATATTAAGAAAATCAGGTTAACCGATAAAGTCTTCTTCGTTTTGTTTAGTTATTTTTTATGATAGAGACGGACAGACGAACATGTAGTTCATCTTCATACCAAACAGTAAGACAGTAGGTGACACAGCCACCTAGCCATATAACATCTAAGCAAGATGCTTTGTCAAACTATTTTGGTTTCGATATTCAGAAATCCCCAGACTGAAAGAAAAATGCAATTAAACTTGATGCTTTTTCATCTGTGGCGGTGGTTCGTGACCCAGACTGAATTTCGATACCACATATTTAACATCCAGATTTTCAAACGAAGTCCATCATGTTTTAGAAAAATGTATATGATTACTAATGATATATTTTCTAAAGTGTTGGACGCGGCGGGGATACATTTTTTACTAATTATGTTAATAAAGGTATGAATTTATGAATATAAAGTAGTAATGAATATTAACGCCATAAAGAACTATCGAAGTTGTAATTAACCGTCTAAAACATGAAAGAGATAAATAACACTGTATTTATGGTTAATTAATTCCTTACTATGACAAACAATAAACGCGATGACATTACAATATTTGCATCTTACAATTCATCGTGCTGCATTAACAACAGCGTGTAATGTAAGACGAATATAAATAGGTTTGAGGAAAATGCATGCGCGCGCGCTGCTTAGAAAAACGATGACGTCATGATAGAAAAAAACCGGTCGTTATTGCTGATTACTGTTTCCTCTGAAAATTGACCTAATCCTGTGTAACTTTGTATTTACATTTTCTCGTGCAGGTGTTTACGTCTTATAGTTATTATATGTAGTTTTTAATTTTGACAAACTTCTTCGAGATAAATCGAACGTGCTGTTCGAGCAGCGGGCGGCAATAGTTGTCTTAAACTCCATGTGTCGTGTTTGGCGTCCAAATAAATTACTGTGTAAAATCATATTTGTTTCATAATTTAAAAATGGAACGTTTTATAATCTATACCGCAACATGGCGACCAAAGAGATCGGGTTAGATATAAAACTGAAACCTAGAAGCGTTTAAACTGACAATTTTTTTATCTGTGGACGGTGGTTCGAAGAATGTCTGTTCATAGACAGTAGATATTACCTCTGGTATCTACTGACAAGAAAAGACAATTATTTAGCGCATCGCACACAACTTTACTTTCTCTTTCTCTTGACGACTCTCGAGTTGACATGAGGATATTATATAACCAATTATTTTATCCTGCATTCAAAGGCCTTTAATGGCTGCCTGAACGGTGACTAAAGTATCTTATTAACGGGAGTAATTATATGGAAATCAGTTCTTACACCACATTATTGGTTAATAGTTCATCATTTATTACCGCATGACATGAATGATGTTCAATAAATAATTTTTCAGCCCATTCATGCCATGCTTATAAACAGTTTAGATGCAGACAGGCATAAGTATTTTGTAATTATTTTTATCTTGTTTTATCTAGCATCTACATGTTAAACTACTTTTAAGCCAAACCTTGATTTCTTTAACTAGCTAAAATAGCTACGTTAGTTCTTCATTTCCTAAGTCAAAGCAGCCATGGGTCATAATAATTAATGCTAGATGCTAACAAAGTTGAGCGCGCGTCATAAACTAATAAAAGCAATCGTGTAAACGGTAACAACGACCAATTTCAGAAACATCGAGAACATTATAACACCTCAGCTGTGTTAACTCTTTATTTTATAAATTATTTATGATTTTTATTTCATATTCTTAAGGAACACTCAAGCGTTACTTTTTAAAGTTAAAACCGTCTTTCGTCTAGGTCCAGGTACAGTGTAAAAAAAAAATAATAGGTTGTTCGAAAAGTATTTTTTGGCCGACAGAGGATTTTATTGTACTTTTTGCACTTAACTTCAAACCTGATTCATGTAATTATTATATGCTTCATGACCTCAGAGAGTAATGCTTGTGTGCGAAAGTACAATAGGTTTTGATTGGGGCCTTTTTGAATATTAAGAGCTGTTTGACGAAGGTAATAATACCATTACCAAATTAAGCCATGTGTGATACTTGTTCGCTAAATTTTAACCTAGTGTGTTCTACATTGTACTGTGTCACAATCGGTACACTCTGTACTCGGTACAATCCCATTAAAGACAGCGCTTGTGTATGCTTCTGATGTTTATTTAGGTACATAGAAAGGACAAAGTATACACGCTAATTATGTTGGTCACTATCGGTGGTTGCTATTTACTTATAAATGTATTTAATATAAATATTTACTATTCAGCTGAAGAGTTTGTTCGGTTGAACGCGCTCATATGATGAAGTAACTGGTTCAAATTAAATTGGTGCGAAGAAACTGGGTAATATAGACAGAACGAAGAAGAATATTCATCTTCGAGGGTTTCCACTAGGTGCGATGCGAAAACAGTTTAAGATATCAAAAAAATATGTATGAAACAAAGGGTTCCTCTTTAAATAATAAAAAAAAATGACGGTAACGGACTGCACCCGACGTCGTGGGTAACAGCCTAAAAATACCTACATATTCTACGCAGACGAAAGCGCCGGCACAGCTAGTGTTTAATATTAGAAAACTATCATTAGTTAACGATTACGCGTCTCGCCCGTTATAAAGCATCGACTCCAACAATAATTATGATTAATTTCTTAAGCTACGTGGGTATGGAAACAGTAGGGTGGTCATAGTAGCGATCACACGGGTGTCAAATACGCGCACTATCAGCACGTTCCAGCTTAGGGCTGCCACATAAGACGCTACAGGAAATAGTGGGTACATATTACTAGGAAAATGTGATACTAGTGGACTTTTGTATATATATTTAAATACATATTCTGTTTTTTGTTTTGTGACAATAACGAATGTTTGTAGACATATGTCGCCGTAATCATATATCTCATGTTTAAGAATTGCCCCTTATGTCATTGTTATGAAAAACTGCGTTAATATTGGAATGATTGATTTTCATATATAGTGTAGGAACTGTAAATCCGATTTGCGATCCGCTTTAGTGATCTATGCGACATTAGTAGTTTCGATAGAACTCGACTCACCTTCGGTGGGATTTGAAACTGCGTCGTGTATGAGCGAGGCCAAACAACCCGATAGACCTGAAAACATTATAAATATTGTTTTGATAACTTTTTAACATTTTTCACATGTTATTGCAGGTGATGCCATAGTGGCTAAAGTATATCATAAGTTCAAAATCGAAAAAAAACTAAAAAAAAAACCATTTTACTTTTTCTTCATTACAGCTCTTTCAGACGTTCGATTTTCGTATTGTTCCTAATTAGGGTATGTTAGGTCATAGTTAATTACCGTGTGTTATGTGATCGTGCCGATGCCTCGTGAGTTGTGATAGGGTGTGTTTGCTCTGTTCGTAGGTGGCGAAGAAGCAGGCGTGTGCCGGCCCAGCACCGACCACGACCGCCGACATGCCGCGGATAGGCCTGGAAGAAACATTTCGTCTTTAAGAAGTTAATTAACAGTAACATCACTATATTTAAATAAAAGATGCTTTGCAGCGGCCGTGAGCCGAGGAGACTAAAGATGGAGGATGTCTCTGACGTCAAAGTGGTTTTTTTTATGTGTCAGACTTCTTCAGAATGAATTGTATTATTGATTTTATATAGGTATATTATAAGAATTATATTATTATTCATACTTAATAATAGACTATAATTTGAATAAAACAAAATGGAGCTAAATTTTTTGTTAGCGTAAACTTTAAATATGAAATTTTACATTATAGAATTGTGCAGTTGACGAGCTGATTACGAGATGGTAGCACGAGATGTTTGGCAGAAAATCAATAAGGCCATAGGTTCGATTTCCAACGCTCCACATTTCAAAAAATTTATAATCTGAAGTATGTTGGGTTTCGTAATGTTAAAAATTCCATCTGGGTCACGAACCACCCTCCACAGATGAAAGTCTTTATTGCGTTTCGGTTTCAGTCTGTAGATTTCCGAATTTCCAAAGGCAAAATAGGTCGACTGCGCATTTTGTCATGATTTTATGTGGCTGGGGTATTTTATATACCATTCAGAGAACCCTATCTGTTTGTCTGTCCTTTATTATAGAAAAAGATATAAAAGTCTCGGATACATTCATTTAGATATATTTTGAAGAGCTACTGGAGAGCGAGTGGTCTGTGATATATAATCAATTTCTTAGATTTAATTTCATTTAAGAGTATTTAAGGAATCTGTTTAATAAAATATCAATAATATTACGGTTTAATTGTAATGACGTTTAAAACTGACGTTAATTAAGCTAATAATGCATAATCATTCACCTATTACGGTAAGTGACGCAAATAGAATTTTAAAACACTTGTTTAATGTAATTATAAATTCAACATAAAAATAACGTCGATATATTTTTAAGACGTGTGAAACAAAGTTAGAAGTAGAGTTTTTACAGTATTTCTGAATCATTATATATCGTTAAGGTCGGGAGCTCCTGCGTTCGAATCCCGGTAAACAAAATCGGATATCGGATCAGCTTACTTGTAGAATATCTTTTGAACTCTCTGAAAACTTTGGAACTCTCTATCTCCGTCGATTAGCTCTTCCTTGTTTTCCTTCAGTCTTTTATATAAACATCTATTCCTTATCAGTTAATAAATTTCACTTTCCTTTTTCTTTTTTTTTTTATATTTATTTTGTGGGTTTTTATTATTTTTAATTTAATTTAATTTATGTTTATTTAAGTAATTAGTAAGTGCGATCTGTAGTTTTTAATATGTGTTTATGTGTGAAGAGATGCAGGAGGGGTACACTCTATGAATAGTGAAAAAAAAAAAAAGACCAACAAACACATAATGTCTGCCTGTCCATTGGGAAAACGACATTTCAGTTATGGGAAAATGGGGAATTATTTTGTTTTTGTATTCAGACTCAAGTGCTACAAACATCCCCTGTCATAGTTGATATTATGCTACCGTGTTAGCTCGTCTGAAACAATATCCGTATTATCAATTTAAGTCCGGATGTTATTCCATACATCTTTCAACAGTGTGTAATTTTGTTATTTGTATCAATAGTCTACCTTACTACTATTTATAGGGAGTTCAAGGACGATGGAAGCGGATCGATACGTACAATCAACAACAAAACACGTAAAATACTTTTATTGTCATTTCTATAACGCTTTTATATATGTCAGAATACTAGTGTCACATACTAAAGAAACGTTTTGGCGTTATAAAATCTTTCCCACAAATAGAAAATGTTGTGTCCTGCCTGGCCAAGACAATATATCGTCTCTCGGATATCGAACCCGGAACCTCCCATGCTTATCGCATTGCTAGGCAACTTGTAAAACAACAAAAATCGGTTAAGAAAAGGATAATATTGCTCAGTAAAGCTTGCCTATGTAAAATTATACAATTTATAGAAAATAATGTATTTTTTGTCCTCCAATCCCGTCATATGGGAATTGAAATGAGTTAAGTAATATAATTCAAATGAAGCCGTTAAAAGTGTTTTCTTTTATTCAGGCAATACTTTAAATTGTATTTATTATAAAAATTACATAGAAGTGCGTAAATTAATTTTAAAATCCGAACGGCACGGAACGTTGACGATGCCGGTTCAAGTCGTGCCAGAGTCGAAAATTTTTTCAATTGATTCTCGATGTTTAAATTATATAGTGGTTCCTTCATATGCCATAACATGTAAAAAAATTATTAAGTATTGAAAGTACGTAAATTAATAATCTATGTGGATTGAAAAAGATGACGACACGGGCGTGACTTGAACCGGCAAACACAGCGATCCATGCTACCGTGCTTCGACTATTTCAATCTCAAAAGATTTTTATAAAATATAATACGCATCGTGTGCAATAGTAAAAAATAATACAATTTATACATAATATGTCATATAGTTTTTCAGTATGACGATGTTGACCTTTCGATTTAAATACCTATCGGAAGGAGACAATAGTTTTATCAAAACCGCAAACCAGAGACATCTGCCGCGGTTAGATAACATTATTTATAAACTAGCGACCCACCGCGGCTTCGCTGATATTAAATACACTACAGAAAAACTGTAAACGTTATTTAAAAACCGCATCAAAATCCGTTGCGTAGTTTTAAAGATTTAACCGCACGTAGAGATCGAAAAGCGACTGTTTATACTATGTAGTGATTTCAAACAATATCGTATACCTTTATCTGCAGAAACTATGTACATAATGATATATGTCAACGTCTTTAATATTTAATTGTAGACATGAGGCACACTTGTTTACTCCATATTTATTTATTATATATATGTAGTTATCACTTTTTTAATAATTATCGCAAAAGCTGTGTCCTTGTTAATATATTTTTATTAAAACATATGTTGACCCTATTTGTCAAATAAAGACTCACTGTGTCTGCGACTTGTATGTATTGTGAATGTATCTTTATAATTTTAGCTGTTACCCACGACGTCGGTCGCGGCTCGTCGTTCTTGCAAGTTAATTTTAAAACAGACATTATGTGTCGCGGGGTCATTTTTTTTTGAACGTCTAAAGAGGAAACGTTCTTTTATACATAGTTTTCTTCAGTTTCTTGAATCGTTTTCGCAGCGCACGTATCCGAATTTTCCCCGTTTTTCCACATGTCCTGTTTCTTCGCCCCTGTTGGTGTAATGTAAAATGTCAAACACTATTTGACATTTTACATTATAGCATAATAATATTACTATAGATAGATCTGTTGAGCACCTTCAGCTTTAAGCGAATAACACCTTTAGTTTGAAACTTCAGACACAATAGTTTTTAAATTAAGAATAAATAAATAAAAGCCGTGACGATTCTTTATGACCCTATCATATAAATGAGGCCGTTAGAGGCAGAGTAGCCTGACTTACTAACGTAGCAAATTTTGTGTTTTGACTTATTTATATTTTTATAGTCTTAAATGTTAATCTACAAGGGCACAGTGACTGAAAATTGTTAACATAATTCTTACACAATAGTACAAACTCATTTTCGCCTAAGTTTATTGCGCAATTTTAGTTTTCCTCCATATTGAAAATTTTCTTTTGTTATTAGGCCATTCTGCCTCTAGCAGCCTTTTAAAAACGAATCGAAATGTTTAATTCAATTCTTAGTATATAAACAACATAGATTACATGACACACGGCTACAATGTAACTCAATCTTACGCTAATTGCGCATGCGCAGCAGCGTATATACTATTAAACCACATGCAAATAAAGACACTGAATGTTAAACACTCCAGATAATGATGAACAATATAGGAGTACCACATTGTTTGTGATAAGTATTAAATTCGCACCAATTACGTACAGATTTCGTTATCAGCTCGATAAGCACACTTCATTAAATAACAATCGACTCAATCATTATTCCTCGCTTCAGTATAATTTCATATACCGCAACAAATTTTGCAAAAGTATTTCTTACCACTTAATATATTGCTTGCGTTTAATAAATCGTTAAGACACGAAAGAATGTTATTTATGCCTCTAAAATATTTTCCATGGGTTTATAAACGACTAAATGTTTAAAGATTCCCGATGAGTCGAAATTGCGTTAGCAATGATAAGAAATAAATAATCCAATAAAACGTTACGATAAGTCATGTAATTCTACATGATAACATCATAAAACAAGCATTTTTTATCTGCACAACATAATACTAACAGCGTTGGAAAAAATATACAATTTTCTCAGTTTCCTTGCAAAAATTCATTTTTTTTTCATTTAATAAAAATAACGATGTCCTTCTATGGTAAGTGACAAATTCTTATTTGAAAATTGTAATATTTACATTAACATTCCCCTATTTCATAAATCCAATAAGACTAAGAAATTACATATTAAAGAAAAAAAAAACATATACTTTATTATCACATAGCCTCAGCTGTTCTTTAACACAGTTTTAAAATTAAATACAGATTAAAGAAATTACCTCATCAACAGTTAATAAAAAGGTCACTGAATTTGGAAACAATTGAAGTAATTCCACGTGTGTTACGTAAGGCAAATCTGGTACCAGGCACCACTTCCAACCCTGACCTTAACATTCCATTGTTCCATGCATTTTGATTTCACATTATGTAATCGAAGAAAGTCAATTTTTTGTCTGCCCTTCTCTATCCACCTATCTCTATCTCTCTTCTGTTTTCTAAATAATTGTTAAAATAAATTTTGAAAAAACTCTTCTTATTTAAATAAAACACTTTAACGGTTTAAAACGCGATATATTAGTTAAATTATTTGAAAATATTTTTAACTTCGCCCGACGTTTCGGATGCTTTGCAGGGGGGGGGGGGGGGGGGGGGGGGGGAAGGGGGGGGGGGGGGGGGCGGGAAAGGTTTTTTTTTTATATGTGTACTACTCGCGTAAACTATAGACTGTATTTAAGACTCTTCTTGTTCTCGACTTAAACAATTAATGACATATCTGAGAGCCCCAACTGTGGATTGGCTTCCTTAATCCTATTATTTATCCTAAAATTACTTTTTTATTTATTATAATTAAGTGTTGATACAATGCTCGTATCAATGGATTAAAGAAATTCGACAATGACGTGTAGGACACGGTAGCCTATTGGTTAGAGCTGCAGTACAGAACGCTGTGGATGCCGGTTTAAGAACCGCCCATGTCGTAATTTTTTCACTAAATAGATAGTAATAACAACTTTAAATATTATAGTCTCTTGTCAACAGAGTAGGTATTCATTGTATTTCCGATCTTTTGTTAACGTCAAATTTAAAGAGAAATTTGGAACCATAAAAAATAGTAACGCATCTGTCAACAAAATATTGTACCGTTTAACAATTAAACCAAAATAATAAATTTGCAGTATAAGCGAATAGACTTGGACGTACGAGGACCTTGTACTGGTTCGGTAACAACGACACTATGTTGCTTAAACCGGTCTAAAGTTAATCACAAATCGTATTTTTTTCTCTCGAATTAGATGAGAGCAACAGAATAGCGAGGTCATCTAGGTTCTAGGTGAATTCATAATAATTATCCAACTATTAGCTGTGCCAGCGACTTCGTCCGCGTAGAATAGTTATTTTGGGTATTCAAATTTCGAATTTCGATCTTTTTAAATTCTAGTTGTTACCAACGACGTCATCCGCGTAGCCTCGTTAAGCATTCTTTTTAATACTATAGATATACTGTCTACTAGACACTATAGATATACTACTACTAGATAGATATACTGTCGCGAACATTTTTTTATACATGATATAAACTCTTCAGTTTTATAATATTAGTATAGATCATGCTTTTGATTTGTAAGTGTTTACTAGCTTGTATATTTAATTTTCCAAGTAAATAGAGATATTTTCAAGAGTAAATTGATACCAAAATCAGTTAAGTTTAAATCAAGCTTTATGAAAAAGTTAAATAGAGACGTTTGGGACATCGGTGTCCATGATACAAACGGTACGTTTTTTAAAGGCTTGTTTGTATAACGGTAGGTGCGATCCCAATGGATCCAACTTTTTTTTTCAATTTTCAAGTCGTAAAGTTTAAACGCGTTTTGCTTTCAGTCTACGTACTTCCTAATATGCGAAGCCAAAATAGGCCAACTACACATTTAGTTTAAATGTTATATGGCTGTGGTATTTCAGCTTCCATAAACTGAACCCCAAGCATGGGGGACATCAGTCTGTCCTCCTCTATCATAAAAATACATTTTATTATGATGTGGAATCGAAACTAGCAAACGCAATGAGACTAAGTCATGGCCGACTATAACAAGTGTTTTCCTGTCAAAGCCAACTGGCGCTTTACATATTAATACGTGAATCAGCATTATTTCGTCTTAATATTCGTCTGCCGGGTGTTAATTGAATTCTGAATGTGTGTTACCAAGAGCTAGTAGACATGTTATCAATATATATTACATGTTAACAAATAGTATCGCGGTGCAATCATTCACGTACACGAGATAAGATACAAGTATACTCTATCAGTGCACCATGCGAAGATGAGGATTACGGATTAACTCACACGACGATTCGATAATATAGGGATAATGCTTATAAAACCAAGTTTTAATGGTGTACTGATGCTAAAATAATAGGGGACGTGTGCCTTATAGTCCAGTCATTTTAGTCATATAACCCCGATCTGCAGAAAATTTCCTAGTGCGCTAACTTTTAGCTTCAGTTCATTTTAAAGAAAAATACAGTAAACGATTAAACCACGATATATACTCAGTTTCGGATGCTTTGCAGGAACGTCGGTTAATTTAAAAAGTACGGTATACCAGTAAATTTGGTAAAAAAATTGATCCAATACATTCAAAACTCAGGTCTCATTAATAAATGACTGATGACGCACTAGCTAGAATAGCTTACTACGACAATGGCTGCCGTGGTATTATTGTATCAAATTTATCATTATCTGTTCTATTAATAGAATTATTTAAAAGTCATCTATACATAAGTGATTAATTATTACCTAACATTTCAGATGTAAATCTTTGAAAAGGGCGTGTTATTTTATCGCATTAGTATTGTGTTGCGTCAAGATGGTCACTATTCGCTTTTATAGTTCTGTGGTCACTACATGCGTAGACGACGATTGGTTCCAAAAAGAATTCGTCAAACAAACAAAACTCTACGTTGCTTGAATTCGATGGAGCTGAAGCTTGCACGGCAATGCGCAATGATCTATTGGTGTCTTAATTGATCAAAAGGAGTCTAAAAACACCCTTAAAAAGGTCTGTCATTACTGAGCTAAATGTCATCAATTTTGTTTACATTTTTATTTAGGCTAAAATATTACAAAGTTTAAATACATTAAACTTCTAACGTAAAACGAATAAGATTGTCAGCCATTATTACTTCTATGACATGGTAGAATAACATATTATGTGAATTTCTAAGGGAGGGGGGTTTCGCTAGCGCGGTCTCTAGCTTCAGCTTTATTTGAACTCACCGCCGCTAGAGACAAATTGCAAAGCTATGTAAGGCTGCCAGGGTGTGAAAGAGACAACATTTCTATAATAGTAAGCGGTGTAACACGTGACTTACGGCGGCAATATGAGACAGCAGCCTAAAATTCTTCAAACATCTAAACTTTTATAATAACATTTTTATTACACAAAACCGAAATGAGCATTAATCACCGAACTATTCACTATCAGGTACGTGACAGGTAGCCGTGACGTAAACTATCGCGCCGACGATAAAATACGCTTTCATTATCAAACACAAATATCACCTTTCAGTTTATCGTTCGAATGAACTAGTTATTATCTGTCGAAAGTGTATTTTGGACATTTCCTAACACATTTATCGGAAGACACGGTTTTGTTTCAAATATGACATTGCATTATGAGTTCACTGCACGCACGGATAGGATATCGGAAGAGACGATCTAGACGAAAAATATTAGGGAAAAAAAAAAAAAAAAAAAAGAGAAAAAAGAAAAAAAAAAAAAAAAACCCTTAAAAAAGAAAAGAGCATTACTCATATATTTCACATCAAATTAACTTCTTTTGTATCCTCCTAATTTGTTTATATGCGAAAGTCTTTAGTTTTACGATTGTTTGCGAATTAAAATCAATAAATATACAAATATCAAGGGAACACGTAATACGATAGAGGAAAATGTGCAATGAATAAGCCGGCTGCTGGGATTTTGGCGTGCACGTCGAATAGTTATGAGGTTAGCTTGCGCCGGTCACGTGCGACTGTATTTATTTATATATACGTTCATTTATGTGTGTCAACCCTATGATTCTATAACGCTAGTGTAATACAACATTTGTATATACGATTCTTTATTTCAAGGTCGCTCTTAAATTTACGTCCAAAATTAATTCTTATTAAGTTAAGAATATTTTCAATTTTAGAATAGGATATACTTAAATAAATGAATAGGATTAAATTTGTGGAGTCTCTTACCTAAGTAAGCCCTCCCGTTGCACCATATATCGGAAGGTTTCGACGATGCTGCCATTGTGTGCCGACCGGAGTGACTGCATACGCGTCTGAAAATAGCAAAACAAAAAATACAGACACCAATTCAGGGACAAACAAATAACTCTCTAAAAGTTATATGTAGGATTTAGTATGTATAATAGATATATTATTTAAAATTACTATAGCTACAATATTTATATTATATTCACTCCACAGAATGTGTTCTTCCCTCGATTATTTTGCCGATATCGATTTGTTTTTGCACTCCTCTGCTGCTTCATTCAAAAAACATTAAAAAGATTGCTTATCTCGCTGTAGGTCTAATTATGTTTGTGTTAGTTAATTTGTAGTTAAAACGTATTATTAATTCTATTTGTTTGTCAACTCTTATATAATATTTGTCTAATTTCCTGTTATTTTTTTCTTATTGTATATAATATTTACCTATTAGTGACACTGTTAAGGATGCATTTTAGCCTTATTTTTTTATTGTTATTCGTCAGCTACTTATGTAATGTATCTGTTTGTTTTCTTTTGCTAAATAAATAAATAAATTCTAGTTTTTGAAAATACTTATTCAATTATTTCCCATTATTGTCCTTTTATGTTCCTAATAACATAATTCTCATGATGAACATAATACTCTTTTACAGAGCAGTAAAAAACACACAATTTAAAAAATTGCTAGTAATCAACTATTACCGAGCTAGCTAGTAATTTTTTAAATGATTCTACAGCAACCGTAAAAATTACAGTTTACAAAGAATTCTTCCTATACAAATAGCACCTGTAATCATATGTTTTGATGAAAGCGTTCTGTAATTTAGATGTCGGAAAATAATCACCAATCCGTAATGACATTGAGTGAATCAATATAAAAAAAGCTAGTAACTCGGAGACTGATTCAGTTTTTACTGTGCTAGAGATCAAAATGATATGTCAGTTAATTTTTGTAATAGTGCTAAGCTTATTGACCGTGCAAGCCATGGACGAAGAAATGGCAGAGTTAGCTAGAATGGTTCGAGAGAGCTGTATATCAGAGACAGATGCTGATCTAGGGCTAATTGAGAAGGTTAATGCTGGAGCAGACTTGATGCCTGATGCAAAGCTTAAGTGTTACATTAAATGCACAATGGAAACAGCCGGTATGATGTCCGAAGGTAACATAGATATCGATGCTGTGGTAGCTCTCTTGCCCGAGGACTTTAGACAGAGAAATGAGGATAAATTGAGAGCATGTGGCACAAAGAAGGGAGCAGATGATTGTGATACAGCATTTCTCACGCAGCAATGCTGGCAGATGGCCAACAAAGTGGACTACTTTCTAATTTGATGACTTTCTTAATAAATATATTGTAATATTTGAAATTTTATTTTCTATCTACATTTTGTGATATTTTGATTATGCATTTTGTTAGAAATTTACCTTTAACCAATTGGAATTATAACATTTGTGAGTATTGAGAGTATTTAAGTAAGATTTTCTTCAGAGTACAAGTACTAATCTGTTGTGCATGCCAAATAGACATTTATTTAATTAAGATATTGAGTGCAATATAAAAAAGTATCAATTCGATCTTGTTTCTTTTTAAAATTTTATTGATTCCCCAAGCAGTTAAAATCTTATTGGCTGCATAAAGGTATTATAGCAAGAAATATAAATCAACAATGCATTTCAAAACACACAGAAATAGAGTTCTGTTTATAGATGCAATTTTAGAAATCAACACACTTTTTTGTAGTACAGCATTATTTCAATATAGTTTACACTAGATATAATATTTAGAGGAAAACATCTTTTGTCACCAAATAACAAACAGAGTTAAACACTGGTCAAATAAATACATACTTTTTTTTTAATTAACATAAATAAGCATCAACTGTGCTTAAAAGTTACTTTTATATTATACATCAATGAAGTTACAGAGAAACAATAAGAATTTAGATACATTCTGTTCAACTCCATGTGTAATATTTGACTTAGATGTCACAACAGTATAATAGTTTAGCAGTGGAATATAACCCTATTCATATTCAACATTGTATTATTGGACCGACGTAAAATATGAAATACATGAATGATTTTCAATAATTAATGCATAAGTGTTTTTTGTTGCAACGGCAGTAAAAATTTCGTATTCATCCGATTTTGCGCAAGCGATCACATGTTATCTTTGTAATTAATTATTTAATTCGTCTATTCAAGTAGAAAAGGCCGGGTCTTTTTTATGTAACATCGGTGTCGTAATACTCGTATTTCTAGGTTAGATGTCAAAGAGGAATTGCACAAAATGTAATTGGTGAATCCAGAATGAAATTCTCTTACCTTGACCGAATCCAGCGGGTACATTACGCAATGTTCCATCACCCCGGCAATTGCGCCTGCCGTCATGTGTGTGATGGAATTTTGGGTCGGAAGTGTTTCATAGTCCTCAAAGTTCATAATACTCACAAATTATTACACTTTCTAATAAATAATACAGATAGCTAAACCTAGTTATTTGTTGGACACTAAATATTAATTGTCATCTTCACTACACTAACTTTGTCACGAATTGTGGTTCTAAAATCATAAGATAATTATAATAATACGAGAAAATTTATTCGGTAGATACAGGTAATGAACAGAGAAATGGTTTAATTCATAGTTGATTACCACGCGCAGCGCGACGGTCACTACTAAGTGTTGCCACTGCACACTAATAAACTACACTACCACACAATAATGTTATCTTTGATAGTTCTTATCAGTTATTCTTATTTCTTTGTCAATGGTTTTTCATCGAAGTATTTATGCAATGTATATTAATAATCAATAAAGTATATTTTCATACTTTTCTTGCTGTAAGCTATAAATTTTTGTTACGGAAATGTTGTTCATTTAATGATTTAATAAAAAAAAATATAAATTATTCTTAAACGCATTATCAAAATGTTAACATAGTAATGGTTTTCATTGCTCATTAAAGGAAAAGAAGAAGTAAATTTGCAAATAGTATTTACTTATCAGAGACTATCACCCTAGTTGATTCAAAAAATAGGGAGCAGTTGCATTTCTGGCAACATATTTTTTCTGTCAGTGTATTAATTATAAATTGTTATTACAGATTATACAACGCATCTGCTTCTCACAACTTTGTTTTTGTACCACAGAGTATACGAATGTTACAGATATAAAATTTTTCAATGCCTATGACATTTTCAAGAGTTTTGAAGGTGTAATATATCTACACTAGAAACTAAACATGATGCCATAATTAATTTCCTTAGATATTATCCGCGAGTTAACTTGTTTGAAGTAGTTTTACTATACACGTATAGTATACGATCATTAATTCGATATTTGAGTAATTATACCTCAAATAAAATATATAACAGTATTGTTATGGAATATAATAACTGTCTAGTGAATGAAGTGTGTCTCATTAGGTATGTTCCGTATTGTTTTCTTTCATTAAATGTGTTACCAGTAACATATTCCTTGTTCCTTTCGACAGTGATGTCACTTTTCCCTTATGCAATAAAATACGACCAATTACTTTTTATTTTAATACCATACAAATATGCACACTGTAAGTCAGAAAATTATTTTAAATCTCTTTCTTGCGATGCTTTCGGCTATTATCTCCCATGCTTTGAGCGACAGCATCAATGAGTGAAGGAGACGCCGTTTTCAAATCATATGCAAGTCCCAGATAGGCTGCAACATCGAGGAACAGAGTACTAACGTTAATGAAATATGGCAACTCAGCGGATTTGTAATCCCAGGGGAATGCATGGTGGTAGTTGTGCCAGCCTTCGCCGTATGCGAGAATGGAAACACCGATGTTTTGCACTGGTGCTATATGTCTGAGAAATATCACAAAAAAATATAAATATCTATCTACCCTTACGTTACTGTGTATAATATAACGACACTCAAATAAAATAGGATAATACAAATTATATTCTAAATCTATACTAATATATAAAGCTGAAGAGTTTGTTTGTTTGTTTGAACGCGTTAATCTCAGGAACTACTGGTTCGAATTGAAAAATTCTGTTTTTTTGTTGGTTTAGAAATTTTTGGGGGGGGGAAAAAAAAAAAAAAAACCCCCCCCCGGGGAAAAAGGGAAAAAAAAAAAAGGGGGAAAATGGGGGAAAAAAAAAAAAAAAAAATATTTTTCCCCGGGGGTTTTTGGGGGGGGCCGCGCAAAAACTGTTGGAGAAACCCAAAAAAATTGTGGGAAAAAAAGTTTCCCCTTAAAATTTTCAAAAAAAGCCTGTGTCGCTATATGCCTATCTTTTAGGATTAACTTGCAAAAACGTCGGAAGTGGACGCGGCCGACGTCTTGGGTAACAACTTAAGTTTATAAATACGAAAGGGTTTGCAAAAACGAATTTGGATGCCCAAAACAAATATTCTTAGCGACGAAGTCGCTGAAAAAGCTTGTTTAAAATAAATCGACGACACGAGTAGGGCTCTGAACCCCACTCGAAAACGCAAAGCCTGTATTTTTTGTATAAATGTGTCTTTTAAACTTTCTATAGCTATAGATAATATAGATAGTTTAATGAGTAGTATATTATATTTGAATATAATAAAAGTTAAACGCACTTGTTATAAGGCCTCATTCCATACAGATGTGCAAAACTGTTCACGCTGGATGTTATGTTCGTCGAATAAACGAAACGTAAGACAGTAGCTAAAAATGCGATGTACAACTCTTCACCATAAAACCATACCGGTACCATAGTTGGAAGGTAAAAGCAGCAGAATATTTTGAAAAACATGAAGTGTCTGTAAACATGAACAAGAGATGTTAGTAAAAAAAGATCGAGTTCTATGAGGAGATCAGATAAACGGTGTCCACTTATTGGAAAGTGAAATGGCCCAGCCATATAACTCTTAACAAGATGCGTTGTCGACCTATTTTGCCTTTGGATATTCGGAAAATCCACAGACTGAAACCGTGATGCGATTTACTTCACGCTTCTTCTACATGGATGGACGGCGGTTTGTGACCCGGACGAAATTTCGATATCCTACCCATTTGAAATGCAAGTCCAATAAAAGTCACTATTGATATCGGTGTGATGAGTCAGAGGGTAGTATACTAGAGATTGCAATAAGTGCGAGACGTCAGGATATGAAACAAGGGGAAACACAATAATTCAAATATTCGTTTCTCCTAACTTAAAAACGTAAGTTGTACGAAAAATAAAGTAATATTAATGTGATCTAAGACATGTCATTCTTATTTGGAAAGATGTGATTAATAATAAAAGTGCTAAAACATACTTATTATAAAAAGAGAGTATGGGGTCGCTGGTTATATCACTCATGTCGACCTTCTTGCCTTCCTCAATGACATGGGGATGTTTCTTCATCATGAGCCAACCGAAGTGGGCGAAGAAGAAGCCTCTAGTGGAGTCGTGAGGGTCAGCTGATGTTTCGGACATTTTATGATGCACGCGATGATCTCTCACCCAGTCAAATACATTGTTCTAGAACAAACGATGAAATCGAAAGTGATTATTTACCTTCTTGGCAGTGTTAGTACTGTCCATGTCCTTAAAATTATAGATAAACTTTTGAGTAACATGAAGTTTTAAATATCATTTTTATTACTGAATCACTGTATATGTTTATTTGTTCGAACGCGCTAATATCAGGAACGACTGGTTCGAATTAAAACAATATTTTTTGTTGGGTAGACCATTAGTCGATGAAAGGTTTAGGCCTAATACTCTCTGTAGTTTACGCGAGTAGTATACATAAAAGCACTTTAACGGTTCAAAATGCGATATATATTAGTCAAACGTATTTGAAAATGTCTACCCGTGACCACGGCTGCTGCAAAGTATCCAAAACGCCGGGTCGTAGTTAAAGTTTGAAATAAGATTAAGTAATTTAGGTATTTCGAGTTTTAAACCGTTAAAATGTTTTATTTAGAAGGGTTTAGGTTATAAAACATTAAGCTGAGTTAGGAAATACATGTGGGCATAGCTCTATATATTGTGAGACCAATTGAACGGAAACTAAAAACTATTACTTATTATTTTATTAATATACTCAGATATTACTATTACTTTATGAGGAGTATGTAAGTTATTTTTTAAAACTGTAATGCTTAAAATTTTGCTTTTAAGAATTTTAGAAACATCGTACAATAAAATTGGTTAACAATTTTAAGCCATGATCAGCGTCTGGTATTTAACCAAGTAATAAATAATTATTATTAATTAATCTCACTTGTCCAGTAGTTGAAAAGAAAAACAACAGCAATATTTGTAGTGGCGTTGTGGCTTTAAAAGTTCGGTGCGACCAGAGGCGATGTATTCCACATGAGATGCCTAATCCAACCATTTGACCGTACAGCACTTCTGTAGATAAAAGACAGAAACTTTGTATATATAAGAAATATCTTTTATAGAGAGGTCTTTTATCAGTTACAAAATTCCCATTTTACAAAAATTATACTTTTTACAATCTTATTGTGTTTCGCGTTTCTTTTGATGGGTTCGTTGTGATAATAATGGTAGAAATGTATGGCTAATTGGGTTCGATCCCCACCGGTTCCAACATTTTTCTAATTAATTTATATTTTTTCTGAAACAAAAATCCTACATTTATTGTTTTCCATTTTATGCTTTATAAACAATATGTTCTACCAGCAATACAACACCATTGAAAATATTATTTGTCTACGAACTTACGGAATATTAACGTCTGCCTTAAACATCTTATTCCATGACACAGAAGATATATTGTGTATCCCGGAACTGCTACGTGAAGTAATGTAAGGATAATAGCGTTGGTCCACACGATTGGTGTCACTAGACCCATTCGTTTTTCCCACCTTCTAATTGGCGTCATAAATTTGGGCTCCTTTTTTGGTAACACTTGGTCATAGTAATCTACGTTTTCTTTAGGTTTATTTTCAGTCGCTGTCGTCATAATATCTGTGTTTTAAAAAGTATTATATCTTATATTTATTATTTTAGTATTAAGTTAGGCTAAGAAGCTTCTAATCCAATTTCGAAATTTAAAAATTTAACTTGTCTGAACGCAAAAGAAAAGGATGCTTAAATATTTCACCTCTCCAAGAAAACTCTCAAACGAAAATTTCAATTTATTTAAAGGATATATTTTCTTACATAAATGGTTCCTTACCGCGGTCTCGTAATAAGGTTTAACACGAGTAGTTTAAAAGACTAATGATAAAACAATGACCGCAAAATAGGTGGTACAAATCCTTATTTATTCCTACATCAATGTGACGACAATGTAAAGTACCGAAATATATAATACTAGCTGTGCCCGCGCCTTCGTCCGCGTGGAATAGTGACTTGGGGTAGAATGTTTAATTATTTATGCTGTTTATTAATTTATGTAAGGGTGCATTTAGGGCTGCCAATCTATGTTGTAAGTGCTACTTTGCCACAACACTCTCATTCCTAGCTTCAAAAACCACGAATTTCCATACAAACTTTCATCCCCTTTTTTATTACTTGGAGGAATCGACTCTTTACCGACGCCCCAGCATGGCCACATCGAGTGGCGGGGGGAGTGTGGATTACAGTCGTCCCCTGTACAAAATATCTCTCCAAAGCGAAACAATAATCGAATGCACTGTCTTAAACCCGGAACAAAAATTCTTGGTCTCGTATCATATTATCGGCGGTTCATTCCAGAATTCTCTCTAAAACTGCTAAACCACTGACTTCCCTTTTAAATAGGATATTCCATTTCATTGGTCGACGGAACAACAGATGGCATTCGACGATTTAAAAGATAAATTAACCACTGCTACATACATTACATACATTTTAATATATCCAGACTTTACTAAACCCTTCGTTCTTACATGCGATGCATCTAATGCAAAGAAAAACGCAAGGTCTTTTGTACTTACAAAGTTAAAAGTAATTGATATATTTAATGGACTAGCGATAATAAAAAGTAGTAACAAAATAAAAAACACCACTAAATATAATTATGTAAAATAACAAAAACTTAAAAAGATATTTCTGAGTTATGTAGTTTTTACTGATGCTAGCTTTTTGGTATAATTCAACCACTAGTGGGTAAATTATATAATAAAAATACTAATAATCATAAACAATAATTAAGTAAATTGTAAATATAAACCCAGGTCTTTTCTGACTAAAGAAGGGAAGAACCCTGTTGTCACCAGCTGGTTAGCTACGACTCCAAATGCTAATATGGATTTCTTACTATATTTTTTTAACAGAAAAGTTTCCATAACCAGGTCAAACGACTGTCGTGTACAGGTTCACCTGGGCTCTCTGATGAAAAGCTGATTGAACCACATCCTGCATGATGTGGTTCAATCTTGGTATCTGCAGAAGTCGTTCATCACACCAGACATGATACTGAGTTATCCCAATTGGTCTGAGTAAGTATTGTGTAATTAATACTGTCTGTAGTTTACGCGAGTAGTACAGATTAAAATAAAACACTTAAACGGTTTAAAACGCGATATATATTAGTTAGAACTTAACATTTGTGGTCATACTACTAAAGTTAAGACTGTTTAATTATTTTAGATTATATTTACGTCGTATACGATATATATATTTATATATATTTTCTAGTATAAAAATATTTAAAGAAAATTTTGACCCTAAAATAATAAACATTTCGGTTTGTAAGAAGAAGGTATATGCGATATTTTTTTAGCATATAAACACCAGTAACAGTAGAACAATATTGCAGGCTTATAGCTAAAAACATTAATTTATTCATGAACTCATTATATAAAAATTAAGTACTATCTCGATGGCCTCTCCGCCGACGATGATTTGCGCCCCGCTCGGCGGCGCTCTCTAAGACCCTGGAATGCGATCGCCTCTGATTTGTTCAGAGAGCCTCTGAGGTGACGATTATCACTTATCTGAAAGCAAAATATACTTTTACTTTAAGTTTTAAAATTCTTTTGAAACAGAGGTAGGCACGCATTAGATGCTCCGCCTCTACTGTAATATCTCATAGCCTTTCCAAACTTAATACTGTAGAAACATTTAATTTATTTATAATTCAGAAATTTTCTAAGATATTTCAAATAAACAAACATCTTAACAGTATTAATATTCTTTACTTACGAGCTATACATTTTTGTATGTCACGATTAAACCATTTAATATCCAGATTTCCAGACGAAGTACAACATATTTCAGAAATTATATAAATTGATTAGAAACATGTTATCCCCGTGGGGATCGAACCCATGACTCTTTGATTAGTAAACGTACACTGCAATACTTACATCAATGAGCCGTTTCACGCTAGCTAGCACGTTAGCACGGGCGGGTGCACCCGTCCCTCTCATTTAACTCCTTTGCTATTGTGCTTTTCAGCAGCTAATAGCAATATTTTAATTCACTTTAACGAAAAAATCGCTCTTTATAAGAAAAATTAAGATTTAAATTTTAAAGTCGACCGCGCTTATTCAAGGTTCCCGCCAGAATGTTTCTGTCAGTGAATTGTTATTACAGATTATACAACGCATCTGCTTCTCACAACTTTCTTTTGTACCATAGAGTATACGAATGTTACAGATATACAATTTTTCAATGCCTATTAATTTTTCAAAAGTTTTGTATGTTTAATATATACACTAGAAACTAAACATGATGCATAATTAATTTCCTTAAATATTATCCGCGAGTCAACTTGTTTGAAGTAGTTTTAATATACATGTATTTGTGTGATACGATAATTAATTCAATATTTGAGTAATTATCAAATAAAATATAGGGATATTGTTATGGAATATAATAATAACTAGCCAACGACCTCATTAGGTATGTTCCGTATTGTTTTCTTTCATTAAATGTGTTACCAGTAACATATTCCTTGTTCCTTCCGACAGTGATGTCACTTTTCCCTTATGCAATAAAATACGACCAATTGCTTTTTATTTTAATACCATACAAATATGCACACTATAAGTCAAAATATTATTTTAAATCTCTTTCTTGCGATGCTTTCGGCTATTATCTCCCATTCTTTGAGCGACAGCATCGATAAGTGAAGGAGATGCCGTTTTCAAATCATACGCAAGTCCCAGATAGGCTGCAACATCGAGAAAAAGAGTACTGAAGTTAATGAAATATGGCAACTCAGCGGATTTGTAATCCCAGGGGAATGCATGGTGGTAGTTGTGCCAGCCTTCGCCGTATGCGAGAATGGAAACACCGATGTTTTGCACTGGTGATATATGCCTGAAAAATATCACAAAAAATATAAATATCTATCTACTCTTACTTTACTGTGTATAATATAACGACACTCAAATAAAAAAGGATAATACAAATTATATTCTAAATCTATACTAATATATAAAGCTGAAGAGTTTGTTGGGAACGCATTAATCTCAGGAACTACTGGTTCGAATTGAAAAATTCTGTTTTTTTGTTGGTCCGCTATATGCCTATCTTTTAGGATTAACTTGCAAAAACGTCGGAAGTGGACGCGGCCGACGTCTTGGGTAACAACTTAAGTTTATAAATACGAAAGGGTTTGCAAAAACGAATTTGGATGCCCAAAACAAATATTCTTAGCGGACGAAGTCGCTGAAAAAGCTTGTTTAAAATAAATCGACGACACGAGTAGGACTCGAACCCCACTCGAAAACGCAAAGCCTGTATTTTTTGTATAAATGTGTCTTTTAAACTTTCTATAGCTATAGATAATATAGATAGTTTAATGAGTAGTATATTATATTTGAATATAATAAAAGTTAAACGCACTTGTTATAAGGCCTCATTCCATACAGATGTGCAAAACTGTTCACGCTGGATGTTATGTTCGTCGAATAAAGGAATCGTAAGAGAGTAGCCAAAAATGCGATGTACAACTCTTCACCATAAAACCATACCGGTACCATAGTTGGAAGGTAAAAGCAGCAGAATATTTTGAAGAACATGAAGTGTCTGTAAACATGAACAAGAAACGTTAGTAAAAGAGCAAGTTCTATGAGGAGGTCAGATAACCGGTGTTCACTTATTGGAAAGTGAAATGGCCCAGCCATACTCTTAGTGTGTGCTTTTGCTTTTGATATTAGAAAATCCGTGAAGTCCGACTGAAACCGTGATGCGCCTCTCCTACATCGATGGACAAGGGTTTGTGACCCGGACGCAATTCGATCGAATCGATATCTTACCACCCATTTGAAATGCAAGTCCAATAGAAGTCCCTATTGGTATATTGGTTTGATGAGTCAGAGGGTGGGTTTATACTAGGTATAGCAAGTGCGAGAAGTCTTGGATATGAATTTACCCAGGTTAAACACAATAATTCAAATATTCGTTTCTCCAAACTTAAAAACGTAAGTTGTACGAAATTAAGTAATATTAATATTAGTAATAATAATGCGTTCTAAGACAGTTCTTCATAAACTCTTATTTGCAGAGATGCGATTAATAATAAAAATGCTAAAACATACTTATTATAAAAAGAGAGTATGGGATCGCCGGTTATATCACTCATGTCGACCTTCTTGCCCTCCTCAATGACATGGGGATGTTTCTTCATCATGAGCCAACCGAAGTGGGCGAAGAAGAACCCTCGTGTGGAATCGTGGGGGTCAGCTGATGTTTCGGACATTTTATGATGCACGCGATGATCTCTCACCCAGTCATATACATTGTTCTAGAAAAAACGTTGAAATCGAAAGTGATTATTTACCTTCTTGGCAGTGTTAGTACTGTCCATGTTCTTAAAATTTTGAATCAACTTATAAATGACAATAATAAAGTATTTAAATAAAACACATATATCGCGTTTTAAACCGTTAAAGTGTTTTATTTAATTGTACTACTTGCGTAAACTATGACAGTATTTAATAAAAAAGTACTAAATAACATTTCGACTGGTTCGAATTCAAACAACCTTTTTTGTTGGATAGACGATTTGTCGACGAAGGGTTTGGGCATAATACTTTATATAGTTTACTTTTATTTAAAAGGGTTTAGGTTATAAAACATTAAGCTGTATATTTTAAAAATTTGAGGAGGTTCTCCGCAAAGATAAATTTGGATGTCCAAAATAACTATTCCACGCGGAGCGAAGAAGCGAAGCCTCAGGCACATTTAGTGTGTCATATATGTGACACCAAATGAACGGAAACTAAAAATATATTTTTTTTATATTAATACTTGGGTGTTAAATGTATGCCATGCCATGTATAATTTTATGAAACTGTAATGCTTAAATTTTACTTTTAAGAATTTTACGAACGTCGTACAATAAAATTGGTTTACAATTTCAAGCCATAATCAGCGTCTGGTATTCAACCAAGTAATAAAGAAATAGATCTCACTTGTCCAGTAGTTGAAAAGAAAAACAACAGCAATATTTGTAGTGGCGTTGTGGCTTTAAAAGATCGGTGCGACCAGAGACGATGTATTCCACATGTGATGCCTAATCCAACGATTTGAACGTACAGCACTTCTGTTAATAAAATAAAAGTAGAGATCTTTTTTTAGTTACTACCATTTTACAAAAATTATACTTTTTACAATCTTATTGTGTTTCGCGTTTATTTCGACGGGTTCGTTGATTGTAAGGTAGAAATGTATGGCTCATAATCACCGGTTCGTGAGTTCGATCCCTACCGGGTCTAACATTTTTCTAATTAATTTATATTTTTTCTGAAACATAAATCCTACATTTATTGTGGTAGGAATATCGGAATTCCGTCCGGGTCACGAATCTCCGCCCACAGATGAAAAAGTCGTCATATTGATTAAATTTGACGTTTTCGTTTTCAGTCTGTGGATTTGCGAATATCCAAAGCCAAATAGGGCAATCGCCAGCCATATAATATCTCAACAGTGCATATTGTTGAGATATTATAATAAATCGCACACTAGTCTTTTCTCTTTTAACATTAAATTAAATTATTCATTTAATCGAAAAACGGGATGAACATCGAAAAACACGTCATACTAACACTAAATGACGGTTCAAATAACAGTTAAGAAAACCATCAAAATAAATATATTATCTTTGTTGATAATAATTATTCAAAGAAAATTGAAAACAGACGTGCATTCAATCGCTTTTTAAAGCTAATGAAGTTAGGAAATATAATAATGCATAAAATAACAAACGTAAATTAAAAATTTTCCATTATATGTTTTATAAACAATATGTTTTACCAGCAATACGACACCATTGAAAAAATATAATTTGTCTACCAACTTACGGAATATTAACGTCTGCCTTAAACATCTTATTCCATTACACAGAAGATATATTGTGTATCCCGGAACCGCTACGTGAAGTAATGTAATGATAATAGCGTTGGTCCATACGATTGGTGTCACTAGACCCATTCGTTTTTCCCACCTTCTAATTGGTGCCATAAATTTGGGCTCCTTTTTTGGTAACACTTGGTCATAGTAATCTACGTTTTCTTTAGGCTTATTTTCAGTCGCTGTCGTCATATCTGTGTTTTAGAAAAGTATTATATCTTATATTTATTATTTTAGTATTAAGTTAGGCTAAGATATAACCTCTTCACTACATGGCCCAAGCTTCTAATCATATTTTGAAATTTAAAACGTTTAACTTGTCTGAACGCAAAAGAAAAAAATAGGAATGTATACTTAAATATTTTGCCACTCCAAGACTAAAACGAAATTTGAATTTATTAAACGGATATATTCTCTTACTTAAAAAGGGTCCTTACCGCGGTCTCGTAATAAGGTATAACACAAGTGGTTTAAAAGACTAATGATAAAACAATGACCGCATAATAGGTGGTACAAATTATTATTTCTTCCTACATTATACAATGTGATGACAATGTAAAGTACCGAAATATATAATGTTTGTTGATATTTTCTTAAATTTTCTGAATCGAAACAACTGAAACTTCAGCGCTCTGCAATTTTCAAAATGTAAGTTAAAAAGTGTGAAACCCCGTTTCCCCTCGCGGGGCAGAGGGCGAACACATTTCTGTGTCCGTTATACTGATCGGTTTTATTTACAGGCAAGTAATTAATCAGACTTCTGTGCCCTGCCTGACCGAAACAATCTATTTTCCCCAGGATTCGAACCTAGGACCTCTCGCGATTAAGGTAACGCAAGGCAATACGTTTAACCATTTAGCTACAGAGGCGGTCAAAATGTAAGTAATTTATTATTAAGTTTCAATAACAAGTATTTAAGTGTTTGTCAAATTTATAAGTTTAGTCCATTGTCGACATCATATTGTTTTCCTTTTGTTCACTGAGATAGTAGAGTAAAGAAAAAAATTGTAATTACCTTCCGTCTCGTCTAAACAAATTAAGGGTTTGCTCTCTAAATCTATACTCATAAAGCTGGAAAGTTTGTTTGTTTGAACGCGCCAATCTTAGGAACTACTAAGATACCCAAAAAATATGTATGAAAGAATGATTCCGCTCTTAATGATCTTCATATCTCTATTTTTTGAGATTACCTTGCAGGAACGAAGGGACGTGACCGACGTCGTGGGTAACAGTTTTAATTTTTAAAGATGGGGAGAAAAATTTGTTTTAGCAAACCTCCCCCCTACGCGAACGAAGTTGTGGCACAGCTAGTGCTATATATTTCAAAAGAACGTTCACAAGGGCAGCTGGTAATCATAAAACATCGTTACAACATAAGAATATGTATAAATCGTAATTGTTTGAACCTACGTAATAATGTAAAAGAACGTGACTTTGTGATACATATAAGTGCTCCTTTTATATTAAAAGGCCATAATACATAATATGTATGTAAACTAGCTCTGCTAGCGACTTCGTCCGCGTAGAATAGTTATGCAAACCTCCTCCTCATCTTTACAAATTATTATAGCAGTTACACACGACATATAGCCCATATATAGACATATATTATTTATATCATTAAAAGGGGAATCAATCTTTTAAACATATTTTTTAGGTATTTACCGCGTTTTTTTACAGATTTACTATTGGTTCTTCGCTTATATTGATTGCAGCGTGATATTTTAAAGCCTTTCGATAAATGTTTGAACCAACACAAAAATATTCTTTTAATTCGAGCCAGTAATTCCTAAAATAAGCGCATTCAAACAAACCAACAAACTGTTCAGCTTTATAATATTAGTATGGATTACGTGAAATATTCATGAAATTACCAAACAAATTAAAAAAATGGCTCTTATGTTAATAATATATTTTCAATATAAAGTAAGTATACAATACATTTCAAATTAAAGCCTCAGTTAATAACAATAATTAATATACGAACAATATTTAGACTTTTTATGAAGAGCGGATAAATTGACAATTTGTATGAAATTAATTAAGCAAGGCTAGGAAAAGATGTCAATATAATATTTTCTTTCAAAATATATTATGTACTTTTAAATTCATTGGGGTTTTCTTTTCTAGACCAGCTGTGGCCGCGACATTATTTTGAGAGTCAAAATTTGTTTTCGCGATGTCGTCCGCTTCCGTCGTTCTTGCGAGTTAATCGCAGATATTTTTTTAAATCTTTTAAAGAGGAATCATTATTTTATACATATTTGTTGATAATTGCCTTCTTAATATAAAAAATAGTACTGAAGTGCGATAACTATTCCCAAATTTAAGTTTGATAATCAATCGACTGTTACAGGTCTGATAGCCTATACCAATTACTTGTTGGCATCTTGAGGGCTAGCGAATGTACAAAGGAACTGATAGTCATGTACAACCCAGCGACATTCTCCAGCAGGTAATAACAATAACTAGCTAACCTGGGATATAATAAAAGACCTTCTCTTGCTATATACCGGCAAAAATTTAATTACCTTAAATTTAGTTCAATACAAGTGAATCTTAAAAGATAAACAGAGTTATACTATCATGCACATTTAAAGAATAATATTGTTTTATGCATTTTTGGGGATCTTGTACCGTCATCGCAGCCAGGCAACGGAATCCTCAAAGATGAATATTTTTTCCGTTTTTATCACTTTTCCCACTGTTTCTTTGCTCCTCTTAAAGTCAAATCAGTAGTTCCTAGGCTTACAGTGTACAAACAAACAAAATCGCCAGCTTTATAATATTAGTATTAGATAGACTAACTGTAGTAAAAATCGGACTTGAATTCTGTAGTTTGTACGTAGCCTTACTGAATTCAGGAGACTAATAATCTAACTCCAAACATCATTGTTCTACGAAATACCTTTTTCACTTTTTTGTTCGCAAAGTCACATGCCTATCTCTTATTCCTGAAATAGCTTTGGAGTAAACGTGATTGTAATAGCCATGGCTTAAAATCTGATCTTGTCATTATGGATTATAAATATGTATGTAAGTATGCCGTTTGATTTTGTTTACTAGAATTTCTTATGACAAATCTAAATCCCTTTGAAGATTAAGATTCTCATTACAAAACAAATACAAAGATGATACATAGACGAAACATATTTAGAAGGAAAGTAATAAAAAGAAACTAAATTTTGGTTATAGATATTCGTCCCTGAACTCTGATTAACGAAATCAAATCAAATTGGAAATTGTTCATTAATTTTTATTTGCGTTTACAGAAAATAATACGTCTACTGGTGCCGATTATTCTAGTCGAGAGTTCCTTAGTTCGCGACTCATACTTTGATAGAAATAAAATTACAGAAGAATACTGCCCAAAGAGTGAGCACTGCGAAGAAGGTACTCATGTTATGTGCATGTACTATAACCCGGTAAGAATTAATTATGAACTGCAATATAAATGTTATTAAGAAACTAGCTGTGCTGGCGACTTCGTTCGCGTTATATAGTCATTTAGGGCATCAAAATTTACTTTAGCAAATCTCCTTGACTTTGTATGGGTAACAACTATATATATCGTACGTTTTTTTTTTTGGGATATCTAGTATGGTTCTTTTCGGGCCACGCAAAGGAAGTGTTTAAGACGAATAATTTTCCTCGTTTTTCTCCCACCGTTTCTTTGCTCCTATTAGTCGCAGCGTGATGTTTTACATCCCTACAGTCTTAATCGATAAACCCGCACAACAAGAATTTTATCCAACAATTTCCGAGACCAGGTCGTTCAAACAAACAAACTACAGCTGTATAATATTAGTATTGATAAGAGTGAAATCAAAGAGCGATCGTGGTTAAAATGAACATAATACAGGGTACTATATAATGCATCTATATAACATACGTATTTTTTAAATTTTCTTTTAGAAAGAACTAATGGGCAGACAATGCCACGACGTAAAGGACGTCCAGATAAGAAGAAAAGAAGCAGCGCGGCTAATGGAATTGTCTAATGCGTAAGATACGAAGGACATTGCAATAAAAAATCACTACTTAATTTTTTTTCCCACAATAATAACAAAGTGCACCTTTTACAGAATAAGAGGCAACATAGCACGAGGAAAAGAAACAGGCAAAGATGAAGAACTTCTACCGCGCGCTTACGGAATGTATAGACTGGTAGGCTTTACAACCGTTTCATTTTTTATAGAAGAGGAAGTTAGTCTAGCCTGAGTAAAATACCCCAGCCACTTAACACATAAACAGGATGCGCTATCTATTTTGGCTTTGAATATAGAACCTATAAGTAAACAATATAATCTGGCTTGTATTGCAAACAATATAAGCTACATTATATTGACTGTAACATAGGTTTATAAATATAATTTTACTAATTTTAGGAATGGGACGAAGAGCTAGCTTCATTTGCTCAAGTCTTAGCGAATCAATGTCTTTTGAGACATGACCTTTGCAGGGCAACTAGTAAGTAAAAATGAACAACTTTCCAGCAACTGTTTATACTCTAATGAGTTCTAGACATACCATTTATTTTCGGTATCGTGATATATTAGAGTAGGTATCAGTCACCTGCTACGTGGTATACTCTAATACTTGTCAAAACAAAGATTTTATTGCAACACACGTTCCTATCACGGTCCTAGTATGATACGTTGTCGTGGGTTGACTCCTTTAAGATACAAAGTAAAAACGCAAGGTCTTCTGTACTTACAAAGTTAAAAGTAATTGATATATTTAATGGACTAGCGATAGTAAAATGTAGTAACTAAAAAAAATACCACTAAATGTAATTATGTAAAATAACAAAAATAAATTGAAAATATTTTCAATTCGGGCAGGACTTGTACCGGCATCGTCAGCGTTCCGTGCTGTTGCTCTGACGATGCCGGTTCAAAGCCTGTCCGAGTCGAAAAAATTTTTCAATTTATTTTCGATTTTTATATTATATAGTGCCTTCATGTGCAATAACATGTAAAAATAATAAAGTTTTCAAATATTTCTGAGTTATCGGCAATTTTATCTAATAGGCGCTTTTTGGTATAAAAGAAAGGAAGTCTTTCCTTTCGTAAAGGTCTAAATCGGCCACTAGTGGAAAATAATATGATAAAAATACTAATAATCAAAAACAATAATTAAGTAAATTGTAAATAAACCCAGGTCTTTTCTGACCAAAGAAGGGAAGCCCTGTTGTCACTAGCTGGTTAGCTACGAGAGATATTAAAAAAAAATCAAAATGCTAATATGGATTTTTTTATGATAATAATATTTTTTAACAGAAAAGTTTCCAGAACCAGGTCAAACGACCGGTGTGTACAGGTTCACATATCCAGATTGGTATAGCATAACAGGGAACAGTACTTTTCCACCTGGGCTCTCTGATGAAAAGCTGATTCTTAGCATCAGCCACATCATGCAATCTTGGTATCTGCAGAAGTCGTTCATCACACCAGACATGATATTGAGCTATCCCAACTGGTCTGAGTAAGTATTGTGTAATTAATAATGTCTGTAGTTTACGCGAGTAGTACAGATTAAAATAAAACACTTAAACGGTTTAAAACGCGATATATATTAGTTAAACTTTTTTGTAACGTCGGGTTGTAGTTAAAATAATTTACAAATAAGTTTAACTATCATATATATCGCGTCTTAAACCGTTTAAATGTTTTATTTTTTGTGTGACTAGTTTATTCACGCTGGATACTTTTAAATTTTTTTTCTTATTTAAGGCATATGGACAAAGTGGGTGGAAAACTATACTTGGAGATGATTTCAGGCGACGCGACGCACATGGGCTGTGGCATATCGGCATATGCGCAATATGCTTATCATGCCAACAACGCCGATTTGAGTTACAATGTAATTATCTTTTTAGTCGCTTGAAAATTATTAAATTGTATGTAGGCAGCTAGGTTAACAATGGTGGGAAACAATAGTAGGGACGGGTATGCAAAACAAGTATTATAATTCAATCAAAATAGGTATAGTTATTGTCTGATGTGGATTAGAATCCCGGAGTAGTACACATTTAAATAAAACAAATTAGTTAACTCATCAAACAACAATGCATGACGGGCCACTGGGGGAGCACGGCTGCAACAAAGCATCCAAAACATCGGGCCGTAGTTAAATTGAATTTTGAATAAGTAAATTGATACATTTTGCGTTTTAAACCGTTTAAAAAGTTGATTAAAATATGTGTGTGTGGTTTGACACACTCGGTTGTTATTAACAGCAACTTTTTATCATGAACAGAACATTCAACTTGTATGCAATTATTCAGCGCGGCCCCGCAAAGGAAAGCCGCTTTACAACACCAAACCCCCAACGGACTCCGATATTGGATTCACGGTTCGATGCGGTTGTCCTATCGGTTATGATGAAGACTATAACTGTTTGTGCTACCCAAGTAACCGGGGACTGTGTAAGTTGGCTGGTATTTTATCTAAAACAAAGGTTCCCAACTAGTTTTCTCTGCTTACTACTACAAAAAGTTCTTACATATACCTTATTGTGTTCATCATATGTGTTACTTCTTAAAGCTTGGACCAGTTTTGGTCTACATAACCGAGTGTTTAATAAGTAAAGTTAAATAACACATCTAATTTTACAAATGTCCACGTTTTTTTTACCGATTAAAAAAAAACGTGCTTTTACGATGGTGATCATATTAAAATAATATTTTGGAATTTTTTCTTGGGGTTACTAATAGCCAGTACATTTAATTAGTTAATATAGTAGATAAGAGTATAATTGAAGATCAGGCAATGAAGAAAATCTCTTTCAGTGGTGTCGAAATAAAAAAATCACATGACATCCCGTAGATACGTGATAATCTCAGTAGATATATAAGCGCCTACAATTAACTATGTAGATAAGGACGGAACGGTGACAACTAATTCAGAATCTACCTTGGTACTGTTCATAATCTGTGCTATTATATTATATATTTGATTTCAGCTAAAACCTGTGACGGGGATAGGTGCAAGCCTTCAGTAGTTCTTTTACCGATATTCACAGTTGAAGATGCGCCTGCGCATAAAATGATTCACTCGAATGGGTAACTACGTAAATTCCTTTCTGTGTTCTAACTGTTGGTGTTTTATTAAATCATCCTCATTTCTCTTCTATGAACTATGTTATCGAGTATAAACGCGCTTTAATATGTTAACATTTTATATGTAAATAATATACAAAAAAAAACGCCTGCACAATTATTTGTCTTTTTATCTGATCTTTACATTTGTTGGGTTGCCTCAGTGGCTTAATGTTTAAATGTATTGCCCATATTTGAAGTGAATGCGAGAAGTTTCGAGTTCAAACTCCAGAGAAACTTGGTTAAAAAGTCTGCATCACCTATAAGCCTTCGAATAAAATCGATCTGTAAAAAGATATAAAAAAGTGACAGCACCATAGCCCATGTAAGGAAAGCAAACGCGACTTTAATTGAGTTTTCGAATAACGTTTTCTTTCTATAATAGTATGCAACAGATAACTAATAATAACTGTGATGATGATGTGAAATGTAGTAATAACTGTGTTTTTTCTATTACAGGCCCGAAAACGCCCTGAATATTCAAGATTCTTTTGAAATTTTAGATAAATTTGATAAATTCAATGTACGTATAAAACACGACTCATATGTATAGATAGACCTATGTATAGATTCAAAAAACATAATCATTTGTTTCAGGGAAAATCAAGAAAGGCTCTCACTCTATTTGATGAATCATTGCGTGTAACTGAAAAGTAACTGATTTCATACTTACAATATTATATATATTCAGGTAATAAGTATCAACATTATATTTGTTTTGCAGGAGTAACTTTGTAGGACAAACAGACGTCAGGCGTAGATATTTTGAAAAACCGAAAAATAAATCTTACGGTTACACAAAGTCACCGATACGAGTGGAGATTCCTGCAAAAAGTAAGGTAATTAAACTAACCAATAATTTTAATATATTAATGGATACAACATATTAGCTTATATACTGTGATTTCTTGGACTTTTATTAATACCAAAAGGATTCGAAGATTTGATGACAATTACGTATACAGAGTCTTAGTTCATTAATGACAACATTACTGAGTTTTCACTGTGTCTAAACTTACTACTTACTTTATTATTAAACATATTGTCGTATACAGATTAGAAACAAGCCAAGTATATTCACAAGATCCGCAACATTCGTACTACCCACAAGAAGAACGAAAATAAAATCATCGATGTTACCACCTCTTTTAAAAAAGGATGTTATTCCACGAAAAGACTTTTCAAGTGTCCAGAAGCTCGTCACTACATATTTAAGCAGAAGGCGGAAAAACGGAAATTTTGACGACGCTGATAAGAATTTTAACTCAACACTGCACTACAACGATCAAACAACAGAGAAATATACAAAAACTACAATAAGTAGTATAAAATTTAATCAATATTTAAATCATAAAGACTATGATTTCGTAAACGTTACAGACAAACCTGTCGAAACCTATGAAATGAAAGAAGATAAGAAAGTAATAAACTTGCTAGATGACTTACAAGCACAAGTGAAACACATTGATTTTGACAGAAACGAAAAAGAAATATTCGATGCCAAGTTGCGCCAAATATATAGTTCTTTATCGAAATATCCAAAAGAACGCGCAGACCCTGAATTTGATATAAGCAATGTTACTTTAAGAAGACACAATTACAAAATGTCTGATCAATTTTCAATAAGGAATAGCGAAAATGAAGAAAAGTACTCTCAATTAAATCGTAAGAGACAATATGATAATTCGTTCAACGATCCGATAGATCGATATAATCATCATAAAGACTCTCAAGTTACCGAGACCAAGTACAAAAATATGTACGGCATAAGACGGAAAAATAAGGATTTATATAAACGACCCAGTGTGGATGAGATGAGGGGAAATTACTATTTAAAAAAGGATAACGATGGACTTCTGAGTAACGATAGACGAAAGTTCTACCAAGAAAAACTTGACGATCTTGAAAAAAAATTACAGAGAATGCGGAGTAACTTTCGAAGAAAAAATACAGTAAGTAGCATTAGAGTTATAAAACGGCTCATTGATGTAAATAGTGTAATGTACGGCTACTAACCAAAGACTCATGTGTTCGATCCCCACTAGGCTAACCTGTTTCTAAACAATGTATATCATTTCTGAAATATGTTGGACTTCGTCTGGAAATCTGAATATTGAATGGTTTAATCGTTACAAAAAAAAAATTATAACTTTAAGTAGAGAATATTATTATATACTGTTAAGATGTTTGTTTATTTTAAATATCGTAGAAAACTTCAGACTTATAAGTAAATTAGCTATGCCCGCGACTTCGTTCGCGTGGAATAGTGACTTTGGGTAGAATTTTTAATTAATGAGGCTGTTTATTAATTTATGTAATTGCGAATTTATCGCAGCCAATCTATGTTGTATGTGCTACTTTGCCGCAACTACTCTCACCTCACATCACTCCTACTTTAACTTCCACTCTTACTCTCCCACTCCCAACCCCACTCATATTCTCAAAAACCCAAAGAAGAAAGTTTCAATGTTCTATCTTCAAAAACCACGTTTTTCTATACAAACTTTTAACCCCCCTTTTAACGCCTTACAACCCCCTTTTCGCAATAAAAAGTAGCCTATGTTCTTTCTCTGGATCTAGACCATATGTATACCAAATTTCATTCAAATCCGTTCTGTAGTTTTGGCGTGAAAGAGTAACAGACAGACAAACAGACAGAGTTACTTTCGCATTTATAATATTAGTAAGGATTAAATGTTTTTACAATATTTTGTTAGGAATAAAATATAATAGAAATATAGCCTATATGAGACATGACAGTAGAGGCGGGGCAGTAAATGTGTGCCTACCTCTGTTTTAAAAGAATTTTAAAACTAATGAAAGTATTATTTGCTTTCAGATGAGTGATAATCGTCACCTCAGACCTGTAAGGCCAGCAGTTGAAAGAAGATTAGAAGAGAGCAGTGCATTTTATTTACCGGATAGAGCTAGATTTTTACATGGATTTTGACATGAAATAAAATACAAATTACAATGGTTCTTGCTTTAATTAACTTAGTCTTGACAATCCTTTTAAAATATAAAACTTTCTTGACGGCTTCAAAGTGTTTTTTAACGTCGCAGTCGTTTCGGATACGTTTAGTTGTCAGTCAAGTATTAGTGTAGTATAATTCGCGTTTAAAATAGCGATATATTTATTTCTATTATAATTAAATTTCGATTAGTCAGATTATAGTTTGTTAAACAGAAGTGTTTCTACTCAATGACGTCGCGCGACGCCTCTGCTGACCCACCATGCTGCTTCAGTGCGTTTTAGCAGCCTTTTCACCCTTCTTCCAAACACCCGGCTGGCACAAGTTTCAAAGAAGTATGTTTATAGAATTAAGCTTCAAGAAATTTAGTGGCCAATGAACTTTTCATTGGATTTGAAATTCGAACCTAGCACCTCCACTCGATTAATCTATTTCAATAGAATAGTGCTGAAATATTTCATCCTACTTGAACGTACTCATCTCGCAAAATACATATAACAAAATATATTATATTAAGTATCTAATTAAAAAGGCCATTGTAATGTTGAAATAAGCACATTTCGCACGCAGCGAATGTCATCACGTATCGAAGATGAACGAAAGATAGAGTTATCAGTTTAACGGAGAAACACGTAACTATCGGGCGCATTCAAATATTGGTACAAATCAGTGAGAGTGCAATTTTTTTTATTGGTAAGTTGTTATACATTTTAAATCTCACCTGAAAGTATTTTGTAATTATTAAAATTTTAATTATTTATTTTGCTGGTGTGCTTTGTATCCTATTATATATATACCTTAGAATATCATCTATATAAATAAATAAATACTAATTTAAAGGTAAATTAAATACAAATAAATGTAGCTTTTATAAAGCCTTAATATAGTAAAAGCTTCAAATTGCGTGCTTATAATGTGCGCGAATGGTTTTAATACATGTGAATATTAATTAACCAATGCAGGTTGTTGTGTATAAAACGTTAATTTAAAATATTTGAAGAATAGATGTTTATATTTTGTAAGAGAATGTATTTAATTTTTGTTAGGTACTAAACTTAATAAGCAAGCAGATTTTTGAAGCTTGCAGGTAAGAAATTGCCATTTTTAGAAGCAAACAATGTTGAACTAGTAAAGTTAAGGCAATCATTATTTTAGATTATATTTAGGTACAATCTTTACATGAAAGACATTTTCTAGTATTTATTTTTAAAGAATATTTTAACCCTAAAATAATTAACATTTCGTTTTGTAAAAAGAAGGTATATGAGAATTATTTAGCATATAACGATATAGATAACGACCAGTGCTACTAACGATTTTAACGGTTAAAAGGAAAATATATAAGTATTTAAATTATTAAAAAAAGAAACTTAAAGCACTGTGAATTGTTTTTTTTTATAATAGAGAAGGACAAAGAAGCACGGTTCACTTAATAGAAGTTGAAATACCTCAAGTATGTAACATTTTGGTAGATTAAAAATCGAAAAAAAATTGACTCGGGCAGGACTTGAACCGGCATCGTCAGCGTTCCGTGCTCTAACAATTTAGCTATCGAGTCCTACACCGTTGAATTCATTCAACCTATTGATACATACACCTCTCGCATAAAGGTCTCTCTGCCCGAGTGAAAGCGCGAGTAGAAATGTTTTCATTTTTTTTTTCGACCTTATATAGTGCCATCATGTACAATAAACATGTAAATAATATTAAAGTTTTCAAACATCTTATCAAGACGCGCTGTCTAACGTTTTTGCCTTTAGATATTTTGAAATGAACTAAAATCGAAACGCCATTAAACACTGCTTTCCATTTGTACATAGTAATAATTTAAACGCATTACGATATCAATACCACCACTTAATATCCAAACTTGTGCATAATATATATTACAAGAACATGACATGAACAACCATGTAGAACCAATATTGACCTTTTAATTTTACATTCTGTGAACTTATATGCAATGATAATAGTAATTGTTAAAGTTGATGTGGCCTCGGTTCGTTAAAATAAAGTTATGCTTCTTTGCTTCTATTGTTGTCCAGATGTCATATTACCAAACCTATTGTGCAATTTAGCTGTACGTTGCTAATTTCACTCGATTTGGAAGTACCTAACTACGTCACGATGGGGAAAAGGCCCAAATGCTTAGTGCGTAGATAAATAAATATTTAGCTAGGTGATTGTAATGTAATAAAGCTGAAGAATTTGTTTATTTGTTGAAACGCGCTAAGTCTGAAGAACTAATGATTCGAAATGAAAGATAGATCATTTGTCAATGAAGACTTAGGACGCCGCGACCAATAGGAGTAAAGCTGTTGAAAATTTTGAAAAAATCGAAATATTTAAATGAAACAATTTAACGGTGTAAAACGCGATATATATATTAGTTAAACTTGTTTGAATAATTATTTTAACTACGGCTCTACGTTTCGAAATATCGAATTATTAAAGACTAGACTGTACAATGACTAATTCTATATCGAAAATATATTTAAGATCAAGATGATTCTTTATAGAAATTGTTTCCAGTACGGTATTTGTTTTTGCTACGATTCGCTTATCTTTCTTATACAACTTCTATCATACCAGCTTGCCTTACTTATTCAACTTCTGCATATAGAAATAACCGAAAAATAATCAAAAAGACACAAGGATTACGGTTAGGTACATATACTTTATGTATTTGAAAAAATGAAGGGTTAAAAGCCGAAATCAGTCGACTTAGTTTGCAAGGTATCCTATGCTTATCTGACCTTCATTGTTTTACAAAAATATTATTTTCCACAGATTATAACAATGGCTACCAGAACAACAACAATACAGGACAGAAAAACAGAAGACTATTATGACCAGGTGTTACCAAAAGAAGCACAATTCCTAGCTCCAATAAGAAATTGGGAAAAACAAATGGGTTTCGTGACTCCCATAATTTGGTTCAACGCGATAGTTATATCTCTGTTTCATATCGTCGTGCCGATCTACTTCGCATATCTTATGTACACCGGTCGAAGATGTATGAGAAAAACAGTTGTATTGGGTAAGTAATTTAGTAGTTACAGTTTTAAATTTCAACAGCCTTCAACAACATATATTCATCATCATCATCATCATCAGCCATATGCGACTACAGCTGGACGTAAGCCTCTCACAAAGTCGATGCCACATTGCCACTCTTCAGGTTATCAGCCCTACACTTTCTCCATTCTAGTGTATATCGACTCCAATGATCATCTCATCTGCAGACATGGCTATGGTCACTGATAGTGTCTATTTGACTATGCCCACTTTCGTTTCTACTCTTGACTGTTACTAAAAGTAGCCAAACATAGTTATGCCATGTTGGGCTACTTTTAGCTTGTAAATCTATTATCCGCATGTAAGGTTCTAAGTCTCGGTATATGTTTTATCAGGACTAGTATTACATATTTAATGTTTATATTGAACTTGTTTAGGCCTTCATACTTGATACCCACAGAAAACCATAGATAAAGTAGGTATACCTAATACCTATTACTAGACTTTATAGTAGTTATTTAGTTTTCGTGTAGCAAGTTATGTTGTTCTTTATTAGTGTTATTTCTTTAAAACGAGTCTCGGCTGATGATCTTTGTGACAAATTTGTGAATAATAATTCTTACTAATATTTCACTACGTACCTTACGAATGTGATATTATTAGCGATGTACTTAGTTCTCAGACAAATGTTTACATATAGTAAAAACGGTACGAGTTGGACGTGACACAAGATCTTTTAGATATAAGCGATAAAATGTACAATATTTATGTACGTGACTTGGGAGACTTTAAAGGGACGTGAACATTTTAATGTAATGCTAATATTTTAATTGTAAAAAAAACTACGACATAGGGACAAAGAACAAATACAACCTATTCCCGCTGTGCTCAAGTTGGCTTAGTGACTATTTTTTCAAATGCATTAAATTGGGATGATGCTATGATACGACCTGGTGACACTATTACAAAACGAAGACTAACCACACAAACCTGGTTTAAACCCTGGTTTACTTGCAAATCCTTATTACAAAACAAAGTTTTACGTTCGTACAGCACTAACTATAGTACTACCTAGAACATGGTTTAAGAGTTAAACCAGGAAGTAGTTTGTAGTATGGCCATGTAGCCAAATGGTTAAATGGTGGTGGTATTGCCTAGCATTGCGTTGAGCGCGTGAGGTCCTGGTTTCGAATCCCAGGGAAACTTAAAATTGTTTCGTTCGGGCAGGGCACAGAAGTCTGTTCAACTACTTGCTCGTTAAAAGAACTGATCAGTGAAACGGACACAGAAATGTGTTCGCCCCATGCCCCACAAAGGGGAAACGGGCTTTCACACTACCGATAGCGAATTTTTACGAAATATCAAGGTTCTTTTTATGATAGAAGAGGACAAACAAGCATGGTCTTCACCTGATTCTGGGTGAAATACACTTGCCTACATCTAAACATGATGCGCTGTCGACCCTTTTTTGGCTTACTTACACCTAACTTTACTATTTTTGGTATGCAACCCTTAATAAGAATTAAAGATCAGACTTCCTGTAAATGGGTTTGCTTAATTGCATATTTGAGAAGAGGGTTAATGTTTAAGCTATTATTTTGTTCTTTCAGAGTTTATATTCGGACAGATGGCAGCGTTTGGTATAACAGCTGGAGCACATCGCCTCTGGACCCACAGGTCTTACAAAGTTACAATGCCGTTTAAAATAACGTTACTGATATTCTACGCTATTGCAGGGCAGGTTGGTTAAAAAACACATTACTTCAATATTCCCTAATAAAATCATTTCTAATGATGGATTCCGTTGTCTAAAGAATGAGTTACAAGGGATATACTTCTATACTAATATATAAAGCTGAAGAGTTTGTTTGTTTGTTTGAACGCACTAATCTTAGGAACTACGGGTTCGAATTGAAAAATTATTTTTGTGTTGGATAGAAAATTTATCGAGGAAGGCTATATGGGCTATAAAACATCGCCCTGTGACTAATATAAGCAAAATACAGCGAGAAATATAAAACAAAAAAAATAAAATTATTCATCATTATAAGTTTCAGGCGTACGCTTAAAATCATTCAATATATGTATTTAAGAACGACGTGAAGGGACGCGCCCGACGCCATAGGTAAAAACAAATTTGATGCCCAAAATTACATTCTCGCGATATAATATTGAAATAATTATACTTGCGTTTTTCGAGAATAGAATGTTTGATCACCGTTACGCGTTACGTAACAAAGCCACTTGACCTCCCATAAGGAGTTTGCAGTTAAAAATGACGTGCGTATTAAATACAATTTATTAACTACATGACAAACTTAAATCAAAGTTATGCAACCATCAACAAATAGGGCTATGACCGCGGTTCAATGTCGTCAAATATTTGAGTTTGCATTCTCTTTTATTGAATAAACATTAAACAGTGACATCTACGAGCAAATAATAACATAGCACACCTACAAAGTAGCAAAACATATACAGGTTTATTATTTACAGCTGAATTTCTACTATTCATACCTGTTATTCAAATATTAAATTATCTTCAGATAATTTAGTATTTCTTATAAGTTATGTGACGTACGAATTTAAAATCTATAAAAATAAAAAATATACATAATTTTGTTATAAACAAATGTATGTAACACCAATAAGTTTTTTTTTAAAACAGTACATAAGTGTGACAGAACAAAGGCAGGAATGTCTTTTATAATATAGGAGGATAGACAAGCCATGTAACATCTAAATATGACAGGCACAGACTGAAACCGACACGTGATTATACTTTACGGCTTTTTCTACTGTAAACGGTGGTTCGCGACCCGGACGGAATTCCGATATTCCTACCACACATTTAATATCCAGATTTCTTGACCAATATGTTTCGGAATAATTATGAATTGATTAGAAAAATATTGGACCCGGTGGTGATCGAACCCACGGCCCGTTTATTATTAGCCATACATTGCTACAATTACACCAAAGAGGCCGTCAATGTGAAAGTGGGTGATTAAATGTAATAGAGACTAGACAGTTTCATTTGAAAAAATCTATGACGTGGGCTGCATACGACCAATTGGTCGTGCGCACGTTGAGTCCTAGTTTGCCAAACGAAGTCTGAATAAAAAATATTTCCACCTTTTTTCACACAAGGGGAAAAAAAAAAAAAAGGGTTTTAAAAAAAAAAAAAAAAGGAAAAAGGGTAGGACTCGGGCGCCACACACGTGCCGTCGAGCTGCGACTCGATTTCTTTAGATTTATAGTTTATGTTTAATTTATAAACAAAGAAGGCCAAATGCATTTAGTATTATTTATTGCTATGCATATCCACTATGCTAATAAACATATTTGCATATAGTGGACATGCTACTTTTATCAGTTTGGTGTACATAATAGATAGACATTTTGATGTCAAGGCCATCATTACTAGTAATTCACACATGCTTACCAAAAAATAGGTATTTTCGAAATGGGGATTGTGCAATTTTATAAGAAGCGCGTGTGTTTAATCTTTACTTAACATTAGCTGTGCCAGCGTCTTCGTCCGCATAGAATAGTTATTTATGAAATTCAATTCGAACTACTATTTCCTGAGATTGACGCGTTCAAACAAAGAAACAAACTCGTCAGCTTTACAATTCTAGATATTGTAATTATATTATTCTAATTCTTTTGATGTATCCGGCAGTAAGGCTATACGATACTTAAAAGTAATAACTTTGCTTTCAAAAATGACTAATGACGTTATGTATTTCAAAATTGTAAATTACTACATTGTGTAATCGTCTTTCAAAACCGAAAATTAGCATGATAAGCTTTTTTGCATCATTGTAATATTGACTTTTGACTTTTGATAAGTACGAATGATGGCGTTTTAAAAGAATAATTTGCTAAATAATAAATAAGTTATACTGTCTCATTGGTCTAGTGATTAGTATGAACATTTCACTGCAGATGACTAAGTCCAGGGTTCGAGGTTTATACGATTTCTAGCCTTAGCAATGTTTCGTGAGTTAGGCATGATCATCCAGGTTATGTCTCGAAGGGCATGTCAAGCCGTTGGTTCCGGTAATCATTACTTGGTAGTTATGAAAGCCTGCTAACATCCTCTGAAAGGTTGTCTATGCTTTTAAATCTCTCTAAGAGAAGAGACCCAGCTGTGGGTTTTTTTATTCATTACAACTAATTCAGATAGGACTCTTTATTCGTCTAGGCTTGATCATGAAATCAGATAATATGTACCATGTTTAATGATATAGGAGGGCAAAAAGCATGTTCTTTACTAAGTGGAAAGTGAAATACTTTTTTTGGCCGGACAAATAACATCAAAACAAGATTCGTCGACGACCTAATTTGGCTTTAAATATTCGGATATCCACCAACTGAAAACGAAATGCGATTTGACTTCACATTCTCTCAATCATAATAGTATATAAATTCTACGAACGGTGGTGCGTGACCCAGATATTCCTACTGTCAATTCAATATACAGATTTTCACACGACGTCTTCAATTTAACAAATTTATAAATTCTTTAGAATCATGTTGGACCCGGCCAGTATCGAATTCACGGCCCGTTAATTGTTACCCTAAGATTGCTATATTTAAGAAATCTTAGGCTCGTTTCTTCTATTTAAGCTGATTTAATATTTATATAACAATGACTGGTTCTCTATCCTAAGCATTATGTTACAGAACAACCTTTACAATTGGGTAAGGGATCACAGAGTGCACCACAAGAAATCGGAGACTCCAGCCGACCCCCATGATGCAAAACGAGGGTTCTTCTTCTCCCATGTTGGCTGGCTGATGATGAAGAAGCATCCACATGTTATGACAGAAGGTTCCAAGATCGATATGACAGATATAACTAGTGATCCGGTCCTGGTATTCTTTAATCGGTAAGATTTTGGTGTCGACTTTTATCGGAAGTACCGTCAACAAAAAAATATTCACTGTTATTTATTGTGGCTTGTGAAATAAATGGTTTGAGTTTGAGTTTTCAAAGAAATACACTGTCTGTAGTTTACTCGAGTAGTACATTTAAATAAAACACTATAACGGTTTAAAACGCGCTATATATTAGTTAAATTTTTTCGCCGTGTCCACGGCTACTGCCAAGCATTTGAAACGTCGGGCCGCAGTTAAAATAATTTTAAAAAAAGTTAAATTAATTTACATCGAGTTTAAAACGATTAAAGTGTTTAATTTAAACGAAAGAAATATATCCTTTTAACCTACTACATCTCACGCATTGTAATTTCAACCTTAACACCAGGTATTTAAGTTTAAATTACATAAGATTTGAATAACAAGTTAAAATATAAAAGTTTTCAAATATTGTATTTTAGCTTCTTTGTTCTCAGCAATCAATCAGACCATAACTAACTGTTAAGAAAATCTCTTTTCAGAAACTTCAACATTCTCAAGTTCCTCTTCTGCTTTTTAATACCAGCATTGTTGCCAGTCTGGTTGTTTGAAGAAGAGTTATACATGTCCATACTAGCTGTTTTCATGAGATATTTATTTACGCTGAACGCGACATGGTCGGTTAATAGCTTTGCACATATGCATGGCTTGCGTCCCTATGATAAGTAAGTTGCTATTCCATCATTGTTTTAATATTATTAAAACATTGGGTCACACGTCTGGTGTCTGGTGACTGACGCCGTCCTTTCCGGTAAGGCTGTGTCAGTCATCGGTAACTGACAGCAATAAAATTTGCTAATAGAAGTAAGAATTAAACATTCTCCATTTATATTTAATATTTGCTTAGTAATAATAACGCCATCGATTTCTCCTTAACCTCAAAAGAAACCTAAACTTATAGATTTTATTTAATTTTTAGTTCTTACATGTATTCTATTTCCAGAAACATCTTACCATCAGAAAACATGGCCGTTTCCATCATAGCAATGGGTGAAGGCTGGCACAACTACCACCACACATTCCCTTGGGACTACAAAGCTGCTGAACTATCATACTTTATCAATCCCACGACTGCCTTCTTAGATTTAGCAGCGTTTTTCGGTTTAGCGTATGATTTAAAAACTGCTTCACCTGAACTTATTAAGGCTGTGGCGGATAAAAGAGGAGATTGTAGCCGCAAAAATGATTAATTTATTTTTGTTACCTTTAATTCTGAAACAGATAGTGAGATTATTAGATTATCTGTATTTTTGTTGGTTACAGTATAAACTCATATACTTCACTTTTAGTTTTTAAGAGTACTATTTTAATATTGAGTTGCCTATTATTATACAATTGTGTAGATTAAATTATAAGTAATATACAATTTTCGAAAATAGTCTTTATGTACATAACAATTAATATTATTTTCCTATTTAATGACTGAAGATAAAAATTATATTTACGATGGTGTTTTCATTTAGAGTCTTAATGTTATTTTCAGAAAGTTATTTTATGTGTTAGTACCCAATTTTAAGTACTTTTTGCCTTCAATAACTAGGAAATGAGATTGTAGTGTATTTTTTCTAACAAGACATTTCTGATAAACAAACACATAATTTACTTGGAATTGTCGTGATTGTCTCACAAGGACAACACTAAGAACACTTGATTATATAAACTTACTAAATTTCTTTTAGTAAAAAACTCGGACAGATTATAAATTCCTTAACTGTGACATTTACATAGGGATGGCATGTAAGCACGTTTCTAAAAACGTCGAGTTACATACAAATGCCTTAAAAATGAAAGAAAAGGTTATTTGGTCTATATAAAATCGATGTTTCCCTGTGGCATCTACTTTACTCTATAAACGGTATTGACTGGGTCCCTATGGTTCGCAATCGGCTATATTTGTTGTGGTCTTTTGCCAAGTTATAAAAAATACAATATATTTAAGATACATCTTATGATAAATTCCGCTTCTCGATGCTTATATGGTGGCCCGTTTCTGGCTTCAACATGACATCAATTTTCAACACTAGCTTGGTGTAATCCCCTGTCACTTTATAATGGCGCATTACGTGTGACAGCGTGGTCTTCATAGACATGTAGGCGTAGGATTTTCCTAGAAAATAAAAAACATTTGAATCTCGTAAAATTACGGACTCGTTGGTGTTGGGGTAGCAATGTATAGATATTGATTCTTATTAATCAACTGGCCGTGGATTCGATCCTCACCAGGTCTAACTGCTTCTTCATAAATTGTGTAAGGCTTTCGCGGCCATTGTTCAGCATATCATTGTTTTTCGGGCTGTTCGGTCGACGTGAGCGAGAAGAGAATCACGAGTGGACGGCATCATCAAAAGATGTTCGCTCCTCGATTACTCGAAGAGTACTTCGAGCAATCATATGATGCCAGACTTCGTTTGAAAGTCTTGATATTAAATGGGTCTATAGACATTTCTTCCGGGTCATATACCACGGTCCACAGATGGAATAACCGTAAAGTTTAATAGTGTATCGGTTATAATCTGTGGATTTCATAATCTCCAAAGCCGAAATAGGTCAACTGCGCATCTTTTTTCGATGATATGTGGTTGGGGTATTTAACATACCATTAAATGAACCCCTTGTTTGTGTGTCCTCCCCTATCGTAAAACAAGATAAATAACATTTAGCAAGTAATTACTACGTTTTGATAACAATAATTTCCTATCACCATCAGATCAACGCACATTATACGTGAGATTGCGTGAGAAACGTAAAATACTTGTATGGAATATTTAATGATATTTATCCGCTGAATTAATAATAAGACACTTATAAACTAACCAATACAGATCCTTCTTCCCATATTAAACGCGGCAAAAGCAGTCGGGCATTCAGGCAATGTGGCTGGATCGAGCCATCTCTCAGGCTTGAACTCCTCACGGTCTGGTCCCCACATGGGGTGTCTGTGTATTCCATAGACGAACATAAAGCAAGTACGACCCTTTGATAATGTGTATGTTTCTGAAAAATTATAATAAATTAACTTTATACTTAAAGAATTTAATAAAGTAAGAGCGGTATACTGGTAGGAAGTACATTATGGTTCTCTGGTAAATAAACTATCAAAACGGAACAAGTATTTGATAACCAGGCCATCAAAAACAGAGGTTTCTATATCAGCACCATCTTAAATGACCCCATGAGGAATTTGCAAATGTATAAAATAACTACTAGAGTACTACTTACTCAATTTTAAATCCTTGTCTAGTACCCTCGCAGTTACAGGAACAATAGGAAAAATCCTCATGCTCTCCTTCAGAACTGCTTCCAAATAAACCAACTGGGATAGATCCTGCTTCGTGACGTCACGGTCATCGTTGCCAAAGACTTGGCGTAATCTGTGTAAATATTTACATAAGAAAATATGGTAATAGATTAACTAACTAGGAGAACAATAACAATGTAGAAAATAAAATACCATATTTTTTATGTTTTGAGTCTTATTTAAAAGTAGGAAAGAACATTATTTTCAATAACTTTATTGTCTACTTGTGACTTAGGAGGAACTTTGTGTGTTCATTCTCAGGAGGACAAAATTAAAATTTAAGAAAAGTATCTAAACGTACATTAGTTACCACTAGTTCTGCCCATAAGAAGTTGCAAGAAACTTGCCGTCTTTTTATAGCTAAGTTTCATACTATAAAAGTTTTTGCGCACTCAGATGAAAAGAGTATAGTGAGAGCAATGAAGAATATTTTATAATCTATAGCCTCATTACTTACTCTTCGAAAATCTTCTCTTGAACTTCCGGATGCGAACCAATAAGCAAAAGTGTGAACATTAGCACACTAGCAGAAGTGTCGTGTCCACCCACGATCATCGTATCTACGTGTTCCTGTATCTCTCTATCGTTGAATGCACCCTTTTCCACGGCTAGTTCCAGTAGAAGATCCATGAATGGTTTGAATTTCGTTCCTATAATCAATTTTAGTTAATAGAATAGGTAAAGCAAGATAAGCTATTTAAAAATTAAAGTAAAGCAGAATTATTTATAGTATTATTTAATTATTTTACTATTTCGTTGGCAATTGTTTTTATCTAGATTTTAAATTACGAACAATCCCGACCACATTTCAAAGTCGAAAACAGACGATAACGCATCCTTATTAGATGGTTCAGATTTGTGGGTTACTATACGATAGAAAATAATTATATGATGCTTTAAAAATAATTTGAAATACCTGTTTTATCTTCTGTTTTTCCAGTTTCTAGTCTGTTCAAGTAATCAGCTTTCCGTTTTTGTAATACCTGTGAATATATTTTTTCATTATACTAACGTAAAAGCCGTTACTAAATGAAAATGAATTGCAGTAAATTTCAATATAATTGACATATATAGCTACAACAGTATTAATAGAAGAAACACAGCTCCATATCCTTCTTGACCCCTCCCACCGAAGCATCTACGTGAAAAGGAGTTTTAGCAAAGTGCTTCAACTCTTCAAACCTTTAATATTCGAGTAGTCAAAACGAATACTAAATAAAACAACTGTATCGTAGCACTCACGGTATATGACATGTTATGAAGAATTTCCAGCAGGCTATCCTGTTTCTTCCTTAATTGAGACCAGCTGTACACGTAGTCATTGTGAAGCCAGAACTTCTGGAACCTCTCGACGAATACATTGAATATCTGTTCCGTAGCTTTAACATACTGGCTGTTGAGAACATTTTTTTCCGTGAAGTCTATTCCTAGCGCTGTTACTAAAATAAGACATCATTAATAAAAATAGTATTATGTGGGAATTATTTTCAGGTGGTTTTTCTAACTATTGATTACAATTCCTTCAAATGGAAATTTTATGTTAAAAAAAAAATCTAAATAGCCAAAAGGAATAAAATTAGAGCGTTCGAATTTTTAAACTCTCAAAACCTAGTTACCTACAACGCGTGTCAAGACATATTCCCAAAAAGTTTAAAACATGGGTGGTTTTACATAGTTGGAAGATATGATTAAACATAGTCTGTAGTTTACGCGAGTATGTGTATTAACATTACAATTTTTGCGGTTCAAAACTTCGATGCCATTAAACAAATTACGGCGAACAGAACGTAGAAGAAATATAATTTTAGATGTAGGATGTAGTTGGTAAGACTTACAGCAAATTGTTTCTAAAGCGTTATGACGCGTATAGACCCAATGGTCAAACGGTCCTTTACCAACTTCCTTCTTCAAATCCTGGACCAATCTTCGTGATTGGCTATTGAAGACTCCAAGGAAGCCGTCCAGCACAACTTGACTGAAAGCTGGATTTAATAAACGGCGGTGGTTCCGCCATATTGATACTGAAATACGAACACCATAAAGTAGGTTTCTTTAGTTTTTTATTCTGAATTTAAATTCTAAAGTTAAGGCCTCCAAGAGTTTCGATTGCTTTGTGCATCGCTCCACCTATAGTAATATTATAAAGCTGAAGAGTTTGTTGTCTGAACGCGATGATCTCAAGAGCTACTAGTTCGAAACGAAAAATTATATGTTTGTTGGTCAGAGCATTTATCGAGGAAGGCTATATCATCGAAGAAGGATATAACATCACTCTGCGGCCGATAGGAGCAGTGGGAAAAGGAAAGGACGGGAAAAAATAATCATCTTTCAGGGTATTCGATGCATGCGGATAGGTTTAAAATATCCTAAATATGTGTAGGTAAGAATGATTCCTTTCTAAGTAACCTAAAAATATTTGCAAGAGTACCTGTCTATCTTTTAAGATTAACTTGCACGACGACAAGACGCTGACGATGTCGTGGGTAACAGCTAGTTTAGAATAAAGATTGATGGAGGGAATAGTTACTTACACTTTCCAGTTACAAGTCCCTCGCCAAGCCAGCATTTAGCAAATTCGTAAAAGGCATCTTTCTGAAGGCAGTTGTTTGCTACTGTTAGTGCATCTTCAGGGTCTGTTACGACTGACAAGAAAAATTATATTTGAGTAACAGTAGACAGCAAGTAATTATTTACCAATTAAAGGATAAAAAATGAGGTTGAAGTGACTGCTTCTACAGCCGATGGTTTAGCGAGAGAGGCCATTGATATGAATCCAGGGAAAACAATAGGAATAGTAACACACAGGAGTCAAATTATTGTCATATTATAGTGTCAAGCTTAGAGGTTTTGGATTAAGTAGGGATAATAGTTTTTATTTGTAAATAAAATCGCTAAGTAAAGTCATAGGAATGTGTCAGTCCTACACCCCAGGCAGGGCAAAGTTTTGCTGTACTCTATATTTCTTACCATATATAGTTCTTGGACCGATATATGCAGAAAGTACCCCTCCTAAACGTAGACAGTCATACGAGAGCTCCACTACAGATTTCCAGAGCTCTGGGAATGAAATAATATTTTTCACATCAGGTCATGATGGCACTCTATAAATTAAAAATCTTTAATTTTTCCTTAACTTTCTGTCTATCGCTAACTCAAATCTAGTTTCATGTTCAAGAAATTACTAAAATAAAAACAATAAATTTTTTTGGCAGTTACTGTGGGTGCGCGCATATGCGCAATTTTTTTGTATGGTGTTAGCGCAGAGTATGGGTACACATTCATAAATAAGATAATTATGACTTTGATAGCTTACCAACACTATTTCCTATAAGCAAATGTGCGTGGCCAATTAATGGTAGTCCACCTGGAATGGCCGGAGGTTCATTCTTATTTCGACTATTTTTGTACCGCGACCACGCCCATAGAGCACAGACAATTGCTATCAGGACTATAAACACCATCGCAGGTCATAGGTATTCTACAGGAAATAATAATTATACACAAATTGTTTAATATTTTCATTTTTATAAACTATTGTTATATTTTTTTTTGTAGAAATGATACGAAAAAGGGTGGTATTTGAAATTAAACACTTCAACGGTTTTAAACGCGATATATTTTTGTTAAATTTGTTTGAAAATTATTTTTAACTACGGCCCGATGTTTTCGACTACTATATATCGCGTTTTAAACCGTTAAAGTGTGTACTACTCGCGTAAACTACAGACAAAGTTAGTCTTATTTGACCGAATGTGTTTTTCAAAAGTTAATTAATAACAAAATATAAATTTATTCCGTTATTAACCACGAGGTGAACTTATTTCTTTAAAGACAATAATTTATAATTTACTCTATCAAAATTAAATAGGTAAGACTTTTTAAAATAAATTTATTTCCGAAATCACTGGAAACGTTTATTGTGGGAAATAATTATATATTGCTTCAGAAAAATGCTTTCAAAATTTATTTTTCCGTTCTTATCAGTATCACTATAAACCACTTTTCACATTTAATTTGAAGAAAACTATTTACTACCTCTGTATTGAGTGTGTACTAGTTTATTGTTAAAATTACACAGGAATTACGATTTCCTGTGTTAATGTTTTATATTTAGGTAATATTACTGTAGCCCTCAATGTGCCAGTCTCACAATGACCGGATTCTAATAACGTGTACTTGAGAAACATTTGAATTTAATTACCCAATAAACATAAACAAAGTGAATCTCAAATATTTATATTAACTAAGATAATTATATTATTTTATATATTCAGTCATTTAAATACATGATAACACTTTTTGTATCTAAGTACAAATCATTTTAAAAATGACATACAAAGCAAGTATTTTTTAAGAAAATACTTTATGCTTAAGTTTTACTTACCTAAATAGGTACCTTGCTTGAAAAGTGAAGTGTCCAACAAAAGCCGTATAAACCCCCGACAATAATTATTTTGTAAAATTCTGGGGACAGTATTGTTTTGTAAATAAACTTCAAGAAGTGTTCGGTGTTCAAAAGCGTCTTCAACCTCGCGTTGTGGTCCACATTGATGACAGAGTGTTTCACGAGCGAAGTTGTTTTCAACGAGAGTGCTTCACAATTATTATTTAATTAAAATAAGTCAATACATAAAAATATATCGCTATATAAACCTCATACATTTTCATTTATTGTGAAGCGTCCCTCTATTTGCGAAATAAGAATATTGATTGGATTTGCAGCAATATGATGCCATATCCCGTGACCACGACTACGTGAAAAGAACAGTAGAACATTGTTCTAGTTATTAAATAGTACCAAGGTCACCTAACTTGTACCTAGTGACTTAAAAATCTTGTGTCATTCAATAATTATTTTATGTATTGCTCTTCTTGTAAATGTCTTGTCATAATCAACAATTGAGTTAGAGTAAAATGGATTATAATTAATATGTAGAATAAATTAACGAGAAAATCAAGTAAATATCATCATTTAAAAAATCTAAAATAAGTTGAAAAAATTTTTGACTCGGGCAGCACTTGAACGTTCTTCTACCAATTGAGCTACCGAGTCAAAAACATTTTTTCATTTTATATACGACTTTTAAATGATATAGTGCCATAACATGTAAAAAATATTAATGTTTTCAAAGCATTATCATAATTAAATTTCTCTGTTCTAAAGAAAATTCGTAGCTTAGTACAATAATAGTCAAAGACCCACAATACTTTACAATTTTTATTCTCACAATTTCTCGCCCAATACAACCTAAATATACTGCAGTCCTAAAGCCGCTGCGTGCGCTAAAACAGCTTCAGCAGCTTGTCGCGTTTCTAGATGCGCACGCGCATCTTCCGTCCAGGTAGCTGCTGCGGCTCGCGAGGCGCCCTCTAGGGCACTAACGTAGCGAATAGCAGCCGCTAAGTTTCCACGTTCTATCCAAAACCTTGAAAAAAAAGAAATATTACTTTTTCTTAGTTTTAACTCTTTATTAGTTTAAACATAATTTAGCGACGGTTCTAAACTTTGGTAACTAGGTACATAGTAAATATAGCTTGAGTCGAAAGTATAATTCATATATTTTTTTATCATTACTAACACTTTTAACGGTTTAAACGAGAAATATTAGTAACCTTTTTTACAAATCATTTAACGAAGTCCTCGACGTTTTAAACAAGACATTAAAAGGCAAAATAATGGTTTAAAAATAGTTTTCATGATTTCAGGAAAGATATATTCAGGATTGATAGGAAACAAGTACTTATTTTAAACCGATCTTGTAGATCCATACACAGTTATCTCTGAAATAGGTTTAATAAATAATTGATATACTTTCTCTTATACAATGCAACAATTTCATCATATCAGCAAGATGTATACATGCGTGATAAAACGTGACTGTTCCAAGTAACCCACAAGCGATCAAGCGCAGCAAAATACATTCATTACCACACACTTCACGGGCGAATTTATACAATTACTTAAACATTTTCCAGAGACGGACAGGTGTGATATTATATCGTTTTTATAAAAATAGATCAATTAATAAAGCACAATTCAAACCGAGACCCTATCAATCTTAACGTAATCCTTGTCTCAGAGGCCGTTCAATCTTACAATTTGTCGAAATAAATTGCTAATATAGAGATTGCCTTGCATTGCGCAAGCGCGAGACATCCTGGGTTCGAATCTTACGGAAACAATAGATCTACGATAATAATAGAGATACGTCTGATGCGAGTAAAAGGTCCGATCAGTTAAACGGACAATGTGTTCGCTTCACTGATCGGACGAAGGAAAATGGGATGTCACTTTTACCTCGCCCGTTGCAATAAATCATATGTGTCCAAATCCTTGAACGGTTCTTTAGGCGGTTTCTCAAACTCCTCTTGTGGAATTCCAGATATCTGCACGAAAATAAACACTAAAATATACGTTGATTTATGTTACAAAATATTGTTTAATATAATTAAGTACCAGTTTTCGTATATAACTCGACAGACTTTTTTGTTGAAACCTAATCTATCTATTATAGGGATGAAGATTTTGTTTGCTTGAACGCGCTAATCTCAGGAACTACTGTTTTGAATTGAAAATTATCTTTGTGTTGGTTAGATAATTGATGGAAGAATGCTTTAGACTATAAAATAATAAATGAACAATGGAAGCGAAGAAACAGTGTAAAAGGGTTTGAGGGTTTCCATTGCGTGCCCTGCAAAGAGACAACATCCCCAAAAAAAATTACAAATAATAATTCCTTTAAATGATTTTAAAAAATGTTCCCGATAGTGCATGTCTATTTTTTAAGATTAAATAAATTTATTCGAAAACAACACATTTCGAAATAACCATTCTATGTGGACAAAGACGCGGCCTTAGCTAGAGAAATATAAAAGTGACGTCACAATGTATGTACCCGTACATTTAAGTTTCATACATATCTGATTAAAATATTTTGTCTGTATGTATATAAAAGGATATGTGCGACTTACAGACCTTCATAAACAAAAGGGCTGATTGTATCCAGGACAGAAAGTAAATCGGCAAGGGAGCGCCGTCTTGCTCTATTAAAGCCACTTTTAGCGCTAAGTTTTCCATCTGCAAAATCTATATTGAATACTTCTACTGAAACGTTCTACTGTCTAGAAATTTTATCTGTACCTCACAAACGTCTTGTATAAGTGAAGATTTTATACTTGAATGTTTTCGTCAATATTAAATAATTCCAAGAAATATTTGTCGGGCTCGTTGGTGTATTGGCAGTAATCTAAGTAATGTAATCAACGGGTCGTGGGTTCGAACCCCACCTGGTTCAACATTTTCCTAATCAATTTATAATTTTCTAAAACATGTTGGACTTCTTGTGGAATCTGGATATTAAAGGTGGTAGAGTGAGCACACAAACCACCGTCCACAAATAAACCGTGAAGTTTAATCGCGTTTCAATTTCAGCCTGCGGTTTTCGCAATATACAAAGTTTAAATAAAACACTTTAACGGTTTAAAACGCGATATATTAGTTAAACTTATTTGAAAATGATTTTTAACTTCGGCCCGACGTTTCTCCCCGTGACCACGGCTGCTGCAAAGCATCCGAAACGTCGGGCCGAAGTTAAAAATTATTTTCAAATATGTTTAACTAATACATCGCGTTTTAAACAGTTAAAGTGTTTCCTACCACCAAGTAAACCCCCTTCTCTATCATAAAAAATAACACAATGAAAGTCAGTGCAGTCGTTCTCGAGTAACAAGTTTTTAAACATAAAATCAACCGTTTGATATCTCGCACGTAGAACACTTTCCGGCACAATTCCCTTTTCTTTGACGGATCCTGGGATAGCTTTGAGGACAGTTTCTACTAGTTTATCGCCATCACCTAAAAAGCAATATTAAAAAGAATATTTTAAACTTGCTGTAAACCTTTTTGAATGTGTACAAATTATAACATTTAAATAAATCAAAGATTTAAATAAATCACTTTAACGATTTAAAACGCCTTTAAACTTATTTGAAAATTATTTATAACCGGCCCGACGTTACGGTTGATTGCAGCCGTGATCACGGGGTGACAAATAAGTTTAACCAATATATATCGCGTTTTAAACTGTGTAAACTACAGAAAAAAAAAATGTTTTTCAGTTAACCATAATTGTAATTCCTATTAGCTTATGTCCGAGTGATAAATTAAACATAATAAGATAATCAACGAGTTTTTATATATTTAATTTGAGAAGGATAAAATATAAAGTATTACGCTAACCCTAATAATTTTATTTATACCTGAAGCTTTTTCGATAGCCTTTAGTTCTTTATTAACGTTAACATGAGGTGTTCCCTTCTTCGTGGCGGCCAGTAGTGCGGCACCAGCCACCCATAGCTCCTGCGAACGCCTTGTTTCACGTTCAGCCTTGAGGTGGGCTGAAAATTAAAAGCCTTATTTTTATATAAAACACTTTAACGGTTTAAAACGTTATATATATTAAGTCTTCCCGTGACCACGACTGCTGCAACGCATCCGAAACGTCGGGCCGAAGTTAAAATAGTTTCCAAATAAGCTTAACTAATATATATCGCGTTTTAAACCGTTAAAGTGTTTTATTTAATTGTGTACCATTCGCGTAAACTACAGACAGTATTTAATTAGCCTTATTTTTTATGATAGAGGAGGATACATAAGCGGTTCATTTCAAAGTCTATTAATACCGTTAAGTTTGTTCTCGACAATTTTAAGTTTAGCCGCCATCTCGCCAAGCTGTCTAGCGAAGATGTTCTTCTCAAACGCAACTTTCTCAGCCACCATCTTATCCAACTTTATTGTAGCCTGTAAAATTTCCAAGAAATTGGGACGGGTAGTTAAAAAAAACGTGAGGCTCTGTGGTTAATCGTTTTGAATATTTATGATTTCATAAATCATCATGCCCATTTATCACGCTATTCTAAATCATCAGTGTTCCGTACTGTTGTTCTAACCAAATGAGCTACGAAGTCTTACATGTTATCGTCGAGTTAAAAAAATGACTTCTGCTTTTCCACTTCTTATATAGATAATGAGAAAAGCTTCATTTTCACCAAAGAAAAAAAAATACAATAATCACCAACTTTACATACCTCTTTCTCCTTCTCGTCTAATCTCCTTTTCAGTGTGTCTTGGTGTCTGTCTAGCTGCTTTTTCAAAGAGTCTTTTAATATCTTATCATTGTTTGCGATTTGATCTGAATACTAAAAAGGGATATCTTTAATGTGTTAAATTATTCTTTAAAAGCCTAATAACCCCGTCATGTGCTATCTAGAAAGACTTACCCGTTTTTGAAATTCTTTATCTAATTCATATTTCTTCTGTTTATAAAGAGCTTGTAATTGGGCATCCCTTGCCTTATCTTCTGGAAGAGCTGGAATAACGTTGTCATACATTTTAATACTTCAACTTCTTATTAAAAAGGTAAAGCTTAAAATAAGTTATTTATTTAACAACTTAAACTCACTTTCTATCCCTCTATTAACTCTATCTGTCATTCCGACAACAGAGTCCTCTAATTCTTCTCTTAATTTCTGCGCCTGACATATTTTTCCAGATATAAAATTTTTATAATCTTTTACATGGTATACTTCAATCACAAATTTTAAAAATGTATGTAACGCTTACATATCTAAGTGTATGGTACAGCAAAAAGTCAGGGTCGTTTTGTAGCTGAAGAACATCCTTTTCATAATTTATCTCCGGATAAAGAGTTTGATTTTCAACAGTATATTTGTCGACAACGGTCTCCACCTGGGTAAGTAATTGCAGTTAATTCATTAAAATATTTATCCATGTATACAATTAAATAAGTTAACATAATTAAACTAAAGTTTAAATATTTAATTGTCCTCATCTTTACGAGTATTTTTCGGACAATAACTGCCTCACTAAGTATTGTCTATAGTTTACGCAAAGTGTAATCATTGAAATAAAACACTTCAACCGGATTAAAACGCGAAATATATTAGTTATCTTATCTTTTACTTTAAACTGATGAAGGATTTATATTTAACTTAATTATCTTAATTATTTTTTTGTCACTGAATTATTTATCAATTAAATAATACCTTTTGCCAGTGCACATCCATTGCCATAGACTTATCGTGCTCCCACTCATACTGAATAAGACTAGCTTTTAGTTTCTTTTGGTAATCAGTTATGAGACCGCGTGTGTTCGCTAAGTTTTCTGGTGGTGCTTTCACACCGCACTCAAAGTACTGGATCAAATCGTCTAGAAATGGAGTTACATAATTCACTAATATTTGAAAAGGTTTATAATTTGGTGATAGATATGAAAGAAGCATTATAATTTAAAACAAAATACGCTCCTATGCACTCATGCTACATCAAGACCTTATCGTTTATTTTCTACAATGGAGGCTTTCTATTTATTCCAGAGTGCCATCTAGTTCAAATATTTTTGGTTGCAAACCTCCATCCAAAAAAATTATATACAGGACACTACAGCGAACACACTAATGTTTGAGGGTAGTTGAATAAAATACTCCGCCTTACTGAAGTCAGCAACGGCTTCAGCCGCATTCTCAACAGACTCTTTGACGAGGCTCATACGTTCAGCCATTGCACCATGTAGCTTTCTCACTGTTGGTATTGTGAAGTTTTGCATCGACTCTTCGACGAGCTAAAAAGATAAAAAAATGCTTTGTATTCAATACTTATTTACACATTTACTGAAATTGGATAAGTAGGTAGCAAGTTTACGCCCTACATAGGCGTAAACTTAAGTATAATGTACCTACGATATTTTTGTACTATATTAAAGTAGAAGTCATTAAAATAACTTACTCACGTACATACTTAGTTTGGACTAAAGCGGACTTCTTGCATATAGTCATTTCTTCCAACCCGTTCCCACGCGTTTAATTAAAAAGTTAGAGTTTTAAAATTATGTTAAGTTTATGTGAGAAGTACAAGTTTAAATAACACTAAACGGTTTGAAACGCGAAATTTATAACTGGATGCCGTCATCCCTATAAGAATTTTTGCGTTTGTTAATTTCAATTGCTTGAAGTACAGTGGTTACGCAATTTCTAAGTTTAAAGTGTATTTCGCAACTTTAAACGGTGTTTTAAGAGGTTTTTAAACCTTATTATAATATGCGCAAGCTTCCCTCGCAGTAAAGTAGTTGTTGAGAGCTGTTTCAGCTAACTCTTTGACGCATTCTTCTATCTCACAAATATCTTTCGTAATAACAGGCGGTGGTATTACCTCGCATACACCATCTATAAAGAAACAAGATATAAACACATATCTTATGTATAAAATTAATTTTAAATGCACAGTAAAGCATTTTTTGAAAAGCATGATCTCAATGTACTTAGTAGGTCAACGGCACACGGCGGTGGTCGCAGGTTTGAATCCGTGCGTCCACCGGGTCCAAAATGTTTGAATCAATTTATAATTTCTTTGAAACATGATAGAGTTGGTCTAGAAATCTGGATATTAAATTGGTGGTAGGACTATCAAAATTCCATCCGATTCGCGAACGAAAATAGGTCAATAGTATATCTCGTCGATGTTATATGGATTTGTGATATTTCACCTTCCATGAAGTGAAAGCCACGCTTGTCTGTCAACAGAAGGAGAGAGCTTTACAAGCTCCAAAAATATATCTAGTTGACTACTTGCCTGTTGCCCTAGGATGTACAGCCTACGGGATTTAACTTTAAAATTATTATATTCCTTTTTTGTATGCATTTTTAACTTACCATCAGTTTTTGCTTCGATTTCATGTTTTTGAGGAACGGCTGTAACAACCAAATATAATATTCATTACAAAACGATATTCACTGCAAACACTTCATGTTAAATCCTATTAATATATTTTTTAAGTACTGACTAATAATAGGTTTGCCGTCCAACGAGCAGTTCTTAGGTTTATCATCTTGTTGTCTTATCTTTGCAACGAAGCCTTTGACATCATCAACGCATTTCTCAGCAAACTCTGAATACGTCATATTTTCTTCATACATGACAGCTATGAAATCGTCGAACCAGGGAGCGTGAATCGTCAGCCAGTCACGCAATTCTGGTGATCGTCTGTGAAGAAGATAATAAGTATGACGATATATTAAGCAGACTAATGTTATACATTCTATCTTATTTTTATTGATAATGTGTTCCAATAGACTTTAAAATTGTTTATTTTATAATGCAAGTTGAAAATTTCCATTTCCGATTATCCAAAGCCAAAATAGGTCGACAGCGCATCTTAGTGTAGATGTTATATGGCTGGGGTATTTTACCTCTTATCAAGTGAAATCCAAGCTTGTCTGTCCTCCTCTATCATAAAAAAACTGCATTAAAGCATTAGAAACATTAAAATAAAATAACAAAAAAACAAGTAGATAAGTGCAATATTTTATACATGTCGGTATAACTAGTTTAAAAATAAAATTTTAAAGCTAATTACTGAGCTATAACAGCAAATCCGGCTGCAGCAAATATAACAGCAAGTGTGCCCCAAAAAGCGGAGTCATCTTTTGGCTTGGGTGGTGGAGGTAGCGGCGGTGGGGGACAAGTTTCTCGCTCTTGAGGCTTGTATTTCTGGAGTCGTGATAGATGAGCAAGTTGGATGTCTATGGGCTGGCGACGCTAAAAAGGATTTATTTACCCATAACCCATATATTTAAGCTTATTTGCGTATTAACCTAACCTTAAGATATTTTCCACAAATGAGATTAGAACCTTCTCTCTTCGTAGTTTTTCTTAGAAGATTCCACGAGGAGCAGAGAAGAGAAGGAGAATCAGAATGCCCTTATTTTACCGAAGTAGTTTCTTCATAAGTTAAGGTAACGCAATATGCACTAATAAAACTTTTCTATTATAGAATACTTCCTTTACATCTTGTTAAAAACTTACCAATAAACTTCTGATGGTCAATAGTTGACCTGTTATTCTAAACATTTTTGTGTTTTTATTTTGTAAACTGGTCGTGACATTTTATGACAGAGTTTTGTGTTTAATTTTTTTCTGAAAGGAGTAGTTTAGGTCAATATAGTCTACTAGTACAAAATGAGATGTAAATTACAGTTTTGGATTTAGTCTGTGGTGTAAATCCAAAATAGAACATTCATTGTTTTTTTTTTCAAAAGGAATGTGTGCATACTTAGTTCTGACGTTATATACCTACGCATTATTAGATTTATGTTGCCTCACAGCCTAATCAACAGTTTAAGGAAAATTGTTTTTATGAGATTTGTTTTTCACAAAATAAAAAGCAATATTAGAGAAATCACAAACGGTTTTTTTAATACAGTAAAGATTTACAGAGGTCACTAATAGTAATAAAACTAGTTCACAACACCAGAAATCTAGTACTTCTAACTTCTAACGTTGGAAATGATGCTAAGCATAAACGTTTGGAAGACGAAACACGAAATTTCCAAAAATACAATTAGACCTAAATGCGAGGCTTGCAAAAGAATAAACAAAATGGCCGCGTTTCGCATAGCATCATTTTCATTGATGATCTATCTAAACAATTAGACGATATAAAATTGCACAAGTTATTTGACACCATTAAACACTTTAGTACAGACAGGAATAATCAAATTAAAAATAATGAAAAGACTTAATTAAGACAGCTAAATGTTACTTTTTATATGGCAAATTTATTGAAATAATGAATCATTATCATTTTTACAGGTGGCCATTTAAATTTGAAAAGTCGGTTTCTAAGTGGTTAATTTTTAGTCTAAAATAAATTCAAAATTTTAACAATAAACGTATATAATTCCTCAAGTGTTCTAAATAAAAAGTTAAAAATTAAAATGAATTGTTTCCATTTAACACACACCAAGATAATATTTTCATATTCTTCGACTTTAACTTTTATAGAATTAACAACATATGGACAATAAATTAAACTTACATTATAAATTTATTATACAAAATAGACTCTGTTTAAAAAATTAAATAGCATTAATATTGCACAACTCTGGCTTTTTAAGCGAACGGACGTAAATTTTCGTAGGTAACGTAATACGACTAGCATCATAATACTTTTTAATTAAACATTAATAATAATTACATGAAAATATGTTAAAATTACACAAATTAATCGGCATCTCTTCGATGGTTCTAAGGACGTAAATATTAGTAAAGAATAACTGCAGAGTTAATTTTTGTACGCGAAATATTAAAAACCAAAATTTTATGTTACCTTTAATCTAGACTTTAATATTAAAATGTTACAACACTTATTTCAAATCTACTGGAACAGACGTCCTTAATGAAATAGCAAACAGGACTGAAAACGTCTTGAATTTTAATTATAAGAGGGAGGTTTGTCTACAAGCATTGTTCGGGTCTGTTTCTAGAAAAGTCGATTAAAGTGTAAAATAATAGTTTTCAGATTACCTACCTAACATTTAACAGTATAGAAACTTACTACAGGCCTTTATTTACATTTAAAAGTAGAGTGAAGTAACACTAGATCACAGTCTATAAATACATTAAAATTTTGTAAAATGATTTTATGAATAGCAAGAATTTGTTCAATGAATAACAGAGTTACTTTAAAGGTGAATTTAAAAAAGTATGTTTTTTCAAAGAAATTAACTTTCTTGCTAATCATAATTCCACTCAAAAGAAACAAGTATACGTCAAAAAGACGCATTTATAATACTAGATAATACAAAATATAACAGAGAAATAGTCCACAGCTCATTTGTCTTGCTTGATAAATTACTTTTACCTATGTTCAACATTTAAATAAAATACTTTTAGCGCTTATAAACGTGAAACATATCAGTTAACTTATTTAAAAAATATTTTAACTACAGCAAAGCATGCTAAACGTCAGGTAGTCAAAATAAAAATGACCAACAAGCTTACTACATTAGTAAATATATCTTTACTACGACCGACGCTTAAAACGCTCTTCAGAAAATGGTCACGCGGGGCTAAAGAAGCTTGGTATTTTAATATTGTATCGCAAAGTATAAATTCTTGAAATTAATTAGTATTGCAATTCAATGAGAAGTGAACCATTTTTCAGCCATAATATATATAGTTATAATTGAAGACGTTCAAACACTTAACGACGTAGAAAAGTTATGCAAACCCACATTAAAACAATTTTGTATTTTAATGCTTCGGTCAAAATTTCCAAGTTCAATTGTCATTGTTTTTGAATATGCAATTTCAACTCTATCTCTGGTTAATAAGGTTGTTTATTAAGAGCGTTTACACCTTTCGCGCGATGTCAAGTTTAGGTATTTCACACACTACTAGGTATTTGGTTAAGGATTTTTTCGATTGGTTACAAGTTTTTCCTAATTACATCTTTAAGTAGTTTCATATATTTTCAGCCTCGAAAATGATACTAAAACGAGATTAAAGAAAACCTGTGTCAAGATATCACGATTTAAGGCATTAACACAGCGTAAATCGTGATTTTTTTTTCTACTAAGTTTTTAGACAGCGATATTTCCTAAACATATAAGTAATCAACATGTTTGTACGATAAGTGGTTGATGATATTAACAGGTTTGAAACACCCAGTTTTAAGCCAAATTGCGCGTTTAGGGTATAAAGGCTCATAAAACAAGATAAGATCTTAAATATGACATTTCAATGATAATCTAATATGTGGGCTTTAATGATGAAGCTACTCATGGGTCCAGCCGAGAACAGACTATTCGATTGACTGCGACGGTTTTATACTATCCTTTTTGTCTGTGCTGCTTTGGCTGCCCCTGGAGAAGCAAAAAGTTGAATTTAGTTTAAAGAAACAACATACCGGTTTGTTGATATATCTGTTTTGAAAATACTCACCAGTTCAAGCTTCGTCACAACATATGGCATAGTCTGTAAATAAAAGTTTCAGTTAAATTGATAGTCATAGATATATAAAATATAAAACACTTTAACGGTTTAAAACGCGATATATTAGTTAAACTTATTTGGAAATGATTTTTAACTTCGGCCCGGACTTTTCGGATGCTTCGCAGGGGCGGGGGTCAGGGGGAGACAATAAGTTTAACTAATATATCGCGTTTGTTAAAGTGTTTTATTTAAATGTGTACTACTCGCGTAAACTATAGACAGTATAAATTAAAATTGTATTATATTATTATAAATACTATCAATATACAAATAATAGCATATTGAAGTAAAGGGTAAAAAGAAAGAATGTCATCTAAGAGAAAAATATCATTTATACACCTGGTTTTAAAACTAGGGGGGGCTTTGGCACCGACTTCAAAATTAATGATAAACAGACAAGCCCGGGGATCACTTGATAGTAGGTGAAATTCCCCAGTCATGAACATCTCAACACTCGCTGTCAATCTACTTTATCTTTGTTCGAAAATCCAGACAAAACGGATCGTGGGGTGGAATTTTCGATTTATCACCCGTTTAATATCTAGGTTTCCAGACAAAGCCAAACATATTTCAGAACACTTTTAAATGGAATAGAAACATTTTTGATCCGGTTGGAGATCGAATGACCCGTTGAGCTATACATGCTACCATTACAGTTCTCTCCAAACTTTTTTGTCGATCTGAAATTAGCGCGACCGCCATCACGCGCATGGTACTGTCAAATTTAAGCAAAAGAGTCCCCCCCATACCCCTTTTCTTGCAAACTGATACATGCGTTTTGCGTTCTGCGCAACCATCCGCGGTAACTACTAACCTAACTATACTAACCGGCCTTTATGCTTAGATGTCTTGGTTTGAGGTTGCGGGGGCGGCGGCGGCGGCTGGTTCACCAGGGTCTCCTTCGCTGTTGGATCTGGGTCTTCTCGTGTGCTTGGGCCCGCGTAGAGAGACCTGGAAGAAACTTTAATCTCACTCTAATTATATCATTGTATAAGACATATTGTGAAACAAACGAAATACTACAAATGTTATTAATGATGAGAAGTTTCTAGTCTAGTTAGTAAATAATTAATCTACTAATATGAAAAATTAAAGTGAAAAAAAATAAAATATTTAAATAAAACAGTTTCGACGGAATGAAACGTGAAAATATTTAGAAATAATTTTTACTACGGCCCGACGACGTTTTGAATGTCGCTGCAAAGCATTCAAAACGTCAAGTTGTAGTTAAAATAGTTTGCAAATAACTCACATATATATCTCGTTTTAAACCGTCAAAGTGTTTTATTTAAATATGTACACGTACACGAGTTAACTACAGATAGTATTTAAACTTTTTAAAATCTTAGAAATATATATTTTTTAAGTGAACATAACATCATTTTATCTATATACCATGCGCGCACAGTAATATCAATTGGAAATCAATTATCAAAAAGTGTGATAGAAATAATAAAAATATGTTTGTAAACTCTAATACAAAATACGAAACTCAATTGGTTTTATATAAAGACTAACAGATAAATACTAAAACCCAATTTACCTCGTCAGTTTATTCCTAGAGGGCCTCGCACTAACACCGGATGCCTTCCCTCGTCTCAAGGAGTGGAAGGGCGTCTTGAATGGTTTAACGAGAGCCACCGTGTCAGAGACTGGCCGCTGACAGTTCAGGGTAGTCACTGTGAACTCTACGTCTTTTATTGCATCGTTTGAAGCTGAAATTAAAAGAAAAAGGGAATATATTATTTTTTATCTGCGAAACTAAATCTATTATAAAGCTGAAGAGTTTTTTGTTTGAGAGAGTTTGTAGAGCATTTATGAGGAAGGCTTAGTCTAAAACATAATACTACAACCAATAGGAGCGAAGATAGTGTTAAAATATTTATTTTGAGATTTTCCGTTGGTGCGCTGCGAAAACAGTAAGATACCCAAAAATAAGTATAAAGGAATCATTCCTTTTAAAATTATCTAAAAACGAAATGGGTAGCATAGCTAATTTGTAAATATAGGAGTTTTGCCGAAACCAATTTCGAGCCCAAAGTAACTAGTTAGCGGACGAAGTTGGACAGCTAGTACGAAATATTCTCTTAATTACTATCGAGGGCCGTTATATGTGTAATGTGTATGTGCAACAGATGATAACGAGGATAATAAATATATAAATGCGTTTCGATATAATGTTTTTGGATTTCCAAACATCCAAAATCCAAAATAGAGGCCGACAGCGCATTTTATTAAAATGTTATTATATATGGCTATTGGGGAGTTCACTGCTTGTCGTCCTCTCCTATCACAAGAAATCGCTACTTGCAATAACTCACTTGTAAATTCCTCTATAGGTTTATCAATAGTATCATGGTCAATCCACGTCAACCCCATTTCCACCTTCTCAGCAAGGTCCTGCCACCTCTGCTTGTTCTCAAGGGTACCAGTATACAGAGGCTGGATCCAAGGGAATGTATCCGAGAGAACCTTGTACAGAGGCAGACAAATCATGTCTATAAAACCCACTTGCATTTGCGGCAACTCATCTTTTTTCTCCCTGAAAATATTTTTTTATTATTTAGTATTGTATTTTGTATAAGCCGATGTCCTACTATCAACAAGTAACTACTAAGAATGGTGATTAATATATTTTGTTTCTAAAACAACATTTATGTAAACAAATAAGAATACTTGTAAAGAAAAAATTTTGACAAGGCTATGGTTGAGAAATTGCGAAATTTTATTTAGCTGCTTGGAACGGCAAGACTAACCTGTCCATCATAGCGATTGGCTGCTGATTAAGCTGTAGTTTCTCTAAGTCTCCTTGGTCGAAGAATTCGTCTGCTACCAACTTGGCTACTTTATGCTGGACTTCCCAGGGCTTGGCAATCGCTGATACATCACACGCCGTCATCATCATTCCGCACAACACTGCAAAAGTATTTTAATTAATCAATGGTCCTTGCATGAAAAACAGGGACTTTTCTAGAAACAGGGTAGTTACAAAATTTTTGGACTGTTAAATTTATGTATTATATGCAGGCGTATATTTTTTAAATAAAGATTTAAAAAGGCGTAGAAACAAATACTGTGTAGTAGCCGTGGTCACGGGAGTCTCCCCGGACCACGGCTCTGCAAAGCATCCGAAACTCGGGCCGAAGTTAAAAATCATTTTCAAATAAGTTTAACTAATATTATCGCCTTTTAAACAGTTAAAATGGTTTATTTAAACGTGTACTACTCGCGTAAACTATAGACAGTATCTAATACTGTGTAGTTTAAGCGAGTATTAACATTTACATAAAACATTTAAAAGGTTTAAAAGCGCGATATATATTAATTAAACTTGCTAGCCTCTCTATGACCACGACTGCTGCAAAGCATCCGAAAAGTTGGGACGTAGTTAAAATAATCTCCAAATAAGTTCAACTAATGTCAAAGTGTTTTACTAAGAATGCGTACAATAATTCTTAATCTAAATCTTACATTCTTTCTTCTCAGGGCTTTGCCAGTCGAACTCTCCGTTTTCTACCAATTCAAGGAACTTTGACTTCTTTTTGAAGTACATAGCGAGGTCTGTTGATAGTATAGCGGTTTCTACTACACGCATAACGCACTTGTAGTCGACTGGAGATAGAGCCTGTGGAAGTAAAATCATTTATTTATTTACCTATTATGTCATTACATGTTCCAAAATCCACAGACTGAAGCCCGAACGCGATTAAACTTCACGACTTTTGGTCAGAAATAGAGAAATTCAATATTACTACTTCCCATTTAATATTCAGATTTCCGACATCTTTCAAAACTAACATGGTTCAAGAAAACGTAGAAATTGCTTAGAAATATTTTGATCTGCTGGGGATCAAACTCACGATCTGTTGCTTTTTAGCCATACCATGCTAGCGTTAGATGAAATAGCACATCGAAACTAATATAAAACTAATTTTTTAAGTCTTAGGGCTGTAGTTAATGCTTATGTTACATGCCGCCATTGTACCACACACAAATGACTTTTATCTATTAATATTAAGGGCAACCTATCTCAAAGTAAATAACAATAATCATTGATATTTTCACGCCTTGTTCCTCCAATAGACACATGAGATTGGCAGAATGCATTATATAATGGGAAAGCTATCATATTAAGAAGAAGAAGAATCTATACTGTTTTTGTTTTACCTGAAAAATATTATTACTCTCGCTATTCAATATCATCACGCATTGATCGAAGTGGTGATGCTCCATAGTGGACGTCGAGTACAAAATAGCTAACGGGCTCTCTGTCTTCGTCTGAAATGCGTTATTCGTCCCTCTATGGTCCAGGTCGTGGCACAGACACGCCACAAGCAACCCCAATATCTCCAAATCGGACATAAACCTCTCCATTTTGCCCGTTTTCATCATAGCGAACATTGTTTGAGCTACGTTCAGCGCGTGTCTCCAGTTGTGGTATTTCACTGGGCGATAATTCTTCTTTACGCTAAGCGTCCAACGGCAAAGGACCTGTTGAAAAAAGATGCCGACACAAATAACAAATCAATGGATTATATTAAAAGGCTACGATGACAATGTAACAACAACTTCGAATGCAAAGGGTTGTAGTCTATAACACTTCAGCGGTACCTAAATCAGTGATAGTTACTTTTAAACTATATACTATAGTTACCGCAAGTCATTAACGGTTTAAAACGCGGAATATACTGTACAACGAGTATTATTATATTATTTTATTTTTACTTTTTTACTTACATCATAGGGTATGTGAAATTTCTCGACTAGACTGCATTCTAAGAACATACGAAGTGTTGCTCTACACGTGTCCTCGTCTGATAAATCGAAATCTGAAAGAAGACACAAATATAATCATTAAATTATTTATATTTATATATATATATTATTTATAACTATATCATATTAAAATACAATAATTAAAAAAATAAAATACGTATAATGAAACGCGAAAAATATGACTTACCATGAAATTTAAAGCTATAAAGGTTGTATGTCTCCGCTGAAGGTATGACGTCCTGACATAGCTTCGCTGTGTCGTCTGTTGATGCTGTTGCGTGGTATGATAAACATTCTAGTGCCACCTGAAAAGATACAATACGTTGTAGTCTTAACATTAATAAAAGTATAAGTTAATATTGTAATTTAAACCTTTAACAAAAGTTATGAAACACTTAAATGGTTTAGATTTGAAATATACAAATTGCTGTTAACTACGTTTACTAATTATTTTTATCTACGGCCCGATGTTTCGGATACCTTGCTGTCAGAATTGTTAGTAAAAATAATTGTAAATATATTTCGAGTTCAAAACCGTTTTATTTAAATGTAAAAACCTTTATATAAAATAAACATTACCTTTTGCTTTGCCATAAGCTTACAAGCATTTTCGTACATTTGCGTATTGTGGATTCCTAGACCACAAAAAATGGCGAACGCTTCGAATATCGAGATATCCCCATCTGTGAATTGTGATCCGTTTTCCTGTAACGTAATCGTAATGAGTCAAGGCAAATTTATGTTGTTTAAATTTATGTAATGTTTTTATAGTCATCTGTGGACGGTAGATCGTGAACCGGACGGAAATTCGATGTTCCTATCATTTAATATCTAGATTTCAAGACGAAGTCCAATGTGTTTCAGAAAGTTATAAATTTTCTGAAACAATATCCTTATGTTACGAACTTGTTAGACCCGGTGGGGATCGAACCCACGAATCGTTGATTATTAACCACACATAGTCAACATTACACCAACGAGCCCGTACTATGAAACGTCAAGTCGTGACGTCATTAGCCGTATTGCGGCGTTATTTCGCAAAATAGGCGTTTAGGCGCGCAATTTAAATGTTGGATTTTTAATTTGATATATTTCAGTAAGAATGTATAAGAATTCAGATATACTACTTATCTGGGTTACTTAAGATCTACCAAATAACATAATGTCCTTTTTGACAATCAGTCAAACAGCCCATTTACTACACTACATCTTTTCTCACTTGGGTATTAAACCCACCAGGGTATCCGAATTATAAATAATCGTACCTTATTGATGAGTTGCGCTACGCCAATCACGTCCTTATTTGCATTAACAATAGGCATACACAACATAGTCCGAACAGTGGCCGCGTCATCGCATTCCTTATCAGTCATACCATTTTCTCGTCTCCATTCATCCACATTGGATATATTTAGAGCTTTGTTTGATTGCGCTACCTGCGATACAACAAAATGACGTCATAAACAATTGTTACAGTTAAACCTACTGAAGGTAATAGTTAAAAAGGTTTATTTTAGACCCCTTTTTTAAAGACACAAAGAGATCTATTTCGATGTATATATAAATGAGCAACGAAATTTCTTTTGAATAAATACACTAATATAACTAATTGTAAGACTATAATAATATTAAATGTATTCGTATTTTGTTTTAACTATATTGATGGTCGTAGAGTATTATCTACATGAATAAATGACTTTTACTCCGCAACATGACGACCAAAGGGGTAACTTGTCAAGGGTTTAATTTAAATTTCGAACGCTTGCGCACAGAAAGAAAAAAACGATCGTAACTAGTTGTTCGTAAACTTCGTTATTGGTTTTAATATATATTCTACTACTTATTTAAATAAAACACTTTAACGGTTTAAAACGCGATATATTAGTTAAACTTATTTGAAATTGATTTTTAACTAATATATCGCGTTTTAAACCGTTAAAGTGTTTTATTTAAATGTGTGCTACTCGCGTAAACTATAGACAGTATTTTGTACTACTTAGTTTTAATTTTATATAATAATACGTACCGCTAGTGCGATAGATGCAAGCGTAGATTTAGTATCATGCCTCGGTGTCAGCGTGGTGCGTGAATGCTGTGCTCCTAGCTCGAAGAGTGTGTGGAAACGAGTAGGAGCTGGTGGAGGTAATGCAGGGAAACCAGATGGTCTCCCGCCCGGGCGTTGTACTATTCGCTCTAAGTGACTCTGTAATGGAAATAAATTTTAAGTCTAGCGACAATACGAGATGTGATATATTTCGTGTTTTGAAAATCACGTAACTGTGTTTTTTTTACTAAGTTTAAATTATTAACCTTTTGCCCAGATGTATCGGCTATTTATAGGTTCTCATGAATTTATTTCAAACTACCCGCGTGATGACTAGATTGAAATACTTTTAAGTTACTCATGGTAGTGATTTATAATCTGATTAAAAAATGTCTTCAAACCGAATGCCTTAAATTTTTTTTAATTCAAAAAGTTATACCATTAAGGTACCTTGACAAATTGGAACAAGTATACTTAAGATGATATTTCCACTTGACTGTACATCAACACTAGTACATAAGTGTAAAACTATGTAAGGTCACAATATTTCGTCACACATCATTAGCCAAAATAAAATGGCTCTCTTACGATTTGAAGGTCTACATCATTATCGAATGTTTTCATTTTTTTACCTTATGTCAACGCCCTTACCGATTCACAATGATCCGTATCCAGTATGAACACAGCACATCGTTCACACTTGAGCAACTCACGTGCTTCCGTCATTATCTTCGTGACTAAACACTCTAGATTACTCTGCTCTTCAAAAATACTTCTAGCTAACGCTAGAAGAATCTGATTCCTCTTATATTCCAGTACTGATGACTCGAAGAGCTGCGCGTTCTGTATACCAATGCCACAGAATGTGAGATACCGTCGAAATACTTCCACGTCGCGAGCAGAGAATTCTTTGGACCCTAGAAGAGAAGATAACCCTCAATTAAGGCTTTTATTTTATTTTAATTATAAATCTCTACTGCTTCCATTGTGAGCTGTAAAATTTGCATAGTATACCGTTAAGCACGAGATTCGAATATTTGAATAACACAGTAAGTTTTTCGTCGTAGGCTGACATGTCTTATTACTAGCTTGGGACCTCGATATTTAATTAAATTCATCTGTGTCAGCGACTTTGTTCGTGTAGAATAGTTATTTTGGGCATCCAAATTTTGAAAACCTGCTTTATAGCCTCTTCCTCAACAAATGCTCTGACCAACACAAAAATACATTTTCAATTCGAACCAGTAGCTCTTGAGATTAGCGCGTTCAAAATAAACTAACAAGCTTTTCAGCTTTTTAAATTACTATAAATACGTATGTTTTAACAACAACAATGCCGATGCGATAACGTCGGGTCTTATTTTAAAATATGCTTACTAGACCTAAGGTAAGAGACTAGCTAGACCTAAGGTTTTAATACTATAAAAGAAAATTGTTATAAACTATCAGAGTGGACGTACAAAACATTTTTTATTGCAGACTATAATTATTTGTACCCTACAGAATATAAAACTACGCGTATATATTTTAATTACTATCTACGCCAACGCTCAAAAGAACTGAGTGTATGTTCTATACAATAGGTAGATAATTACCATCTGTTTTATTTATAATCTGTGCCACACCAACAACATCCCCTTCGTAGTTGCAGATCGGCATACACAATATTAATTCCGTTTTGTAGCCGGTCTGAGCGTCGATCTCGCTGTTAAATCTGTACAAAGTATTATAAAAATATGAGGCTACTAGAGGCAGAATGGCCTTATAACAAAAAACATGATTTTCAATAAGGAGGAAAATAAACATTCGTAATTAACTTGCGAAACGAAATTGTACTATTATTTGTTCAAAAATTATGTTAACAATTTTCATACATTGTTCTTTTATAGATTAACATTTTTAGACTATAAAAATATAAATAAGTTAAATCATAAAATTGCAGTTAGGCTACTCTCTCTCTACTACTACTCTGCCTCTAGCGGTCTTATGCCAACTTGTACGTTCCTAAAACATTTTTGTTTCGACAGTCGCGGCTTTAAGAAACTCACCTGGGGTCTGCGTAGGCATTTCGGATATTGATGGGGTGTTTCGTTTGAGCAGCCAAACCAGCTACACCAACGCCAAATGGTATCCTGATCTCTTGGGTTCTAGCAATTCGGAGAGCGTCTTCTATTTCTGGAATGATAAGAGAATATTTTTAAGAGATGTTTCCATGACTATGGGCACGAGACCCGCTTCATTGGTGAGTAACGACAAGAATCATCATATCTATACTAATATAATATAAAGCTGAAGAGTTTGTTTGTTTGAACCCGCTAATCTCAGAAACTATATAGGCCAAAAAACATCTCCCCGTGACTAATAGCAGCGAAGATACAGCAAGAAATGTGTAAAAAAATTAGGAAAATTATTTGTCATTACGTATTAAAGAATGATTCCTCTTTAAAAAAATCCAGGACGCTATGTGTCTATCTTTTAATATGAAGTTGCAAGACTATGGGAGCGACGCAACCGACATCGTGGGCAACAGCTTAAGTTTATAAAGATGAAGGGGTTTGCAGAAATGAAATTGGGTGCCTTAAATTTAACTTTTCTACGTGGACGAAGTCGCTGACACAGCTAGTTCTACAATAAATCTTATGTTCTTCCTTGTAATCATTAAGTGAAAAGCATTTAAATAAAACACTTCAACGGTTTAAAACGCGATATATTAGTTAAACTGGGCTGGAAAATGCAGTTTAACTAATATATTGCGTTTGAAACCGTTAAAGTGTTTTATTTAAATGTGTACTACTCGCGTAAACTATAGACAGTATTTAAGTGAAAAGCAAGCAAGCAAATCTTATACTTGACTCTTGGTCTTGAATTTTTGGAAGTCTATAGAAAGAAGCCGTAATTGGACTGAGTAGACATATTAACTAACTTTTAACTTCCGTTACTATTTATAAAACACATAGACCACAATGACTTTGTATTCCTGTGTAACTCCATTTTGGTATTCCAGTAAAAAAGCTTGACAACATACAATGCTGTATTTGAGTATCTAAATTTCACGAAATTCTCCGAGGTATACAGTAAGTACAGACCAATAGACTATCTGCGTCACACTATTATATTGTATCGCGAAGCTAAAATAGGATTTCTATTCATATTGACAACAATAAAGCGGCGAGCAGAAAAATATTTTGTAATATGAAACTATAACAGCACTCCGTAAAACGTTATCTCCCGTATTCCTTTAGAAAAATGCCTTATAGAGTTAAATAAAACAGATACAAACTAGGTCAAGTGGTATCTTGTGTCAAATGAAAGACATTAATTTCAGCTTTCGTTTGAATGCGCCTTGTACAAGCATTTATCATAGCAGGAAGCTACAGAGTAAAATGCTTTTATTAAATACTGTCTAAAGTTTACGCGAGTAGTACACATTTAAATAAAACACTTTAACGGTTTAAAACGCGGTCTCCCCGTGACCACGGCTGCTGCAATGTATCCAAAACGTCGGGCCGAAGTTAAAAATCATTTTCAAATAAGTTTAACTAACATATCGCGTTTTAAACCGTTAAAGTGTTTTATTTAAATGCTTTTGTTAACCTTTGGAGATAGCTTAAATGTCTAAAGTTATTCTGGATTACTTCCATAGTTAATTTTATAACAGAACTGGCGAGGGACGTCTATAGGGGATGAAATTTAGAACAATGAACGCTATTTGTGAAGTCTTATATTGTTTGTTAACGAATAAATAAGTTGAAATAAATTATCTGTTGTTGTTAATTACGGAATTACGTTAATTTAAAGCAGTTCGTCGGCATCAAATTAAAATATGATGAAGAGAGGTTTTTATAGAATAAATCTCTAATTTCTTATATTTGTATTTGTGTTACGGCCTATTGCTTAACTTGTTTTATATGGCAGCCAAGCGTCATTTTAAAAATATAATTTTCGTTGGCAAGTGGGACTAAGTATGGTCATAAATATAAACGGGAAATTCTTACGCTTTTACAAACACTGCAAATAAAAAGATAATTTTACTTTTTGTATTTGTACTTATGTTGATTAAATACTGTCTAATTTACTGTCGAATTGGATTATATCTGTAATGGCAGCATATATTTGTGTGTGTAAAAATAAATAAATAAATATTTATTGTGATATCGTGGTTTTGAGATAATTACGACGAAGAGACTTATTTCTCGTCACATCTGATTTAGGTATTGCGGGGTCGAGAGTTGAACCCCCTACATTCCTTACACTTGTCTGTTTCGAACCGATACGCGAGAAAGCGATTACGGCAACCGTTACTTGCGCTACCATACTAACGCACCAATTTGCTCATGAAATGATAAACAAAGATATTTTCACGTACAGCTTGGTTGAATTGACAAGAATTACACTGTATGAGATATGATTGTATATTTAATGTAATAATTCTATCGCTATAGGTTTATTCCGCGATGGTAGAATAAATTTGTAAATAAATAATAACATAATTCAAACCGAGTTCTAAAAGGATGTGTACAAATATTTCTATATACATTTCATTGATCGATTAAAACTTTTTTCAGATACACAGATGACAAGAAGCGATGAGGCAGTATATAGTACGTACATACGACATCATAAAACAATAGAACTAACATTTTTCCTCATTACAACAATTCCGAAAACATTAAGAGCGACACATCGGCGCAGACAATGAATCATCAAAATATCGTAAAACGTAACCGCACTGAGACCACACAGGCTTATGAATGCGAAATGATAGTAATTACGACTGTTTATTGCTGAACTCAACCTAATAAGCAGCGATAGAATGAAACTAACCACGGTACAGAACGAGTCTCAAAAGACGAACTAAAGTAAAACAAGGATCATAAGTTGGTATCTTTTCCTCTGTCTATAGTTTACGCGAGTAGTACACATTTAAATAAAACACTTCAACGGTTTAAAACGCGGTATATTAGTTGAATTAGTTGAAATGATTTTTAACTTCGGCCCGACGTTTCGGATGCTTTGCAGCAGCCATCTCGGGTCGTGGTCACGGGCATCCGAAACGTCGGGCCGAAGACTTCTAAGAATCTTTGTTATGGTAATCAATTTGGTTGAAATTAATGCATTATTACTAATTATTTATCAAAGTTGTATAAAAATCTTGCAAACAAGATAACTAATATATATATATCGATGCTAAATTTTAGAAATGATACGTCAAGTAGGATTCAATCTTCATTAAAGCTATTAGCTTAAAAGCTTTTCAAGACCTATAAATGAAACTGTGAAGCGTCTAATTTCATTCTGGTAAGTTATTGTAGGAGGAACATCCATTATAATTTATAAAATCTCCTTTTAAGTCACAAGATTTTCATTTTAATAGATGAAACTTGACGGGCTCATTGGTGTAATAGTAGCCATGTATGGCTAATCCACGGGTCTGGGGTTCGATACCCATCGGGTCCGACATGTTTCTAATCGTATTTCGTCTGAAAATCTGGATATTAAATGACTGGTGGGAATATTGAATTTTCATCCAGGTCACGAACCATTGTTCACAGATGGGAAATACGTGGTTTAATCAGTTTGAATGTTATATGGCTAGAGTATTTCAGCTTCCATGAAGTCAACCCATGCTTCCTCCATCATAAAATATTGTACATATCAAGTGAGTAACAATGAGTAATTAGTTTTTTTGCTGTCATTCTAATTCATCTTATACGACTCCACATAAGCAATAATAATGGAAAACATAAAGGAATGGAAATATATGAAACCGCAAAATTAACCTTTAATTAGGTCATATGATATATATTTTAGTAATAAAAGCTGGCTATTAGAACACGCTGTAAAGGAAATTAAGTTAAAAAAACACGCCTTCAAAATGTTTACCAGATTGCTTAATCTGTATTGTTAGCACCAGTAGATGGTTATCTATTGGTACAGGTACATTAGTTACTTTAAAACATGTAATGATGTTTTTTCTAGTAAAATAGCTACAAATTATATCAAAATTGATAGCAATAGATTAACAAATACGTACATATACCTACTTAAACAAATAAAAAAAACTTAATGACTACAATAATACAAGAAGCATACGATATAGAAGAAAAAAAATAGTTTTTGTAAAGTAACGCTTTTCTTGGATCTTGTGCTCCCTCAGATTAAAAACGTAACAATACGTGACGCTTTTAATCGTAGGGAGGCAGGACAATACCTCTGGGAGGTTCTATTCTTCTGAGACTTACCCTCTACAAAGTTTAATATTACATGTAAGGGAAAAGCAAGAAATATATAAGACAAACCTCTTATGTTATTAATAAGAGAATCTCATATGTATATTTGAGTGTGTGAGTTCTTATTGAAGTTTGAGGTACTAGTTACACATTACGATTCCTATATATATGCAAAACCCTTTCGGAATGCAAAATTAGTTGACATGTTTACTTAAAAATAGTATAAAATAATTTGACATAAGTTGGCGACCCACATTTAGCTAAATTAGGAAAAAAACTTAAAAATTTACCTGTGTCCCGAGTGACATCAAAAAGTTTAGCTTGAAGATATCTGTTGGGCGGAGTCCCTTTGGCTAGAAATAAGCTGCCTCGATCAGCTGATGTTAATAGACACACATTTACCAGGATCTGAAAAAACATATCGAATATCTATAACATTGCCATAATTCTACATTTGCTACATGTTGTAATAAAATAAAACGGTACTTCAAAAATATCATACTCCAACAATTTAGTGTCGTACATATTATAATCGTTAACAGCATAGATAACAATTTCCCGCCAAAACTATATGTGTTGCATAGATAATAGAAATATTAAAGTTAGTAGAAGTATAAATTGATAGATACATATTGTTAACAAAATTGTTTTTTTTTTTTTTCATTTTGGATACGAGTCCTTTAGTCGAAAATATAAGATTACTTAAAATACTAAACGTAATACTAACTTAAAGAATGTGAAACTATAGTATTTACAAATTTTCAACGGTATTCTTATTAAACTTGGTATATAAAAAACAAATGATTAAATAATGATGGCGTTATTGATACATTCAAAATGGATATTGTGCTAATCTCAAATGTTTGTCAATGGAAGAAGAATATAGAATGGTTTTTATCTTATTTATGGGAAAAGTGAGACACACATGTTAATGCATAATCACGTATAAAATTTTACATTCTGAACTTTCCTGCAATAAAAATGACGCAGGTAAAGGTTAATGATTACAGGGTACTTAATATAAACTGTAATTAAAAAAGTATAAACTCATTTCAGGCGAACAAAGAGGCACGTTGTCCGAGGCAGGATGATATAAATCTTCCAAGTAATTCGCGATGAAAATAAGTATCAATTAATTTCGCCCGAGTTCGCGTTGTTTTCCTGCCGCTAAGAAAATATTGCTTTCAAAACTCCAGCCGAGTGTTTTAATAAGATTATTTTTTCAGGTAATTCTTTTACGTTGAAAGTTGGAAAACGAAATGTGATTTGAACTGGTATTTTCCGATTGTACAGAATCCTATTTTGAGAAAAACAAAGATACTTTTGAATCCCGACATTAATTGACACACCATTAACATGTCATTTAGCAATTGTCAATCTTCTGTTAAAATAGTTGCTTATTCTACTAGAAATTTAATTCCTACGAATAAGATGCTAATAGAATTTGTGAACAGATTGTATAAAACAAAAATAGAATCACGTGAACTTTTACGAGAGTCGTATTATTTAATGTCCGCGAGTGTATTTTACACGAATGGCCAGTTGTTCTGTGGAAAATGGAGAAAACAATCAGTAAAGTGGATCATGGCTAAGACTAGTTTTAGCGCTAGATTCGAGAAAATTATTTAATTTAGCTGAGTGTCCATTACGAGAACTGTAATTTACATTAATAGCTAGTCTGGTTTGGTAGTCAGTTATCGTAACAGGTGAGAAGTGAGATATAACGCACGGAAAACGCTTTGTGATGCGGCAGTTTATTTAAAAAATTTATTTTCGTTCCTACATTGTCGTACTGTTGTGTTATGTTACCAATAATACGACGAAATTACAAGTGTCTTTATATTAAATTGCATTAAATAGATTCGTGAGTTTGAAATAAATTAAAATAATATATGACTGGAATGTTTCACCTTCCCTCAAATGAACCCCTACGCTTGTCTGATCTCCTAGAGGAGATGATAGATCATAAAGAAAAATAAAAAACATCGCGAGCTTAAACTATGTACTTTATTAAAGTTGAACGTTTCCAGAATCTCCCAACTGAATTTGCTTGACTCTATGTTTCAGGCCTTGAACTTAATACTAAAAAGTTACTGTTATTAAATTTTCTACTCTCTCTGAAGCTTCACTTTGAATATCATCCTTTTAGAAATGCTTTTATCATTATTTCATTATATTTAGCGTTATTCATGTACAAATATATTTTTCTCATTTCTTAGCTTGATAGCTTATGATATATTTTATGATAGCCTAACATGGACTGATAGATTGATATAGTTTATTATGATGTATGAGGCCAAACTTGGGGTTTACTTGATGTTAAGTGCACCAAAATTCGTTTTCGTTATTCGTTACCTATTTCGTTACCGAAAGCGAATCTGTGGACCGTGGTTCGTGACCCGGGCGGAATTTCGACATTCGTACTGCGCATTTAATATTCAGATTTTCAAACTAAGTCCAACGTTTAAATAAAACACTTTAACGGTTTAAAACGCGATATATTAGTTAAACTTATTTGAAAATGATTTTTTACTTCGGCCCGACGTTTCGGATGCTTTGCAGCAGCCGTGGTCACGGGGAGAAGTTAAAAATCATTTTCAAATAATTTTAACTAATATATCGGGTTTTAAACCGTTAAAGTGTTTTATTTAAATGTGTACTACTCGCGTAAACTATAGACTATATAGTATCTAAGTCCAACGTGTTACAGAAAAATGATAAAGTGATTAAAAACATGTTGAACCTGGTGGGGATCGAACTCCTGACCCGTTGACTATTGCGACCAATAGAGCAACGAGCCTATCAATCAAACTTAATCGTTATTTTTTTCGAATCGATACAAATTACAATCTCATTTCTAATTTAGAGCATTGATAATCTTACCCTTCCCTTTTGCCGTTGAGAAACAAGGAACTAAAGGACCCACCTTATGACACAGGACATCGATGTCAAGTTCATTGGCGACATCCTTGATGAGGTCCATAAAAAGATCAGCTTCGTCCAACTGACGTTGCGCAGAGCTACTTGGTGATCGAGATCTCTGCAATAAATATAATGAAATGAATTCAAATGCAAAAATTTTTACAAAACCACAAGTGTGCTAATTTCTAATTTACAATGCAAGCTTCCTTATAAACAAATAGACATATAACAAAATAGAGAATTTTAATATAACCTTTAGGTGTTGCCAACGTCTACGTCCCGTTGTTCTTGTAAGTTAATGTAAAAAGACATGTCGCGGACATTTTTATGTTCGTAATAGTAATCATTCTTTCATTGATATTTTTTGGGTATCTTGAACCGTTTTCACAACGTACGCATCGGAAACTCACATAGATGAATTATTTTCGCCGTTTTTTCGACATTATTCACTGTTACTTTGATCCTATTAGACACAGCGCTTTGTTTTATAGTCTATAATAATAGCCTTCCTCGATAAATGGTTAACCAACACAAATTGTTCAAATTCAGTAATTCCTGAGATTAGCGCGTTCAAACAAACAGACTCTACAGCTTTATCTATTAGTATAGACTACAATTTTGATATTGGCAACCCCTGCCTTGAAAGTAATTCGCGTACATATCACCGTGACATTTCAACTGCATTCTACCGCGAAATCCTGATACACGATCTTGCGAGACTCCTCATGATTTATCATGGCAAAGCAGTGCTCTGTCATTTTACTTTATCCACTTAAGCTTTTGACTTGAAAGTGAATTCCTCGTGCTCATAAGCTGGGATGATATATCTTTTTCGTAATGTACCTTTACGACCGTTATTCTTGCGTGACTTGACATCTCAAGTATATATCATTTTATTATATTACGACGTATTTTGGCTTTGGGCATTCGGAAATCCATAGACTGAAACCGAAATGCAACAAACATCACGGCCTTTTCATCTGTGGACACTGGTTCGTGACCCGGACGGAATTTCGATATTCCATTTAATATCCAGATGTCCAAACAAAGTCTAACATGTTTCAGATAAATTATAAAAATGTTGGACTCGGTGGGGGTCGTTGATAATTAGCCATACATTGTTACCATTACACCACTGAGTCAATTTAATGAATTGTCTCTCTTTATTTATATAACGCAGACTAATCTTATCTAGTGGCTAAAATATTACATTAAGAAAATTACTAGATTGTGAAATAATTTTAGTAAATATCGCTGTATAGGCCGAACGGATCTATAATAAGTTAGTTTAGGAGGAAAAACATCAACCTACACAAAGCGACTATCCTAAAATCGTCATTTTCCTAGAAGTAAAATTCTGTTATCCATCCCCGCGGGGTAACCCGGGAGCTGGAGGAGTTATATAATTTCACTGCGTGGTCAAAGGTTAACGATACATAACAATAGAATAAAGATTTGCCATTTATTATATAAACGATATTATTTTTATAAAATCAGTATTCTATCTCCTTCATTGATGAGAATAAAATAATATTTATAAGCAAACAGTAACATCTAAATTTAAAGTTTCTTTAACTATAACGTAAAATATACTAACATTATTAATCTCTAGAGTTGATTTGTTTGTTTAAACGCGTTAATTCAGGGACTACTGACTTGCATGTATGAAGGTATAATACCCCTAATGTCCGTTTAACATTAACTAGTAAGAACCGTCTAGTAAGAACCGAAGAGTAGTAGTGGTAATCAAATTTGGCCGAAATTAATGCATTATTACCAATTATTTAAAGAGATACACGATAGTATTAATCTTGCGAACAACAAAACAACGTAAGTCGGATCAGCTAAAGTATACAGTACGTGTTATGTAGAGTCCGTTAAAAGTTTTTCCTTCTGAAAGCCCACTGATTACTCGTAGTTTGAATGTAGGCGGTCAAAGGAAACATTTCGCTTTTATATAGAACTTTGTTAGATCCCCCCCACGCTAAATTATAGAAGTCCCTATTACTGACATTAAATGTAGTTCAAACAAGCTAGACATTTCTATACAATATTTTTATTTAAAGCTACGGAATACATTGTTAGTTTATATCAAAGCCAGGAATCATTTATTATATTATAGACTTCGTTACCAAGTTAAAGAAATATTCTTAGATGAATTTCAAAGTAACCGAGTATTATTGAAATTGTAGTTTATATATTTTAATAATACATACATTCATATAAAGTTTTACTCTTAAAATATCAGCCACTCCGAGAAATACCATAATAATAAGAAAATTATAATTTCAATGTATGTAAAAACTTAAGAAGAATAAATAAAGGGCAGGTTAATCTTATTTTTGTACTTAGCTGCTGAGCAGTTTAAATTGAATTCTAAGGCAAGGCTTTTTACACCACCTAGGCAAAACCGCGTTTAATTACTTGTGTACTGAGTAAAGAACGGAAGGTTCGGGAAACAGGTTACAATACAAATCTAACTATACTAATATATAAAGCTGAAGAGTTTGTTTGTTTAATCTCAAGAAGTACTGGTTAGAATCTAAAAATTATTTTTGTGTTGGTTAGAGCAATGATCGAGGAAGGCTATAGGCTATAAAACGTCGCGCTGTGACTATTACAAGCGAAGAAAAAACGGGAAATGTAAAAAAAATGGGAGAAACTAATCATCTTTGTAAGTTTCCGATGCGAAGCTCTGCGAAAACGGTTTAAGAATCCCAAAAATATATGTATGAAATAATGTTTTTTTTTTTTAAATGTCCGCGACAATTTATGTCTATTTTCTAAGATTACTCTCCAAGAACGACGTGACGCGAACAACATCGCGGGTAACAGAATTTATTAAGAAGGGAAGAGGAAAATAACTATTCTACGCGGACGAAATCGCCGACACAGCTAGTATTGTTATAAAACGTAATTGCCGGAAAACAAAGAAAACCTCGTTCAGAACCGAAAAACGGCAACCGTATTTAGCGATGAAAAACTATTTTCCCGCGCTCTGAAGCGAGCTAGGGACCTTGACACGGCTTATTCATAATTAACGGCTGGCTTAATGGATTTTTACACGACTACAAAATTCATAATAATTATTTCGCCTTTTTTGCTTAATACTTTAATCCCTGATTTAGCCATGATTTATTTTTTAACTTAGCCTCTGGAAAGACATCACATAGAAGAAGTGAATCTTGTTTGAATATGATTGACGTATATTTGTTGAAATATACGTTTTGCATCTTATCTTATTAATTAATTGAATGCTTACAAAAACAATGGTGAAACGTTAAATGTGTTTTATTTAAATAGTTGTTCACCTAAACTACAGACTATATTTGATATAAATCTGATCACTAAAATTGTTTAGTCAAACGAGTGCGAAAATGGTGGCACACTGAGCTAAACTGGGTTACATTCTCGTTGAAGTAATGGTAGCAATGTATGCGTAATCAAAGGGTCGTGGGTTCGATCGCCACCGGGTTAAACATTTTTCAAAACTATTTATAATTTCCTAATTCATCATAGAAATATCGGAATTCCGTCCGGCTTAATAACCACCGTCCACAGATGAAAAAGTCGTGAAGTTTAATCGATTCGATTTCAGTCTGTGGATTTCTAAATACACACAACCAATCTTATCTAGATGTTATATGGTTGGAGTATTTTCTCCTACCACCAAATGAACTCCTATTGTATTGCTTGTATGTCTTCTTCTTTTATAAAAATACCGTTCGAAGAATAATTCAAATATAAATGATTAACGTGTATTTTATTATTGCTCTTAGTTCGTTTTAATTTAGTTATTTAATTAATTACAGCTATTGTCATTTGTCTTAAGACTAACTTATAGTTAAGAATTTATATCTAAGAACCGAATGCATTCATCACCTGACTTTCCCAATCCTGACCCAATTATATCATATTCTGGTGCAGAATTAAGAAATTAGTTGAGCAGTGATATCATGTGCGGTATAGGCGATTGCTGGCGTAGATGGCGCTCGCGCATTTCGGCCAAAAGTTGATGCCCACGAGAGCGAATGTATTTGTCAGGAGCATAAAGCCGCAGAAGACAAGGGAGTAATTGGATTGAATCCGTCTTCCCCCTTAAAATTTTTGTTGCAAAGAGAATTGTATCCTAAGGACCCCATAAGGAACTTTGTAGGATAGAAGTAAGGGTAATAAAAATTAAATTGTTTATACAGATTTCTGAGATTTTCTGAACCTTCCCTAACATAATGATGTATTTTTCGTCGTGTGGCGTCCTTACCACCGTACTGGTCTCGACTACACTTCGGACTAATGCAGCATATAAAGTCCTTGTAGCTTTATCTGTCAGATCGTGACTATTACGTGAGACAAATCCTAACCTCTTGTATGCAACGTCAGTTATGTTCCGAATGTGTTCACGAAAAGTTAGATCAGGCATAAATGTAACACAAACACATCTTTGAAATTTACTCCAAATCACTGATCCGTGACGCAAGTTCACTATCAAAGAGATAGAGACAATCGCGAACACTTGATAAATGTCAAAAAGAAGACTTAATTGTAACCATAATTAATAGTTTACTAACAATGGAACTGAAAGGTGCGTACATAATTTCGTTACTCTATCTATACTCTAGCTAAAGAGTCTGTTTGTTTGAAAGCGCTAATCTCAGGAACTACTGGTTGGAAATGAATAATTATTTTTATATTAGTTAAAGCATTTATTGAGGAAGGCTGTAGGCTATTATCATGTATGTCGGTTTCCGTAGCTTACGCTGCGAAAATAGTTCAAGATAATTTAAAATCGAAAAAAAATTCGACTCGGGCCGGACTTGAACCGGCCTCGTCAGCGCTCCGTGGTGTTGCTCTACCAATTGAGCTACCGAGTCCTAGTTCAAGATATGAATGAAAGAATGATTCCTCTTTAGATGAAGTAAAAAAATGTCGGCGACAGTATATATGTACCTTTAAGAAAAACTTGCAAGAAAGACGGTATGCAGTCGAAGTCGCAGGTAACAAGTTAAATTTCTAGAGCTGAACGGGAGATTTGAGAAAATAGATTTGATGCCTAACGATGTCGCTGACATAGCTAGTCAAGTATATCTAGATATCAAATAGATTTTTCCGGACCTCTAA